AAATTATAAGTTTGTTCCCTTTACACGATAGCGATAGCAATAAAAGCTATTTCGACTATTTAAAACAATGCGCACTACTTTCGATACAATGGAAAAAGATATAATTTGCAAAATTTTAAAAATAATCATAACAAAATTTTTGCCCAAAAAAATTAGGCTTAAACTGTGCAATTGTAATTGCAACATATTCTTTGCAGAGGTTATCTACTTTTTCACATAACCAAATGAAATATGCTTGATTTGTAAATTTAACTAACTTTTATAACTAAATGTGAGCCTTTTTATATGCCAAGACATTTTCTATATTTTTTTATCATATTCTTATTATATATATTTGAAAGAAATTAAATAAGAGAAGAAACTCTTTGGTTCAAAGAATAGCAGCAGCAAAATATAAAAATAGAAATTATATAGCTTAAAATTAAAAAACTGCATCGAAATCAAAAATCCTCCCAAATCCTCTTCCTTATGTGTTAGCAAATCGGCCAAAATTTGTTTAAAAGAAACCACATACATAAAAATATTACTAATGACTCTGCTTGAAATATTAAATTGCATGGAATCCAGGTAATCTTAGCAGCCATATGTATTTCTATCTCCATTTTTAAATGACTGCCTCGCGAAAGGATATTTCTTTAATAGTAGCCAAACCAAAGGCAGCCAAACCAAGAATAGAGAATGCTATAAGAAAATGAAGGATATCGGCCAAGAGGTTTAGTAAACAACTATTACCTTAATTACGAAAGGGTAATTTATTATATCTATTGAACTATCCGTTATACTTTAGAATATTCAGAAATTCAGAACTTCGCACATGAATCCAAGAAATTTTCGGTAAGTTTTTTTTTTTTTCATCATCTTCATCAATTTAATTTTAATATTGACTTTTATCTTTTCCAAAAAAGCAACTATACTCTATTTGATTTTAGAATAAGGAAATTCGACTAACCTCTTGAGTGCCAGATATTTGTACCCTGTCGTCAAGAGTAATCTTCTGACAACTAGGGTTCTAATCTTAGCAGTAAACCTGTCCTTCTAAAATGTTGGTGGTTGGCAGTCTACTATCGCACTTCTGTTATCAATTGTCGTCCCTAACTTCTCACTATAAGCGGTATAATATTATATGCGGTTTTAACAAAAAAATCAACTTTTGGCTTAAAAATCTAATTTATAAAATTTATGAATAAAAAAGTGGTAAAATGGAAATTTAATGCAGTTCATTTGTGAGCTAAGGAAATTTGGAAAAAACGATGAATCAAGTGAATATTTATATGAAAAATTCTCACTTCTCTAATTTGCATATGAATATGCAACAAGCTTCAAGTATACTGTAATTTTTTAAAATCTATTTTGCTTCTTTTTTTCCAAAAAAAGAAAAAATTCAAATTTAAAATCGCTTATAATAATATTGTTTCGTAAAAATAGAAGATTTTTTTGCCAATGAATGCGAACAAAGAAGGAAATTTCCTTAATTTGCTTTCACCGCTTTTTCGAAATGGTTTTTTTAATGGTTTCTTCAATATCTAAAAAATCAAAAAGATCGCGCTCACCGTTCTTCATTTATCCTTCTTTTCTCACAACGAAATTAAATACGTCTGACTTGCAGTTTTTTGTTGAATTTTGCTTTTTTAGTTTTATTGCTGTTATTCTATAAAAAAACATTTAATGCTGTTATCGAAGAAAATCCGATATTCAGAAGAATTATTTCAGGACTTATGAGAATAATTCTTCATTCTCTTCATTCATCGCTTTTTCAATGTAACCATTTCAGGATTAAATAGATAGAAAATACAATACTGATTTCGAAAAAAGTGAAAAAAATGGTGAAAAAAATTAAAAAAATTATCTAAGTTAGTTATCATAAGCGCGTCGATGGCCCATTGACGAGATGATTGTCATCGAGAGTCGAGAATCAGATGGCAGTATCGCGTAATGCAGGAAACTAAAGGAGGTGGAATGGCTTAACTGCGCTATGCTTAGTTTGCAACCCTGATGCTGAAGTTCGACTTATCCTTTAAAAACTTGAATGATGTTGGCGACTCACCTCTATTTCTGTGAAGTTACTACATACTATTTTATTTATAATTTTTCTGATCTGGTAAGCTAGTGGAGCAAACGTGATCAGAAATAGTGAGCGCTTTCACAAAAAAATTCTTCATCATAATCTACAAAAATTCATTCAATGCTTTACTGTTTCCATGCACATTGAAAATCAAGGCATGCGAATTATGTAGAGAGAAAAAATATAGACAAAAACTAGCAGGCAGCCATGAGAGGCTCAAATCGAGATGGTCCTTCTTTTCTTCCAAATATCTTTCTAAATTTCGTTTGACAATAACTTGTGGAAAATATTAAATATATTATTTATCTTAATTTCAAGATTAGTTTAAGTTCAGAACCACTTTTTAAATTAAACATAAATCAACTTTCGTACGTTTATTCTTCATGCTAATAATCATTCATATAATCTGATATCATTTTCGAAGAATTCCGACTTTTTTCATTTTTTACATTAAGCATAGGAATAATATTTTAGTTTTATATGCGAACGGAAAATATTGAAACATAAGCAAAAAAATAATATTAATTGTAAGAATACAGAACACAGGGAACCGACTGGATAATGGCTAAGATTACTTTGCTCAGAGCAAAGTCTCCCAATAGAAACAAACGTGTCATTAAAAAATGAAAGTGGTGCTGGCAATTTGTATTTTCATCACAAATTGACTCCTTGAAAATAATTTTTAACTACATCAGCAACCTGTTTAACCAGAAATGATGAGTGCGAATTATTTTGCCCTCTTCTTTACGGTTTTATAGCATGAACATTAGATAGAAAAAAATTTGGCAAAATTTTGCCTTTTTGTTTTTTGCCAAATTTGTCAAATAAAAATTTTTTTGAAAATCCTTATTACCTATGTTCTTTTCTCCTTATTAAATAGCACTTTACTCAAATTTATAAATATAATTATAATTTTATATTATTATTTTTAATTTTATAATTTTTTTGACACTAAATCAAAATTTTTTGGCTTTATTTACCAGAATCATATTCCATTCATATTGTTTGATGCCTTTATTATTAGATTTACTCATACTTCGTTCATATTAGCTTTGTTCAAACAGCATTATTAATGTTATATGCAGCTTGCATAGTATACAAATACTTCTGACAAACCATATATGGTAGAATTAAATTCCTAGTGAATTGAAAATGATAATTAATTATTAATAATTAAATAAAATAATTAATTATTGCGAATTTGAGCAAATTTTTCAAAAAAAGAATGACGAATGTAAGTAAAATTAAATCAAAATTTGATTTATTGTACCTCTTAAATGAATTCATAATTTTGAAATTAAAATGAACTGCAATTCACAGTATTGTAACACAAGGATTTTATTTTCTTAATTTCATATATCTTAAAGGATCTTTCTGCCGAAACCATTTTCGATAGATAAGTAAATTTGCAAATTATTTTTTCAAGAAAATATTTTTTCCTCTTTCTTTGAAATTAAAAGTGAATGAAAAAAATTCTAGCTGTCCCAAATTTAATCAGTAAGTCTCTTCTTCTATAAATATTATCGTTATTTTTGATCTGGTAGAAAGTCACTTCACAATAGAAGCATATATGAATATTCAAAAACTCTCAACAATCTCAAACTTTCCAGAATGATTTCTGTAAAACCTAATGATGCATGCAAGTGATATGAATTGCAATTATGGGATAGCGAAAAAAATCAAATCAATCCGGAACATTTGTTCTTAATTTTAATTTTAGCATCTTAATTTATTGGTCAAGCGAAGTTAATATCGCCTTCGCATTTACACGTAGGCGTAAATCGGTGCAAATTCACATATGAAAAGTATATTGCTCATTTGTTTACTTTCAAATCTGATCAAGGATATGCCATTTTTCTTCGTTCAATGTTCTGCCATTCTGGCAAATTTCTTTATCATTTATCTGCAAAAGGTTTGAAATCTTGTTCCCGTATTATCATAAAGAAGATAAATAGATAATTAATAAGCAAATTATAAGATGTTAGATGTTATGCATGGATTAAAACGATCAGCTGAAAGATTTATGACCTAATAAGATAAAAAAATACAAATCATATCTAACAGGCGAAACCACGAGAGGAAAAAATCTTTAACTAAGAATAATTGCAGAACTATAGAAAACAAGTTAATCGACAATTTGTATAGCACAAATGCTAGCAAAGCCATAGACAAAGAGAAATGAAGAATTCAAGAGATTTTAAAAGTCCGCAAAGGTTGTATGTGAAAAAGATAACGGATACGAGACTTTCATATAAAAGCCAAGCAACTGATTTCTAACAATCTTAACATTCAAGCTGTTAAGCGTAGGAGAAGAAAGCTATTTTTCCAACCGTTGAAGAAGAGAGTATGAGAAATGCTTTCTTTACTTTAAAGCCTGGCTTCGCGTTCAGCTCGTCATATAGAACGATTTAGCAGCTATTCCGTCAGGTTTGACGTAGGCAACATATTACGACGAAATCCATTTATATTGCGATTTCCTTATTTTAGTTCTCTTTTTTCACGAATTCTTCTTATGGTCTCTGGCTTTATTCAAGTATTCCTTTAAGAAATCAACAAATGGCTAGTCGTAGACAACGACAGTATGAACGAAAATACAATACGTTCAGGTAAATTTTTAAGTTTTTTTATGGGTTTTTACTAACTACTTGGTGATTTTCAGTCAATTAGTTTGGTATAAATGACATAAGTTCTATTTTAACCGACATTTTCTCAAAATCAGTCATTCCCTTATTCTCTTATTGACTACCATATTTTGGTAATGATGGAACAAAATATCTGTTGGGCACCATAAGGCTTTGCTTTTATGTTTCCATCAATATTTATCCATAATTGAAACTTTTTATAATTTTTTCACATTATTTCCTCTATTTAAAAAGAAAATTTTGATTCTTTTTTTGTTATTAAGTTTGATGCAAAAACTTAATATGATACTTAATATATGAATAATTGGTATGAAATTTTTATCGAAAATAACCATATTATTACCAAAAATAGAAGTAGAAATTTCAGAAAATTCACGGCAACGGAAGATGTAAGCTATTCCTCACATACATCGCGGTCATCTTTTCGATCTGAATCCGTGACTCAAAAAACAAACCATTGCGGGCGAAGCACATCGTCAGAGATTATATCCGTAAATAAACGCAAATTTTTATATATATAGTCAATATCTAAGATTAATATATAAGAAAATAGTTTAACAGAGGAACATTAGCAACAGATAAGCTATTGCTAAATAAGTATTAAAGATCTAATTGATAATTTGTGGATGAAACAAATTATCAATTTTTTATTATCTCAAAAACCTAAATCAATGACTTACTATTACGAACACTATTTATCCAAGAAAATTAAGATATTATTTTTAGAGTTCGGAAACACGATCATTACCTGTTTATATAGCGATTCATGATTATACGCCAGAACCTAATGATTCTGATTCTGTCGCCCTTGAGCAGGGACAAATAGTTGAAGTCCTTGATAAAAAAAATGCTTCTTCATGGCTAATAAGAACGAAGGTTACTTGTTTTCATATACTATTATCTCAATTGTTTATCACGTGATGATATGAAGCATGAGGATTTTGGCCACACATCCTCAAAAGCTTCTCTGTATTCTTCCACTTTAAGGAGTACATTCAAGATAAGAAAAATTTGCAAAAATTTATTCTTTTCCAAACTGGAAATTTTTCCTTTTTCAATTTTAACAGAAGAAAAAATTGTTAATTCAGGCTCGCCCGCCGAAATCAGGTTGGGTCCCTGGCTGCTTTTTCGAGACACCGACGGAATACTATAAGCAACGAAGACGAACTCGCGAAATATCTGAAGCAGAGATGAATATGTCGGAGGAGCAACAAGCCATTATGAAACGCGAGTAAGTTATCTTTAAAATCATTTGAGCTAGGGTGAGCAGGACATACATTTTTTCTTCTCTCCCTTGAAAAACTTTTTTTTCTAAAAAAATTTATCGATGGAACGAATTTCGGCCACTTTAATCATTGCAATTACTTAATCATTATCTATACTATTATGTAAAAAATTTTTAAATTTCTTGTCAATATTTCAGTGTAATACTTTTATCCATCATTCTTTAATCAGACAGTCAGATGAAGATTTAGATTGTGCAATGCTATTACATATTTTGTTCTAACAATAATAAACAAATAATAAGCGCTTATTTAAAGTCTGGCACTTTGTTAATGTAAAATTAATGTTGGAGATAGTATATTGAGTCGATTGAGACCTTGTTTAAATTACCGTTTAATCACCATAGTCCAAAAGTGCTGCTTTACGGGAGTAATGCCTATCACTGAAAGTTAAATCTATGAACCTTTAATAGAAATCAGATGAATGGATATATTGAGAAGAAAGAAATATAAATGATTAAAATGTTTATAAATCGATCATATTTTCTTATTTTTAATAGAAATTTACCTCATGAAACGTTTCATAGCCTTTATTCTTTCATATATCATATAAGCAAAAGTTAATATTGAATTAAAAATAGTAAAATGACGGAAAATTCAAAATCATTTAAGCGAACCTTAAGGCTAAAATGAAAAGATACCAAAAATATTTGAAATATGAGCAAAAAGAAGTGAGAAAATATGAAAATATTCGAATCAACATAGATGTTTTTTAATAAATTCGGTTAATTACTCGATATTTGAGGATAAAAATTAGGTTTTCATTCTTGAAGACGGGATGGAAAAGTGGATAGATAACCCGGATTGTTAAAATGCAAGGATTTGCTTCTTTTTTCTGGTAGCTTCATTGGAAGAGAGCCAGTTATGAAAAAATCTCGGTTATAGTGGAAACCCACAAGTTCAGTGATTTCTTGAAAGATTTTTAATTCAGTAGCCAAAAATGAGTTATAATATTCTTTGGAAAAATGCTTTTTTACTTTGTTCACTTAATAATAAGTTATTGATAAATTTAAAACCAATAAGGAATTCAAAAATTTTTATTTCATTCGTGGTTTCTTTTAGAAACTTTGGCGACAGCAAAAAAATTATCGTGGTGATTGAGTTACATATATGTACAATGTGTTGGAGCTAGGTGACCTCCCAAAAGATCAACAAAACAGTCTGATAGCTTAAAGCGATATAAGATCAATCCTTTAAAAAGGATTTAGGAAGAATTTAATTCATTGAAGAGAACATAGAAAACATATTTTCATGGAGTGAAAAATGGTTGTAAAAAAATTCTATGAACCATTTTCACATTTTTAATAGTTTAGAAATTGCCATTTTCAGAACATATTTTGAAAAAAATTTTTAATTTGTAGCCAAGTTTACCATGATCTCTTGCGATCCGAGGAAGAGTTTGTCGAAGGCTTGCGTCATGTTGTTGACAATTACATACGCACTTTTGAAGATGAGTGGGTTCCACAGCAAATCAAGAAAATCAAAGAAGATTTAGCCTCTAATATCAAAGAGCTATACAATTTTCATGCCAAGTAAAAATCTCATATTTATTATCATTATTTTTAACCAAATAAATATCGAAAAGAAGGTGAATAAATTTAGTATAAAATTTTTGCTGTAGATATGTGGTGCAAGAATTTGGAAAATCGGCCAAATTTTTGGGATTTGCACCAATGACAAGACTTACATTGGTATCAAATAATATAGGAGGGTAAGCAAAGTACCGGAATCTTCCAGATATTTTTTTATAGTCGCAAAAATATTTCCGTTAAAATGTATTAAACTAAAAATAAAATTATTATATCATATATTATGTAATTTATTTCTCGAATTATTATGGCTTTTTATAGCCAGTATGGCTTTATCATATTTTTCATAATAAAAATAAAAATGGCAAAATTATATTTTTAAGGATGCTTTGCAAATAGTAGTGAAAATTACATTTAAGTTTTAAGCGTTTTGCTGAAAGGTCTTCAATATTATTCCGATGATCCAGGTAAGGTTGGACAGACATTCATTCGTTTAGAGAAGGATTTCGATCATCATGTTTATTTCCATGAAAAAATGCCGTCTTTACTGAAATGTTTGGCAGATGCAACTGTTAACGAATTCATTCAGGTTTCTGTTTAATTTGTTTTTTCTGCAATTTCTCTATTTTCTTATCAGTCATTTGCTTTTTATATTTTAGTTTTCATTGCAAATGCCAACCATAAAAATTGATACAAACCTTTAAATGAATCAAGTCTTCATTTTGTTGTTTGTTCTTGTATTCTGATAAACACTGTGGGGAGAGACAGAGATTGAATGGTATATTTGTTTTAATCGAGCACCAGAGGTCGAATTTCTGTAGGAGTAAGATTGTTTCTACAATATCTGGATGGAGCTTACTTTTTTTTTTGAAACGACCTCATAGCAAAAGTTTTTAACCGTAATAATAGTGGAAACAGTCTGACTAGAAATGATGATCACTATTCACTTGCTTACTTACTGACTTGACACTTTATTTATTTTATTTATTTATTGATAACCAGCCAAGCAGGGCGACAACGCCATGTGCTTGTATTAATAATAACAATTAAGATAACAGAAAAAGAAAACACAAAAAAAAATATAACAACAAAATTAATTATAAAACAATATGACAAAAATTAACAATTAACAATTTAAAGAGGAAATTACAGATCAATATAATATAGTACAATTCGAAGTAACATATATAACCTGAAGATAAAATCGAGATTTCTCACTTCCTGCAATTCTTTGGTGTAAACTCTTCTCTTTTTTTTTTTTTTAAATAATATCGTAAATGATATTATCTAGTCTTTTTTTAAAGACAGCTAAGGATGACGCACAAGCTACATCGTTCGGTAATTTGTTCCAGTAATTAATAGTACGAATAAAGAAGTCATGAGTCCTTAGTTTAGTTCTGCATATAGGTTTTAGTAATTTTGAGCCATTAGTTCTTGTTGGATTCAAATTTAGTATAAAGTTATAATAATTTGAGCAATCTAGTTTAACATAACCATGCAGAATCTTATATGTGTAAATTAAATCTTGTTTAATTCTACGAACTGAGAGAGAATCCATGTTATGTTGTAGAAGTGTTCTTTTATAATTAAAATTATAATTTTTATTAGGAGAGAGGTGTCTTAGAAAATATTTTTGGAGTCCTTCAATTATTTACCTGTTTTGCGATGTCTCGGGGAGTAACATATAGTATTGTAGTTAAGAAGAGGCTGAACGAATGCTTTGTATAATTTAAAACTTTATAAGAAAACTTTCAGTTTTGTTCTTAAACGAATGAAAAATAAAATTTAGTATCCTTGAGGATTTCTTTACCATGGTTCTGCAGTGAAAATCGAAATCGAGATTTTCATCCATGATTATTCCAAGATCGGAGATGTGTGAGACTCTATTGATTAAATTACCATTTATAAAAAAGGTTAGAAAGATCGAATCCTTTAGAGTTGATGTGAAGAACACTACATTTTTGAAAGGAAAGGGTAATTTGCCTGTCATATAGCCAGTCAGCTATTCTGTTAAGGTCCTCCTGCAGTGGAGATAGGCTATCCGTTCTACCATGAGAATAATAAATTTTACAATCATTAGCATAAAGATAAATAGTAGAATTTATTACCACTGTGGTGATATCATTTATATATAATAGAAATAGCAATGGCGCAATATAACTGCCTTGGGAAACGAAACAAAATATTCGATACAATGCAATAATCGCTCGGCTCTACTCTAATGGAAAAAAAAGATATTTATGCAAGAATTTTAGGCAGTAAATTTCGTTTATAAATTTTGTCTTAATCAAAAATAAATTTAAAACGAATTTCAATTTGTTTATTAATTTGTTTAAGTGGTTTCTTAAGAAAGTGGTGAAGGGCTGCGGAATTGAAAAAAGAGGGTTGAAAGGATTGACTGAAAGGGCTGAACATGCACTACAAACCAATACTTAATGAAATACTTGCTTAAAACTTAATGAAATCCTATATTTTCTTTATATCTTCTCAAGCACTTTGCATTACATAAACACTAAACTTGTTAAGCCTTCAAAATACTGCATTGCAGACTGCAATTTCGCACCCTATTAACATCGTAATTTCTCTGCTTTGCAAAAATTTCTATATAAGCTTCTATGCTATGCAGACTTTCTATGTAAAAATTTTGTTTATATTATCTGTTTCTTTGCTTTTTTTATTTTTTTTTGGCACCTAATGTTATATTAGCGACAAAAAAACGTTATAACCATAAAAAAATAATTTGGAATACAGCAGTGCGAATCATCAAAATTATCTCATGCTATTATCTCATGCTCCTAGTAAATGTTTATTGAATGCGTGTCCGGAAAAGTTTGGCTCAAAAGGATTGCAGAGTCATTATCCCTCCTTCTCTTAATGCATAAATCATAGGTATAATTCTTTGCCCTTTCATTTTCCTTATAATTCATCTCGTTCTCCTGCATTTTCTTCCTTTCACTCTTAATTATGATGAGCATAAAAACATATGTATATATATATATATATATATATATATATAGTAAATGATATATATATAAATATATTTATATATATACATATATAAATATATATATATATAAATATATATATATAAATATATATATATATATAGTAAATGATAAGCTTCAGCAGAATTTCAACTATTCACTTTGGTCTTAATGAAACACTTTATGCACAGTGCACAACTTGTTTCTTATAGAATTATACTTATTTACTATATCTTCTTGTTCAAGTCGACAGTATGGCTCTATAAGAATAACTATTAACTTGTTTTATCCAGGACGAAAGCTGATGTTATTTTTCATTAGGACCATAAATTAACTCATATAATAACCCGACCGCCACTTCGAATATTAGGGTCATTTATGAATAATTTTTCTCAAACTCTCGCAATGCAGCTTTTTTCTCGTAACTTGTAGAAATCTTGTGTAGATCAGGCACATCGTCGCTTCCTTCTTTCCTTCTCGTCTTTCTTGAAAAGGAGACCAAACCCAATGGTTTAAGGCTGAACTTTTTATGCAGTAAATTGTTCGTTTTCGTTCTAACTTATCTGTTTGTATTCTTTTTTATTTTCTTCTTTTTCATTATTTCTTAATGATTAAATATAAATAAATTAAATTAATTCGATACAATTAAAATTATAAATTCAATCAAAATTAAACAAAACAAATATCACTTCATTTGTTCCAAAATTTTCTTGTAAATTTTTTTTTTTGATCAGTAAAAATTGTTTTATGTTATTTTTAATATTAAAATTATTACAAAAAATTATTAAAAGAATTATTTATGGGAATTTTTACGTACTATTTTCTTTTCGCTATGATTTTATATTCACTTACAATGTCTTTGTTGAATATGTATGTCTGGAAAAGCTTTGCCCAAAACTAATTCATAGAAGAGAGCTGGCAAAGTTACCCAAGAGGAAAATAGTTTTAGGTAAATAGTTTTAGTTAAAAAATAAATCGGAGAAATGCAAAATTCTTTCCATGGAATTAAGATTTAGGCAACAACTGCCAGAAAAAAATTTCCATTTTGTCAAATATCAATTAGATTTTCAATAGAATGGCTCACTAGTATTTTGTCGTTCATTTCTGAGTGTCGATACTAAGATTCTGCTCGGCGAGATAAGACGGAATGAATCTATCGTTCAAAAATCCGGATGATGCTAGGGATGATGATCTGGATGATGATGTCTATAACCAAGATATAAGATTTGTTTGAGGCCGACCAGCGAGATTAACCAGCAGTGGTAAGGGACCTTAGAAAAAAAAAAAGATCTTTGAAATTTTATTTATTTCGTTAATTTTAATTTTTTGATTTTTTTTGATTTGATTTTTAATTTAGTTTCTTAGCACATTTTAATTAGATAATAATACATCAGATTACCATGTTAAAAGGCAAGGGTTCGGCTTTTACTCAAAGCTTTAACTCTAATAAAATTATCATTAATAAATACGAGTGGTGCTAGCGAAGCAGTGAGGCATCCGTATTTATATGACAATATACGACAGAAATTTCTACTGCTATAACCATACTGCCAGTAGAGCTAGTCTAACCAAAAATAGTCACATTAATCACCTATTTCATTTATAATTATTAACCATTCTTCTATATGCAGCTCATCGGAAATTGGTTCATGATTATTTATTTTCGATATCCTAATCTTTTTAATATTCAATGTACTATACTGAAATGCTTGTTATTCTTATCGAAGAGTTTGCTTAAATTTATTGCTTGAATTGTTTTTTCTAGATCTATCTTTATTACAATTATAAACTTATCAACTTGAACTGAATGTCATATTTTTTTTGCCAAAACAACAAATGATTAAATGAATGAACTTTTTCAGGAAATAAGTAATAAATCCGAGGCGGGCTCTAAGAATTATGAAGATTATATTAAAGATATTGCAGAACGAATGGTTCAGTATCAGAATTATTTCAAAGTAAGTCGAAAAACAAATCTTGTTTAAATTTTTTGCCTAAAATGAATATTTAAAGAAAAATTCTGCAGAAATCCAATTGATATTCTTTCTCTATATTTCTGTTCTTTTGGTAGAAGTAATAACACATTAATTACTACGAGCAAAAATGGAAATTAATAATTTACAAATCAACTTTTTTCATGCTTGCAGTATTTTTTAAGATTTTTTTACAGTGAAAGATTGTTTATTACTCCCATGAATGTCATATTAAATTGTTATGCAAAATGCGAAAGTATGGCTTATTTAGAAAGTATGGTTAATGTTATTGGTCCAACTGTGTTTATATCGATTAAGAAATCTTTATTGTACAATAATACTAACAATAAAAATTTTGTAGGAGTTCGTCAAATATTCTTCTCGAGCCAAGCATAATACGAAGATTATGCAGAAAGCACTTGAGCTAACATTATCAATTCCTCAGCGTGCCACTGATTTAATTTATATAAATAATATTGAAGAATATCCTGGTGATGTGAAAAGACTTGGACGACTTTACCGACACGTATTTTGCATTAATGCATTAAATTATTTGATTTTTTGATTGGGATTTTTTTCTTCACTAGAAATGTGAAAAATCTTCATATTTATAGATTACTAAAAGTAAATAATTGTTTAATTTGTTATTTCTAAGAATTCGCACCACTACTGATTAAACTGATATCGCTGGTTACAAGCTTGAACTGTTTCCAGGCATTTCGGTTCGATGCCATATCGCATAAAATAATATAATTTTTTTTTTAACCCAAATTTTAATAATTGAAGAAGTAAAAGAAGTAAATAATTTTATAATAGTTTCAAGAAAAATAATATTTTTTGCAATTTTCTTGCAAGATATTCTTTATTTTTAGGACGTATTCCTTTTATGGGAAAATGATGAAGAGCCCATCGACTGCTATGCATTTCTATTCAAAAATAAGCTTTTGTTAACAAAAAAAGATACAAGAAAAGATCCTCCAATATATAAGTATTACTCTACTATTAGAGTAAGTAATCCTTTATCAAAATTTAGTAGTTTGTATCAAATTCGCAATAATCTACAATTTTCCATAAAGAAACAATGGAAGAAATAAAAATAATTTATTATAAATAATAGTATTGTAAAAAAATAAAGCAAATCGAAGAAGCATGATCTAAATATATTTTCAGCTCGACAGGTATGCCGTAGGATCAGTAAAAAATGAGGAAGATACCATTGAAATGAAACCTCATGAATATGATTTACCAACATATCGAATACGTGCCAAAGATATAGCAACCATGGAAATTGTGCGACAAGCTTGGCTAAAAAATATTCAAGAAATGAAGGATGATTTAGGTAAACTAAATTGATTAGATAGCAGGATATTTTTCTATGATTTTTGGTGACTGTTCTTGAGTGATTTATGAGGAATTATCAAGTTCATTTCATATTTCTATTTTTTCGGTTAGCATTTACCATTACTGGTTAAGCTAGGCTAAAGACCACAAAGATTTTGTCAGGGACTCACTTGGCGATATAAGTGCAGAAGAATCGCCAGTATCACCAGGATTTTTGAAGTACTTCTACCTCAACATCAGCGCTTTAAACTGAGTAAAAATCTATTGAGTCATTCTACTTATTGCTTTTGCCGTTTGACAACGTTGCCACGCAACGAAGAATCGTCTGAATTTAAATCCAGGCCTCGATTCTCTTGGCAGTTGTTTCGCCACTGAGCTACCGATACATCTAATTTATGTTAAGTTTGCAATGGTGAAGTTTGCCAAATATGGATGGCACTGGTCAAAAATGAAAATGCAGAAATACATTTATTTCAGGATATTTTTTAAATTACCATTTAATATGGAGCCAACTGCAGTTTCATGGACATAATGCTCGATTAATGTTTTTTGACTTATTGCTTCTTGAGGGTAAACGGATAAGTAAAATAAAAAGTTTTATCTGTGTAGTGCTGTGGATCAAGGTGATAGCAGAGGCTCAAATTCTATATTCAAGTGATTCTTTAGCAAAACGACCTCATTCTAGCATAGTATAGGCATGAACCAAGCCAAAGGAAAAAAGCGGTCTTGTAATTGTGAAACATCTAAATTTTTTTTATGCTGTAACCTACTTGGAGGTATGTTTAAATAACTCATAGTTGTTACTGAATAAGTTTGTACGAAATAAAGTAAAGGATGATTAGAAATGAGAACATGCGTGGAACGTCCGCTAAATGATACTGATGGGAATGCGAAGAATGTGGGGGCGTTAAATCGAATTGAAGTCATAAAATTCAAGCTGAAAATACTGAGTTCAGAGAAAAATAGGAAGATTTTTAGTGTAAAGTGTTTTCTCTGGGATAAATCGTTCTTTAGCAATTGGCACGAATTTGAAGTTAAGCGAAAGTTTTGTGCACTCGTTGCCTCTTTTATTTGTTTATAAAACAAGTTGTTACCAATATCCTCATCATCATCCGAAAAATTCATCATTCTCTTGCAAATCCAACTATACTGTAAAGATCTGATATTTGGATATCGGTAACTGGCCCCGGTTAAGGAGCTGAGAATTCATGAATCCGATATTTGAACCGGTTCTTTTCTATTATTTCTGAACAGGTTCTATCAATCGCGTTCAATGGTTGTTATTGAACCTCGTTTGCTTATTACGTCGGCTTATTCTTATATATATATATATATACTTTTATTATTCTCTAAATAATCACAATGCTCGTTCGATGTATGTATATAATTGAATTAACTGAAACCGAGGATGGTGGCCTTGAACTTGTTGACCCATCTTGGTGTAAGTTTTTTTCTTAACGATATTTATTTAAGCAAGTGATCGAGATATGGAAACAGAAACAACAACTGAACCGGATATGAATTTAAGCGATATTCATTCAGAATTCAGCGAATATTCAACTCTTTCTCGTAGTTTATTTGGTAAAAAAAATGAAAAATTTTGTTTTAGAAAGGCAAAATTAACGAATTGATAAAACTGAATTTTGCTGACAAAGAAAGGGAAAAGAGAGATAAAATAAAAGAGAATTTTACTGCTGAAAAAATGTTTACAATCAGTTATAAATTTAAAGATCTTAATAACAGATTTTCTTTATCTGTTTTTCCATATTTTGTTTTGTTTAGAAATATGAGAGAAATCCTCGAAAATAAGAAACTAAGAAAATTTCATTAGAAAAAAGATTGGTTTGAAATTGAAACAGAAAATGAGTAGTTCATGAATTTTTTTTCTGAGTCCAAAGGTTTATAAAATAAAATAATAAGACATCGGATTATTATGGTGCGCAAATTTGTGCAGGATGAAAATTGCAGGCCCTGAAGAAGGTCCACCGAGGAAAAAAATTAAATCGCCACCAGTCATATCGCCAACTGCTTCATCTACCAGTTTGTATAGTGGTGGAAGTAGTTCAATCGATTGGAGTAAGTTCTTTATTTAATGGTTGAGTTTCTTTCTAATCGTTCTATCAGTTAGAGCCATGCATGAGTTCATTGAAATATAAAATTGTGATAGAATATGTTTCTCAAAAAATGCTTTTCATCTGTTGCTCGACGAGTAGCCAATAAAAGTAAAAACCTGCAATAAAAATTTCATAAAGTTAGTTGAATTTTTTTATCAATAAGTCATGAAAAAAAGGGTCTTTACTTTGTTGAAAATGGATTATTTGAGTTTTTTTGGAGTTTTACAAAAACCAGTAATTATATATCCATTAAATGTATCCATTAAACTATTTCTATATATCTGATAAAATTGATGATTTTCAGCGACAACTGGTACTACGTTAGATATGCAAGGAACTCGGGTGACGAGAACGCAATACGGCTTTCGTTCACTTCAAGAATCTTCTGCGAAAATGTGCTTAAAAGTTACGGGTTATCCTTTGCCCGAGATCACATGGTATAAATATCTCCTCTTTTTTCAGCTTATTGCATGTTACTGTGCTATCACACATATTGGTGCCATTTCACAGAGGAAAATTCAGCAATTTTATTTTCAGCTTGCATGCTGCATAAATTCTAGTGAGATGGATGAAAATTTACTTATGAGCCTTTGAATTGAGAACCTTCTGTCTCGATTTGGCTAATGAAGCATGGCTATAACTGATTGTTGATTATCTCCAGAGGTGCTCCAGAGGTGTCGCAGATAAATAAATACAATGTGTAGCCGATTCATCTTCCGGCCCCATTGCGTATTATGGTTAACATGACAATGCCTTAAAATAAAGACTTGCAACATTTTTTTGCGCCATGAAAATTTTATGTTGAATTCTCTTTTTATTTAAAGCTTACAGCTTTTGCGAATGATATTTTTAAATGAAATAAGTAGAAATGCAGTGGAAAAATAATGCATGCGTGATTAAGTATGTCTGCGATTAGTGGTCTGCTCGCTATTCGTTTTTCCTAAATTCATGGTTGAAAAAAAAGTTCTAAATGTTAGTGGAAATAAACATTTTTCGCCATGTTGATTAGTGAGTTTTAGTGATTTATTGGCCATAAATCATAACTTCCGTCTGAAATACTTCCGTTTCATTGTAAAAATACGAAATGAAAATTTAGGTACAAAGGTGATGAATTATTGAAAGAAGACGAACGACATACATTTTATTCTGATGAAGATGGCTTTTTTGCATTAACCATTGACCCGGTTAAAGTAGAGGATACAGGACGTTACACCTGTATGGCAACAAATGAATATGGGCAAGCTTCAACTTCTGCATTTTTCAGAGTACATAGAGGTGAAAAATTACATGTTCTCTAAAATTCTCTAAAATTAATTTTTTGTCAGGGTTGTTTCATAAATGTCTTGAGAAACTTGAAATATAATTCTAGTAGAGAAAGAAACTGCTGCACCAGTTTTTATAACTACACTCAAAGATCACGAAATAAAGGAAGGAGAAACAGTGTCTTTCGAATGTGAGGTATAATTATTTATTACTAATTACTTATTAATTACTTTTTACTTTATAAATTAAAGAAGACCAAATATTTTTTTTATACCATAAAATTCTGAAAAAAGCTTATGGACTGCGATTAAACTCTTGTCTTTCAGTAGAGAACCTTCAGTAGAGACAAAGAATTTTTTGAAAAGAATTTCAATTCTGAAAGAAAGATCTAGAATTAATTTCTTCTTGCAGTGAAAAAGAATTTTTAAATTTCTTTTGTAAAAAAATAACTTTTAGGTGGAAGGTTGGCCCGAACCAGAATTGTTGTGGCTGATCGATGACCAGCCTTTACGGCCTTCTCATGATTTTAGATTAGAATATGATGGGCAAAAAGCTAAGTTAGAAATACGCGATGCTCAACCTGAGGACACTGGTATTTATATTATTAGAATTAGAAATGAATACGGGTCTGCAGAATCGAACGCTAAACTTACCGTGGAACCTGATCCGGACAAAAATCATGTCGCCCCTGATTTTCAAGTACTAATTTGACCATACTTAAATCAGCTAATTTAATTTTATATTAAGTGACGTGAATAAAATAAAGCAGATAGAAATGAAAATAAAATAAAATAAAAAGGTAATCAAAAGAGTAATCGCAGTTGATATTTAAGAAAATGAAGAATTTATAGAAAGTTTCAAACAGGGTTCAACAAATATCACCACATATTTTCAGGCTGATATAAATTTTTTTAATCTTTAAGGCAACAATTGATGATGTTGACTGCAATGAAGGTGATACCGTACGATTCAAGGCCGTCATTACCGGCGATCCTACCCCAGACGTAAATTCTTTATAGTCATTCATAATTTCTTTTAAATAGATCAAAAAAAAATCAATTCTAGATTGTGTGGATGTTAAATGGTATAGCACTGTCTCAATCAGAAAAAATAAAATTTATTAGTGAAGATGGTATTTTAATATTGACAATACACGACGTTTCAAGGCATTTTGATGGAATTGTTACCTGTCAGGTTAAATTATATCCCATATTTTTTCCGATTTATGGACTTTTTCAAAAAAAATTATGTAATGATCAAGAAAACCTCAAACATCTTCTATAAATGACGTTCAGTCACTGATATCAGCAGCTGGAAAATATTATCTACATTTCTGAAACTAGTTAAGACTAGTTCTGCAAATGAGAAACCTACATATTTCGATGGTATTATATATATTTTTTATATACATTTAAATTTGTATACATAAATTTATATATATTTTGTATATTATATATATTATCACCTACATTATCTATCAATCTATTACCTACATTTTAATCTATATTTCAATCTAAATCTAATCATTTAATCATATTTATTTCTGCATATTTTTTTATTTCGTAGTTTGCCAAAATTCTAGCATTTATAGATTTCTCTCGAATTTTGGCATCCTCTGCCATTCTATTAATTTCCTTTTACTTCGCATGATTCACATCTATTCTTTAATACATAGTTAAAATAAATAAGGTTATATTTATGAGAAATTTTTAGGCTACGAACAGACTTGGAATGCAAACTTGTGATGCTCGCATAAGAGTCCGAGTGCCACCATCACCTCCACAGTTCATTCGCCCTCTAGAAGATCGAGTAACACAAGAAGGTGGAACGATTACTTTAGAAACAGAAATCAGTGGTTTTCCACGACCAAAAGTCTCGTTTATGTTACAGAACAAAACTGTAAGGATTTTTAAAGCAATAAGGGCAATGTTACATATTAAGTCGTTTAATCTTACGAGTTATTGTAATATTCAATTTCAGCAGTATATATTTGATATAATTTCTCATTTCCAAGTATTACCTTATATCAAACACCTTTAGTTGGTTTCTGGCATAAATGGTGTAGAGATAGCTGATAAAAGTGATGGAATCTATCGGATCGAGATATCACATGCAAATCTTGTTAAGCATGATGGTGAAATAATTTGTACAGCAATGAATGAGCATGGTCAAGCCGAAAGTCGTGCTCGAATTATCGTAGAGCCAATTGAAGAAGAATCAAAGTCGTCTCCCACATTTTTAAAAGACCTTGAAGATCAAGTAAGTAAACTCATTCCATAAATTTCTGGTCGATGATTAAGTGTAAAGAAAATAAGTAAAGTAAGAATCTATCCAAAATTTATTATTGATCGGACTGAGTGATGAAATCTAATTTTCGTCTTCTCAATAGTACAGTTAAAGGTAATTTAGACTGTGAAAATAGGCGAAGTAGCGGTGTTTGAAACAGCAGTTGATGGCACTCCAAAACCAGAAGTTATTTGGTTCATAGATGGCGAACAGTTGACTAAGACAACTATAGGTGCTAAAATTGAAGTCAGTGAAAATACTCATAAACTTACTCTTGATTCAATGCAACATGCAGGCGTAGTACTTTGCAAGTTGGTTCTTTTCTTCGATTCTTTTACATCCATTACTTGACAAAATGCTTAATCAAGAATGTACAAAATAATGACAAAACGCCTGGAAATTTATCGAAACTTCGAAGCAAGAAGTTAAAAAATCCTGAAGAATACTAATATAGCCACATGCACTCGGTAATAATTGTATAAAAATCCGAAAAAAAAAATAAAAATAAGAATCGATAGAATTTCAGACTTATTCAGACCCATAATTAAAAAGTTGTACTGCATGCATAAGAAATATTGAGAAAATTTCTTGGTACAAACAAAATGCGACATTTTTTCACCATTCTTGCATATTTTCAGAGCAGAAAATTCTGTTGGTCGGTGTGAAACAAGAGCAAAACTTATAATACTGGATGAGAAAAGGAAAAAACCACAGTTTTTAAAGCACTTAACGGAGATGGCGATTGTTGAAGGTTCAAATGCTATTTTTGAGATCGAAATTGAAGCCGAACCAAAAGCAACGCTAAATTGGACGTTGAGTGAGAAGAATCTTATCGATATGCCCGTATCTTATTTTAATTTTTGCTTCAGAATAATTTACAATCCAAAATAAAATGAAACAAATTAATGAAAAATCTATTGATTAACTTTGTCACTCTATTTGCTTTTTCGAATATCTATTGTGAACATAATAATAAAATAAAAAACTTACATAACTTAGCAATAAATTTCAGAATGTCCAAATTCGAGAATTTGATAGTAACTACAAAGTAGAGATAAGCAACGTCTCCCTCGATCTAGCTGGGACTATAAAGTGCATAGCTGAAAATTCAGAAGGAAGTTCGCAGTCAACTGGACAACTTATAGTAAAAAAGAAACCTCATGCACCAAAATTCGAGAAATGTCCAGAAAATATTATTATCCAACGAGGATCTGAAGCCTATTTTGATGCTCGTGCAAATGCTACCCCTGAGCCAAAATATCAATGGTCAGTTGAAGGTCGCAAAGTTACTGAAATGACCGACGGTGTGAAGATTATGTTAAATCAAGGTGTATCGACATTGATAATTGACACAAACAAATTTGGCTCCTCTACAGTTTCAGTAACTGCTGAAAATGACTTGGGTTTTGACGAAACTAGTGCATTGCTTATTATTGAAGAAAGTTCATGGGTGAATATGGAGAAATTAACAGAAAGGAAAATTAGAATTTTCGAAGAAACAGATTCTAATGTCGCACAAATATCGCAAAATGGTGCTGCGGAAGATAAATTAAAAGTAGCAGAAATTAATAAAATGAATATCAAAGAATGTGATGAAAACAAAAAACCATTTATTATAAAGCCATTACAAGATCAAGCAGTTAAACTTGGTGAGAATGCACATTTTAGCGTCGAAATTAAATTGGCAGATAAGGTGGAATGGTTCAGCAATGAAAGAAAAATTTCTGCTGGTATGCCAGGTATGCTTTACGAAAAAATGAGAAAATTTCCTCGAATCATTTTGAAAAACTGTAGAAATAAATACAATAAAAGATAATTCTGATAAAAACATTTCAAAATTTTGTTCTTTGGCATGTCCTTCTGGGCTGGATGCAAAATACTATCCTTAACTTATCATAAATCTTATTCCTGTCAAGGGACAGGAATGCATGGTGAATACTTTTTTGATCTCTAATTTCTAATTTTTATACCTTATCAATTCTATTTTGATTTAGGAGTTACAATCATTGCCAATGATAACTACGAATTTCGACTGACCGTCGATTCTGCTCAATTTGCTGGAACTATTGCAGTAAAAGCAGAAAATTCTTTCGGCATAGCTGATTCTTCTGCTAAATTAACCTTTATTAGGGAAATAATGCTGCCAGAATTCGTTACTCCCTTGGTTGATACGAATCTTGTGGAAGGTGAAACTTTGAAAATGGTTGCTGAAACGTCAAATGCTTCACAGTTTGAGTGGAGAAAAGGTGACATTATTTTGAAGGTTCGTTAATAAATTATCTATTTTAAAATTAAACTTAAAATTAAACTTAAAATTTATTCATTAAATAATTGAATAAAAATCAAATTTTAACATAACTAAGCTTCAGGGCAAATGTGTAGAATATTTAAAATATTAATATAAATATAATTATATATTAATAAGTATAAAATCTTGCTAAAATTAAAATATTAGGCACAAATTCTTTTAGCATGGCGAAGATGGTATTAAAATTATTAGCAGTCTAAGCAAAACTATTTTGGAAATTGATCAAGTTAAATGTGATAATGATGGTACATTTATTGTATTAGCTAGCAATGAAGCTGGGCAAGTTAGTTCAATTGCTAGGCTAACGGTTACAAAAAAGATCGAGCCAGCGAAAATTGTGGAAGGTTTGTGAATGCTTTATAAATAACAGTCTCCACTTACAGTTTTTTACAAATTATTAAAATTCAGTAAGCTCACTGCTTTTAGAAATATGAATTTTCCGAATTTGCTATCTTTATTTCTCAGTATCTAAGCGTAAAATTGAAAAGAACTGAAAAATTGCTGAAAAAACGATTGATTTTTTTGGAATGTAGGGCCTAAATCAGTGTCAATCAAGGAAATGGAAACTGCTGAATTTGTCATCAAAGTAACAGGAACACCGACTCCAATAGTTCAGTGGATGCTTAACACTCAAATCGTAAAAGACAATGAAAATATTTCTATTAAAACCGATGGCACAACACATACGTTGATTATTGATAAAGCTATATTACGACAAGCTGGTGAGATTGTTGTCGTCGCGCAAAATCCAGTAGGAACAGATACTAAATCTGCTATACTGAAGGTGAGCCATTCCTGAGATCTTAAGATTTCGACAATCTGAAGGACTTGAATAAAGCCGACAAGTAAAAGCAAATGGCAGTTTGAAAACAAATGAGCCATTCCGCATTAAAATTTAGAATTAAAACTTCTCCAATCGTATTATTTAAAGCAATTTTTCACAAGATTGAAAATTAAAACTTCTGTCATACTTAGAGTTGATTAAACCAGTTTTTCACCAGGAAAAATAAGATAAATTTCTTCATTTTTTCTTAAAGAAAAAATGAGCAGTGCTGGCTATATGCACTTATATCACGAATTTACCCTCTGCTAAAATTTTGCGACCGGTAGAAGAAGAAATTCTTTCGTAATTTTTACAGCATTTTCTGGCATCTTGACTACTGAAGCTTTTTGAGAATAGAGTACGAGCGAATCCCCAATGCCACCAATTATTTTTAATGGCAAGGTTTAATTCTGACAAAATATAGGAATCCAATAATATTCGTGGCATTAAAAATTTCTCTTTGTTAATATATGTGAACATAATTTTTTATCAGTGGTTGCGGTACATCGTAAATTCTTTGTATATTAAATGACGGATGACGAAGATATTATATTGGGATAATTAGAACCCGTTAGAACCCGTTGCTCGACTTATTTGGTAAAGTAGTTTTAATTTTTATTTAATAATTATATTTTATATTAATATTTGTATTTAATAATAATAATTAATTTTAGATTGAGCCTGACATTACGAAACCAGTCTTTAAAATACATTTAATTGATCGAACAGTAAATGAAGAAGAACCATTGCGTTGGGATGTATCTTTGGAACATCCATACAAAGGAACAAGAGTCTCTTGGATCTTAAATGGTGAAGAACTTGTGGCAAGCGATAAAGTACAAATTGAAGATCATGGTTGGAAAATTATATTTTAGTTGCTAACTCCCAACTTATTTCATTTTTCTTGATTTCAACCATCTAAAAATTTAATAAAATAATGTTATAATAAATAATAAAGTAAAAAATTTAATAGAATAATGAATCATTCTAGGCGACGGTTCCTATCACCTTACAATCGCTGATGCTAAACCAGGAATGGCTGGTACGTTAGTCTGCAAGGCCGAAAACAGTCGTGGAGTAAGTGAATCTCGTTCAACATTGACCGTGACTGAGATTGATAAGCCACCGAAGTTCACGAAATCACCACAGGATCATGATACTATTGAAGAAACATCAGTGAAATTTAGCGCTACAGTTACTGGGAAACCAAAACCAAATGTGTCTTGGTTATTAAATAATGTTAAGATCGATTCATCTGAAGAAATCAAAATGAAATATGACGAATCTACTGGTAAAACGTCAATTAGAATCATGAATCCGAAAGAAAGTCATAGTGGAACGGTATTTTTTCAATCTTCAGTATAATAAAGAATGATCAGATTCAAACGGAAAAAAAGGAAAAAAGCAAAAAATTCACTTAATTTATCAAAACTTTTCAGGTAACTGTACAAGCTGAGAATCGCTTAGGCAAAGCAGAAGCTTCTTCAAAATTGACTGTAACGAAGAAAAATGAACCACCGAGATTTATCAATGATATGAACAGTCGTCAGGTCGATGAAGGCACAACTGTGAAATTTAGTGTAACTGTAGCTGGGTATCCGAAACCTGACGTTCAATGGTTCCTTCATGGAAAATCGATTGAGCAAAATGAGTGAAATTTTATGTTTCAACTGAAAATAATTCACCTTCAATGCCAGCAGATTAGCATATATGTTAAAAATTCAAAATTCTTTGATTTAACCATTCAAGAGTTTCATGAAAAAACCTCCCTAAAAACGTTTTTAAAGAAAAAGAAGTGGAATAATTCATTGACAATAATTCATTTTTTAAAATAATTTGTTAATTTTTGTCTGAAATTTTATCTCTATGGAAACTATTTTCATATAATAATTCGCAGTATTTTTAAGACGGCGCAAATTATCATAGAAATCTTTGAAAATTTTTCGAAATTTTTATATTCTTTAAGGACTTTTCTATATCAAATTCCACTTAGTTTTTGCATCATACTTTGCACAAAATTCCTTCTTATTCGTTTTTTTAGTTCAATGCAAATTACTGTGGAGAACGATATACATACTCTTATAATGAAGGATGTTGTTCCCGAACAAACAGGCGAAATATGTTGTGAGGCAAAAAATGCAGTTGGATCAAAAAAACAGTTCGCATCTCTGGCAGTGAAAATGATTGGATCGGCTCCGATTTTTGAAAAGAATCTTGAGGATCGTTTGGTTCGTGAAGGCGAGGAAATCATCATGGAGGCTGTGCTTTCCGAGGTGTTTATATATTTATATATATATATATATATATGTCCTCGAAAGAAAAAGAAAGAAAATTTTTTTTTATATCTTCTATTTCTTTTACAAGTTTCTTGTTTGAAATAAATCGCTTTTTTCTTTCGTTTATGAACATAGATTCCAGATTAAACCGAAGCCATCGGTTGTTTGGCTGCGTGATGGAAAGCTTTTGGCTGATGAACGCTTCCTAACTAATATTATTAATGAAAAAAAGTTTCAATTAAAAGTCTTATCAGCTACTATGGACGATAAGTCGCGGATAACAATCCGAGCCGAAAATCAGTTTGGAATAGCTGGTTGGTCAGAATTATGGATATGATATTATCATAATCATAACAGATACGAAAATAATTTCTGTTGTAGAATGTTCTGCTTCCATTGGGGTCCAAAAACAAAGGCCAATGGCTAAACCTAATTTTTTGTCCGATATTGCTCCAGTGAATATCAGCGAGGGTGAAACGCTAGAAACCAAAGTTCTAATTACTGGAGATCCAACTCCATTCGCCAAATGGTATATTAATGATCAGGTTGGTTATATGTGATGATAAGAAACTTTTAAAAGTTAATCCAACTATTCATTTCTTCATATGCCGAAAACTTTTCCAGATAATAGCAATCAGCTTGCATTTATCATAGAAACGTTCCATCATTTGCCTTTGCCTCTGGATGGCTTATTAATTCATTTTTTCTTAAACTATGAAGTTACAGCTAGTTTGTGCCACTGAAGATACGCAGATGAAAGCTGAAAATGGTATATACACATTGATTATACATGGTGCAACCAAGGATATGACCGGCACTATCAAATGTACTGCCTATAATAAAGCAGGTGAAGTAAGCACTCAAGGACCAATATCTGTAGTTGCTCCAATTCCAGTTGAATTTGAAACGGTATTGTGTGATGCAACTTGCCGAGAAGGTGACACATTGAAGCTTAAAGCAGTGCTGATGGGTGAACCAACCCCAGATGTTACATGGTAGATTTATTTCTTCAATTTTAAAAAATCGTGTGAAATGTTGCTAAAATTTCATTTCATTTATTTCATTGAAAAGATTTTAATCGCAATTATTAGGTATGTTAATGGAAAACAGCTGGAAGAAAGTCAAAATATTAAAATCCATGCTGAAAAGGGAACTTATACGGTGACTATTAAAGATATTACGTGCGATTATTCTGGAAAGGTAGCTTAATTTTTGGAAATTCTATTTTCTAAAAATTTGTGAAGATTCTGTAAGTCAAAGAAGATATTGATTTTTAAAAATTTTTTTTTGATTTATATTATATTAGATTATCAGATTTCATATTATCTTTATATTATATATATATATATTTATATATATATTTATATATATATTTATATAGTTATATATATATATATTTATATTTATATATTTTATATTTAATCCCATTTAAATTTATTGCCGCTTTCTGCTTAGATTTATTCACTCCAAACTTCAATTGCCATATTTTTAGGTCGTTTGTGAAGCAGTTAATGAATACGGTAGAGCTTCGTCTGAAGCTATGCTTTTAGTTCTTCCCAGAGGTGAACCACCAGATTTCATCGAATGGCTAAGTAATATTAAAGCTCGGCCAGGCTCACGCGTCACCCATAAAGTAAGCATTTTTTTTTCGAAAGCATGAAAATTTCTAATTCCATTAAATTTTTCAGGTTGTTTTTACTGGTGATCCAAAGCCTAATCTCCTGTGGTACATTAACGGTGAAGAAATGAAAAATGATGAAGAGATAAGTATAATAACTACTGACAACACTTCCACCTTAATAATAAAAAGTTTCGATGCAGAGAAGCATATTGGAGAAATTATTTGTAAAGCAGAAAATGATGCAGGAGAAGTTTCTTGTACTGCAAGCATGGCTGTGAGCTTTTCTTTCTTATTGATATTTAAGTCACCCAGGTGTCATTTAATTTTGCTGGTAAAGATGATTAGTGGGACTGGAAAAGTTATAAAATATCAAATTTCAGGCTTACACTTCCGATATGTTCTCGGAATCGGAATCTGATGCAATGGCTGATGAAACACTTGAAGTTGATGATTTTCTCGGTAGTGTTTTTTGTCATTATGTTGTTTATTTACCTCTTTTTTTCTATTCATTATTGGAACTCCTCACTATTCAAGCCAGAAACAATTTCACCACCAATCACAATCTTCCAAATGTTTAAAGTGAAGAATTAAATTTTTAAATTTTTTTTAGGGGTAGAGAACGATGAAACATTGATTGAAGAAAGCGAGCGAACTGTAACACCAGTAATGGCACCGAAATTCATCAAGAAAATAAAGGATACTAGAACTTCTAGAGGGCATCAGGCTATTTTTGAATGTATCGTTCCAGATACAAAGGGTGTTTGTTGTAAATGGTTAGAGCCTGTTTTCTTCTATAATACCCCTTTGTACCCCTTGCTTCTATACCCTTTTATTGCTATTTATTTAGTTTTTTCGTTCATTTAGATCCATACTTCAGGCTGAAGGATGGGAAGGAAATAGAATTAATAGCAAGAATTCGCGTACAGACTCGAATAATTGAAGGATTTTTGGCTAGTGAACTTATTATCGATGAAGTGGAGCTTGAAGATGCTGGCAAATATACTGTCGTAGTTGAAAATGCTGCTGGAATGGAGAGATGCGAGGCTATGCTTAATGTCTATGGTGATAACTCGTTAATATAAAGAATACAACAAAGTTAACAAACATAATGCACTATAATATAAAAATTAGTACATGGACAAAAATAAAAGAATATTCAAAAAAAAATTCATCAAATGATGAGAAAATTTTTCTTTTAGAAAATATAGCGAAGCCCGACAATAGTGCTCCAGATTTTACTATTGAATTAAGCGATAAAATATCAATGATTTCCGAAAAAATAGTTTTTGAATGTAAAGTGACTGGTGAGCCGCAGCCAACCATAACCTGGTTTCACGAAAAGGTTGGCCATCATTTCTTCTTCTTTTCCACTCTTTGCTCTTTCATTATATACTATTCAGGATATTTTTTAAGAATTTTGTCTCATGTTGATGGTTTCCGAATTGGTCAGCAATTTGATTATGTTTGATAATATTTTATTCAGGCGCTTGTGATTTTACTGGTGTTTTGAAAAACTACTCAAAAAAAAACCAAAATAACTTTGCAATATTTTCAATAACAGGTGCCAGTTGTTGAGGAAACATTTCGGACGATCATTGAATCAGAAGGAAGTGTGCAACGTTTGACTATTCCATCAGTGGAATTCGATAACAAAGGACGATATATTTGTATTGCTGAAAATATCGTTGGAAGGGCACAATCTGAAGCTACTCTAACTGTACAAGGTTCTTTCATCTTTCTTGTCTCTTTTCATCTCTAGCATATAGCTTCCGTTGCATGGAATAGAACTGAATTATTCCCTTGCTAATTTAAAATATAAAATTTGAATAATTTCATAACTCTTTATAATATTCTATAAGGCTCGTTTCCCATATATATCTTCGTTTTCTATGCAGTCATTTTTAACAATTAATTCATTTTCAGCAGAAGCCCCTAAATTTATACGAGCTGTAACTGATAAGGCAATTAATCTTGGTGAAAAACTAGTCATTGAATGCGCCGTTAAAGGATTGCCACAGCCATTAGTACAATTTTTTTCTGGTACTACGAGATTAACATCAAATAGTCGGATTTCAATCGAACATGATGCAACCAATGTTAATTGGAGAATGGTAATTAACTCGGCAGAGGAGAATGATTTTACTACATATCGTGTTTTGGCAACAAATACTGTTGGTACAGTCGAAGGTGAAGCTGTCGTTCGCCAAAAAGATCGTAAAAGTGGTCCAATTATTGAACAAGGTATGAAAAACCAAAAAGTAGTAGAAGGTGATGAAATTAAGATTTTTGGTCAACCTATGCCTGAGACGAAATGTTTTAAAAATGGCGAAATAACTTCTGAAGTAGAAAAGAAAATTGAAATTAAAAAAACCAGAGACGGTCAACATACATTGACTGTGAAAAAAATTTCAGCCGCTGATTCAGGCTGTTATTCAATTGAAGTAGTAAATAGTGAAGACAAAAAGACGAGCGATGGTAATATCACAGTGGTCCAATGTGTTGAGGCGCCGGATTTCATTGAGGGCCTTTCTGATTTAAGAATTGTAGAAGCAGAGAATGCTGAATTAAACATAACCGTATTGGGCATACCTGAGCCCGAGGTTGAATGGTTCAAAAATGGAGCTCCTCTTAACATCGATGGTTCTCATTTAATTGAAAAGAGAGACAAAAATGGGCAGTACAAACTTATCATTCACAACGCTCGAGTAGAAGATGCTGGAAGTTATTCATGCCATGCACAAAATAAAGCTGGAAAAGCTGAAAGTGCAGCTAAAATCGCTGTTGAAGAATTCCAGCAAATGCCACAGTTTGATGAAGAGTTGAAAGAAATTTCTGTTCATGAGACAGAAAGTGCTGAACTTTTGGTAACTGTTTCAGGCTATCCAGAACCTGAAGTGCTATGGCTCAAGGATAATCTGCCCGTGAATATTGATAATATTCATCTTATAACTAAAAAAAGTGATGATGGCAAGCATAAATTGATAATTAATAAAGCACTCCTCGAAGATGCTGGTACCTATTCATGTAAAGCTGTAAATAAGGCTGGATCCATAGAATCTGAAGCCAAATTTGTGGTAGTTTCAGATATCATCTCTCCAGAGTTCGTAGAAAAACTGCGCGAAATTGAAGTATCACAAGGCGATAGAGTGGAGATGTCATGTGCTATTATTGGATCGCCTTTACCTGAAGTAATTTGGTTAAAAGATGGTGTTGAAGTGCTATTTGATAATAATCATATTTTCAAAAGAGCCGATAAAAATGGCAAACAGACTCTCATAATAACACAGATGACTAGCGAAGATGTTGGTGCATATTCTTGCATAGCAATAAATACTGCAGGCAAGGCTGTAACCTCAGGAAAATTGAATTTCCCGCAGTATGGCTCAGAGAAAATGAAGGAAGAAGGAATCCCTTTGTTCATTGAGCCTTCATTACCATATAGTGTTGCTGAGGGCGAAACAGTAACCATAGAATGTAAAGTAAACGAGGAATCTAAACCTGAAGTAAAATGGTATAGAGAAAATGAACCCACTGAAACAAATGAACATAGGATTATGGAGGAGATTCAAGGAGATTTACTAAAATTAACTGTATTGAATGCAACAAAAGAGGATGTAGGGTACTATCGTTGCGAACCGATCAGTGCCTCGGGTCAAGCTAAAACGGAGGCTAAACTCGACATGTATTATGGTGCAACTGCTGAAGAAGTAAAAGAAGATGAGACAATGACGATAAGATTCATTGCTGCCTTGCACGATGAAGTGGTTCAAGAAGGAGAAATAGTTAAATTTAAGTGCATTATCGATAAGCCAGATATGGGCATCAAAACTGAGTGGCATAAAGATGATAAGATTATTGATAAGAGTATTCCATCTGAGATTCAAATTACAAGCCAAATTGATGGCACACAGCAGTTAACATTGGAAAAAGCAAAAGTAGAAGATGCTGGCATCTATAAATGTATTGCAACACAAGGCGATGTAACTATTTCAACAGAATGCAAATTATCTGTTTCAGGTCCATTCCTCCATATAATTCTTAGCCTTTGCGCATGATTAATTTACGCTTGAACCTAACAAAAGCTACTGTTCCTGCTTTGCAATCTTTTATTTTTTTAATTTTGCATTTTTCTAAATTAAAGCCAGCTTTCTGCATTATGCGATATCCTTGTATTTAGGTTTATTCAATTTTTTTTAGAAAGAACTGTTACATTAGAAGAAGATAGTCGACCGCCGGAATTTATCGAGTTAATGCGATCTTGTACAACCATAGAAAAAAATGAAGCCATTTTTCGATGTAAAGTTAAAGGAAAACCGCGACCCAAAATAACATGGACAAAAGATGGACAAGAGGTATTATCATTTCCCAATTATAACTAGAAATTATTTGACAAATAGTGCGATGGCTTTCTTTGAGAATATCCAACGCCATTATCAAAATGGTCCAATAAAAACTAATAAAATATTGGATTCAGATATTTATTTTTTATAGATTATTATGGAAAGAAGGGTAAAAACTGAATGTAAAGATGATGGTACATTGATTCTACGAATCAGTGATGTTCGTATAAGCGATATAGCCGAATATCGTTGTGATGCAACTAATGAATTTGGAAGTGCATGGACCGTTGCACCATTAACTGTAACAGCTGAAGGGGCACCACCTGATCATGGAAAAGCTCCAGATTTCATCGAACCGATTCGTCCCATTTCGGTTTATTAATTAATTTATTAACTTAACATTGATTAATTAATGAAGTGAAAATAAATAAAATATTCTGAAAAAATTTTATTACTTTTTTGCATATTTGCAGGTTATTGAAGGAAGCACGGCGATTCTCGTCGGGAGAGTTACTGGGGAGCCACAACCGATCGTAACATGGCACAAAGGTGAAGTGCTATTAAAAAGTGATGATAGGATCCAGATTGAAAGTTTACAGGGCGGTATACAGAGATTAATAATTCAAAATGCGATTTTAAACGATACAGACGAATATCGTTGTTCAGCATTTAATGAATATGGTGATGTATGGTGCGATGTAACTTTGACGGTGCAAGGTGGAATTTAACCGTTAATTTTATTAAAAAAACCATACAAGAATATCAAATTTACATATATTCCAACTGAAATAAAAATTTTATGAATTTTCTAATAGTTTTTTTAAGTGCCTTCAACGACTGAAATGGAACCGAAAGAAATGGCAGCACCGACATTTTTAAAAACTCTTGAAGAACAAAGTGTTGAAGAAGGCGAACATGTCTGTCTAGAGTGCAAAATTGTTGCCGAACCTATGCCTCAAGTGAAATGGTATAAGGTAAGTTTCTTGCTCTAATTTTTTTTTGTTTAAATTTTAGATTGCTTATAATTTTAATCTACTATTGAAAATTTTTCTAAAATGCCGTTTAGAACTCTTATTGATTCCTTTTAAGGACAAGCAAGAAATCATGGATACTGATGCGCGCTTTATAAAAAAAACTCTAGCGGATGGAACCACTCGTTTGGTAATTGATTCTGCAATAAAGGTGAGGGATTCCCTGTATTGCTGCTCGAAAATCTGCACTGTTTCGTCGTTTTCTTCTAATAGCTCGCATCATTATATTAGGTTGGCTAAAATGGTGAGGCGTTTCACCATTAAATTCGATTCTTATTCAATCTTAATAGATTAAATAGCATACTTAAAACTGTGTAAGTCTATTCAAGTCCATACATCGGCGCTTGTATATTTAAAATTTGCCTTAACTGTACCTGTCTTGACTTTATTTTTGAACGCCATCTATCAGTGCTCAGCAAACAAGACCAATTCCTATGATGGCTAAGCTAGGTTATTGTGACGCTCTACGATAATATTAATGCAGATGAAATTCGAGCGAAGGCTCAAACCAAGCTCCATTTTTTTCACTCGTGAACTTTTTGACAGTGTGTGTTTTTGTGACGATTCAGTAAAGATTTCATTAACGAAAAAATGTATTCTTAATTATGGCTGTCCAGTTTCATTTCATCAATATCCATAAAAACATAATGGTTTTTATGGATATTAATATGAAGTTTTCTATTATCACCTACTCGACAGTCTTCAACCTTCCCTATATTCAGGGCCACATATCACGATAATTGTTTACGGTATTAGTTTCTGTCATATTGCATTTTTTCTAAACGTCCGATAACTGTCCATGTGTGTTCTAGTAATCTTTTCGGGCACCTAGGCAGTTACTTCTGGAACGCAAATTTTTCTAAGTGAAATATTCAAGTGTGGATTTGACTAACTTCTAGGGACAACATTAAGATATTTCGATAATTGGATAATTTCCTTAATATAATGTTCCCGAATTTTTGAGCTTAAAATAGTCGAGAGTTTGACGGAGAGTTTTGTTATCTGCGTAATTTTATTCGATTCTGGCCCAAACTATAAGATGAGCTGGTTATTGAGATTGGTACGATAAAAATGGTTAACCAGATATGGATGAAAGTATGGATAAAAATGGTACGAAATTCTCCAGTAACGAATGGCAAGACGTAACCATTCTGGGTGAAATGCTGGTGAAATGTCGGAGAATTCTGCATAATTGAAGAATTAAATGTCCTCTTGTTTAGATGATAGCGGAAGCATATAATGGCATTATTATTCTACCACTGCTCCACGAAACAAAAATGGCTCTTTTAAAAAAAAAGCTCTTGGCCGGCCTCGATACCATATTTGTCATGAAATCATTAAATCCACCATGGCACAGCATCGTGTCTTACGCGTACATTCTAGCCTCCTCCGACCATATCCATGGAATCTTCTGGGAGAAATGTTGTTAACTGAAGTTCCACGTAAAACATACAAAATGCACGAAGTATCTTTTCCATTACGGTCATATATATATATATATATACACCAGGTCATATATATATATATATATATATATCAGATAGGAGAAATAAATAAAGTCGTCTCGATAACCGAGATCTAACAGAATTTCCCCTTGAAGCAACCCATCAGCTTTTACACAATCATAACGAATCTTTTAGACGCGACAATCGCTGTTTCATTTCGTCCTGATTCATCTGAAGCACCACAGTGATATTAATATCTCCACTCTGAACTGCTGAAGTCTTGGTTTGAGAAAAATGGATTTCCGATAAATGCGATTTGAGTATCGCTTGAATATCGATTTTTTTATCTTCTAATGCTGCTACGGCCAAGATCTTATCGCGTTATTCCCTTTTCTTAAATTTTGAGCTCTTGCCTTGGCTCATTCCTTTTAAAATCCTTTTACTGGGCCCAATTCGTGCACTTATCGCATGTACCACCAGGCTATCGATATCATGCGTGTCAGATGTGACTGCTGCAAGGAGATAACTCAACCCTTTCACCATAGAGTTGAGGATAAAAGTATAGATGGATTTTCAGCAGCCGCTCACATTTTTAAGTAATTTTTTGCCAAAGAACGAGAAGATCAGCTTTATTTCTTAATTTTCTTCAAGTTTAAAATCCAAATTTAAAGTTAAGTTGGAAACTTAAAGCCTTAAACAAAAGTTTTAGAACTTAACATATGATTGACGAATTTACAAAAATTTTCGAGAGAAAGCCAGCATATCAATATTTAAATAAAATATTAATCAAATATTAGTCTAAGCTTTGCAACTTCAGACGAAAATACAATATTATTAATTGGTAAATTGGCTATTACTTTAATAGAATTGTTGTGAGATGAAGAGAAATTGTTACTTGTCAAAATGCAGTCAATAATTAAAAGTCGAATTTCAGTAATTCTTATCTCAAATTTATTGCGATCTTACAGTAATATCAGTTTAATATCTAATTAAGGCAGATGCTGGCGAGTTTCGATGCGAGGCTCAAAATCCTTATGGGAGTGCCAGAACAGAAGCTGCATTAATAGTGCGTTATGCATTTGAAGAACCATTTGAAACAGAGATCGCACCTGAATTTCTGCAAGAAATTAAAGCTGCGCAAGTAAATGAATTGCAAGAAGCCATTTTCGAATGTCGGTAAGCTATATTTGCAAATAAGGATTTCTTTGGTTTAAAAAATTAGTACTTAAATTTCAAATTCAAGATAGATGGTTGCAATGAATCAAAGCAGGAAGTTTATGAAAATAAAATGTTGCACAAATTTTCTTTAGTGTATCAGGTATGCCGCTACCAAAAATAAAGTGGTACAAAGATGGTGAACAAATGAAGGCTGATGATAATGTTAAAATTGAAAGCTTTCTCGATGGAACCAATCGCCTCATTATTAAATCTGTTAATCTGAATGATCAAGGCAACTACCGTTGTGAGGCTATAAATAGCATAGGTTCAATGAGTTCCAAGGCACCGTTAACCGTTAATAGTATGTTCCAAAATTATTTTTATATTTCTCTTTGTTCGATTAAAATTGAATTTATTTATTTCAGCTTTGGAAACTCTGAAATTGGTGAAAGGCCTCGAAGATCTTTCGATTACAGTTGACATGAAGGTTGAGTTGACTGTCGAAGTCGAAGGGCAGCCAAAAGATGTTAAATGGTTCAAAGGAAAAGATGAAATTATTTCTGATAGGTTATTCATTCAATAGTAAAAATTAATGCGATTTTGGCATTTTTAAATTAATTATTAATATTATAATATCTTGCAGGCGCATTAAGATGAAAAAAATTTCGGCACAACAATATTCTTTAGAAATTTTAAATTCCCAACCGAGTGATTCTGGAGAATATAGAGTGGTCTTATGTACTGAAACTGAATCAGTTGAATCGTCGAGTGCAGTAACCATAAATGAAATAAGCAAGCTAGTTTGTAGGAAGGGGTTAAACGATAAAACAGTACGAAAAGGCGAAAAACTCGTTCTGGAGGTTAATCTTGCCTTTAATTACTTATTGTTTTACAATTCTTTTGGCTGAATGAATTGTAAATTTGTTGCGGATGATAAACTGGCTAAAAGGCCTACATTATTTAGATTGAAGTGGATGGCAAGCCAAAAAATATTAAATGGTACAAAGATGGATCACTGATCTCTGCGAAAGCAGAGAATTTAGGTAATGGAGAATATCAGCTGAGTATTCCTGAGATTAACGAAAGCCATGCTGGTCAATATAGCGCTGTAGTCTCGGATGAATTTGGTACCATTACATCCAGCGCAAAAGTCACAGTTCAACCAAGTGAAAAATATTAAAAAAAATTATAATTATTTAATATATTACGAAATAGAAGTTATTTGAATGGCTTCACCATACTATTAATAATAAAAAAATCCACCATGTACAAGGACAGATACGCCTTCAAATTCTCCGATTGTGTCCATGCTATTTTCGTTTAATATAGGATTTACTATATTATTTTCATCCTCGAAAACTACCACTGATCTCCCTTAATATCTCCCACCCTTCCCTTTCAATGAGGAGATTGAAATGACAGAAATTTTCAATGGAAATAGTGAAAAAATGGAGTGATTTTGGAATGCTAAAAGAATTTGAAGAGGTTCCAGAAAAAGTGGCAATTATTTATTTTAAAGCGAAGTTTTAAATTTTCAAAGGACTGAAATTTTTAGGCAGTTACCTCACTGCTTTTCTGTAATTATATTTTAATTTATAAATGTTGCTACAATTTTTAAGTTTATAGTTTATAAATAGAAAAAATTAAATTATCATTAAAATTAAATTAAATTAAATTAAATTAAGAAGCGTAACTGCTATATCGGTGAAACTACTGTATTGTAGAATGAAATCGTAAATGAAAGCTTATGCAAAGACTGATTATAATGATACAACGGTAAAATCCTTTCCCTGAGTAATAGAATGTTCCAAAACCAGAAAAGAACAAAAGAAGAACAAAGGATGGATAGATATCTACATTTGCATAGATTTAAACGCAATATTTCCTAACAGATTATCTATCTCTATGTCTACAGTATCTGACCTTACAATCGTAAATATTTTCCGAATTTTGGAATATTTAGCATTTTTCAGTTGAAGAAAAGCCAGAAATTATAAATGGATTACAGCCAATTACAGTAAAAGTTGGTGATGAAATTGTATTAGAAGTGAAGACCAAAGGAGATATCAAATCTGTTAAGTGGTTAGTTTATTAATATATTAACTGTTCCCATATATTTTCACGGTATTTTTCTGAATGTTCAATCACTCCTTAGCCTTAAACTATTTTTTGACAGGAATTTTCGGTTTAGGTACAAGAACGGAAATGAAATGAAAGATGTTACGACAAATTATGATGGTAATAAGCATCAAATGGTGATAGCTCGAGCTTCAATTGCAGATGATGCTGAATACAAAGTATAGACTTTTTCTCCTGAAATTTTTCCTCTTTAAGCTTGGCATATTTGAAATAAAGATTTATAAGTTTTTGAAGATTGAAGATAAAGAATTTCTAGATTGTATTGTCAAATAATTCCGGTGATGCAGAATCGGCAGCCAAATTAACAGTTAAACAAGCCTCACCTCAATTAGAAATTTTGAACGGTCTGGTGGACATTGCAGCTATCGAAGGCGAGAAAGTTTTATTTGAAATAACTGCATCTTATACACCAGATGAAGTTCAGTGGTAATGTGTTTATCGATTTTTAAAATCAACTGCATATATTTATTTATATTTATATTTATAATACAGTAAATATTTATTATAATGTAAATTTAGCGTTTACTTAGGTTTAAAAATGGAGAATTACTCAGTCCATCTGAAATTATGCCAATGGCTGTTTCTGGAACAACTTGTAGCCTGACAATTCCACGCGTTTCCAGTAATGATATAGCAGACTATAAGGTTATCTTGCCATATTCTTTATCTTGCTTTATTGATGCCCAATTTTTATATTTTGAAAGGTTTGATTGTTTTTATATATTTAGGTTATAATTTACGGGAATGGTGCAAGCGCTTTCTCTTCCTGCTCACTTATGGTGAAACTATCTCCTTTACAATTAAAGAAAAATCTGGAAGATCAGACTGCTGTAACTGGCAAGAAAGCTGCATTCGATATCCAGACAAATGTTCTTCCAAAACACATAAAGTGGCAAGCTTTTAGATTTAATTTTATGCTTACTTTTCACTTAATAAATTGCAATTTAGTATTTTATGGTACTATCTGGAATTAAAATGTATTTCTGGTTTATTTTAATTATTATTTTTAATTATTTATTTTATTGGTTGGATTATTTTAATTAAATTATATGTTCTATACTTAATCTCTTGCCAAAGTTTACAAAAAAAAATGAAAAAAGTTTACAGGTTTAAAAATGGTTCATAATGTTTTGATCCTCGATTATTTTTCAGGTACAAGAATGGTAGAGAAATTGAACCTAGTGATAAGGCTAAACAAGTGAAAATAGACGATCAAAATTACCAATTAGAAATTCCTGAAGTTGACATTGAGGATATAGCTGAATATAAAGTGAAATTACTTTGCTCAGAATTTTCATTTGCATTGCAATAACCATTGATTATTTCGCAAAATTTGCAACAAAAATTATTCACCTGTAAATTTTAATAATGATGAAAATTACTAAAGCAATAGAAATAGATATATATTTTCTATTATTTAATTTAAGGTTGTTCTATCGAATGAAATCGGAGAAATAGAATCTTCAGCAAAGTTGAGTGTAAAAGAATTTTCACCCTCGCTTGAAATTTTGAAGAAACTGAATGACATCTCTGTTGGAGAAGGCGTTCCAGTTGAATTGCAAATTGAAGCTAGCTGCAGGCCGGACGTTGTTAAATGGTAAATATTGGCAAAATTAGGCTATTTTATAACTATTTTTATTCAATCTTTTGATGCTACAGCTATGCATATTTTTTTGAAACGTTAGTAGACTTTTTTGGTTTTTTTGTCTTATGGAAAAGTAAAGTAAATAAACCAGATAGCCTTTTTTTCTTTCAGGTATAAAGACAGAGATGAAATCACTTCATCAGATGATATAAAGCTAGAAGCTATATCTGAAACGATCTTCAAATTAACAATTCCTAAAACTACGGGAGATTATACAGCTAATTATAAAGTATTTATTATATTTTTGCTGCCTTATAGCAATTTTCTTAAATCAAATCAATCTTGATAAGCAGATGCGCAAAAATTTCTGATATCACCCATTATTAAAAACATTTTAAACGAATTTAATATCATTTTTAGGTAGTAATTTCGAAACAAGGTGAGAGTGCCTTCTCTCAATGTTCTTTGATTGTTAAGGTGCCTGCAATCGCTATTACAAAAGGTCTAAAAGATCAAACAACAGCCCCCGGCGAAAAAGCTTGTCTACAGATTGAATTAAATACTATTCCAAGGCAGATCAAATGGTTAGAAAGAGATAATTCGATACAAATCATTTATAAACGATCTATTATGAAAACTAAAATAAAAACTAATATTAATAATCAGAAATAGATAAATTTTAAGTCGTAATTATCATCAAGGTATAAGAATGGCAAAGAGATTGGTCTTAATGATAAAGCACAGCCGAAGAAAATAAGCGACAAAATTTATGAACTGCAAATTGAAGATACTACTAAGGATGATACAGCTGATTATAAGGTATTATTTCTAGTTGTAACTTTGAATAAATGTGTTATGAAGTGGACTGCTAAGAAAAATAGAAAAAAAAAATGGAATTGCTTTTCTTTTTATTCTTTGTTTCGACGCTTTTTCTCCAGCCTTTGATTCTGGTTTGTGAAAATTTTGGGTACTGAGCACTTGAAATAGTTCAAACAAAAGTACATTCAAAATCTCTTTATATTTCGACTTCAGGTTGTGGTATCGAATGAAAGAGGGTTAGCTGATTCTTCATGTTCACTGATTGTGAAACTACCAGATTTAAGATTTACGCAGCCACTTCGAGATCAAGCTATCACAGAACATGATACTGTGCAATTAATTTTCGAAGTGAATACATCTCCAGAATCCGTCAAATGGTACTACTTTATTCACATTAATTGTTTTCAATGATTATCTGCTAGAACTTCTGGTTAGCTAAGATGGTCATATCGGAGTTTACTAAGGTGTTCTATAAAGTGTTAACGAAATATCATATTAATCATATCATATTAAGTTTGCACGAATTCACTGGCCTAAATTAGGAGGAGGAAGAATTCAATATTTCTTAATTTTTTCCTGAATATTAATTTTTATAAATCAATTTTTACAATAATTAAAAAATTTAAAAAAATTTTATTTTCTAAAGCATTCATTATTTCTGGTTACTTTTCGAACCATGTAAATGCCAGAGAGACGATAGAAATATAGTTGAATCGTCGCCATGTATTTTTGAAGGATTTTATTTGCTGTTGCCGGGAATAAAATCCTTCCGAAATGAGGCAACTCATTAAACATTCATTGACCATAATAATGTTTTATGTTTTATTTCACTTATTTTTTATTGAGAATCTTTTTTATTTTTTCTTTTTCCCACAATTTTTAAGGTACAAAAATGATAAGGAAATATCACCAAATGATAAAGCCAAGTCAAAGAAAATGGAAGACTGTAAATTCCAATTGGAAATTCCTGATGCAAAAAAGGAAGACACTGCTAATTATAAGGTAAAATTTCAGTTTAGCGTATAACTATGATGTTATTCCATCTGATTGTTACATTCTTTGATTTATTCGATTAACTTATTTATTGGGTTATTGGGTCCTATTGTGTTTTGAATTAGAATTGAATTAATTGAATTGAATTAGAATATTTCTTGTAACCATCTATAAACTATCAATTAAATAATTGTTTTATATCAAAAATGATTTTGAGGTGATCGTATCGAATGATAACAGTAATGCCGTTTCTAGTTGTGCATTAACCGTTAAACTGCCAGCCTTAAAAATCATAAAGGGTCTTGATAATCAAAATATCAATGTAGGTGAGAAGGCTTTATTTAGTGTGGAAACAAACGGTGCACCCCAAATTGTCAAATGGTACGCAGTATTTATTTTTTTATCTATTTTTTTCTTTTACTATATTTTATGTTTGTTAAATTTATTGTTAGGATTTTGTTCTTTCATTAGAGGAATTTAAATTACCATTTTATTAACATTACCATTACTATTACCATTTTAATTACCATTAACATTTCCCTCTTATTTCGTCTTTTCATGATAAGAGGTGCAAATTTATTTTGAGGTATAAAAATGGCAAGGAAATCGGACTGAGTGATAAGGCCAAAGCTAAAAAAGTGAATGACTCAAATTATCAACTAGAAATACCTGACGCTACTATCGATGATTCTGCCGATTATAAGGTAAAAATAAATTTGGATCTTTTTTTTTAAATGTTAAAATAGCTAAAATTTCGAGATTTGATTCCAAAATAAAACTTGGTTTATTTGAGGTTATATTATCGGACAATGGCAATTTTGTGGATTCAACTTGTGCGCTTACTGTTAGACTTCCACCTCAGAAACCTACATTTATAAAGGGTATTGAAGATCAATTTATTCCAGTTGATGCATCGCGAGAAATTATAATTAAAGTCAGTTTCATTAAATATGTGAAATAAAATAACAAATCAGTACAATCTACGATTAATTCTGGTTCATGCTTAGATTCTAGGCGAAGTTCAGTAATATTTTATTTTATTTAAAAATGCCATTTTTCTTTCATTTCAGACAACTGGTAGTCCAAAAACTGTTAAGTGGTATAAAAATGGCCAATTATTAATAAATGAGATAAACAAGCCGATGAAGATCCAAATGATAGATGATAACAATTACATATTGACATTTGAAAAAGTTACTCTTAACGATAGTGGATCATATACGGTTGAAATCGAGAATGAAGCTGGTAAAGCAAAAAGTTCTGGAGAAGTATGTCATTTTAAATGTATGCGATTTGTATCAATTCTAATTTTGTTCTAAAACTTACAGATTACTGTTGAACCACACCTTGCATTTCTTCATCCCTTAAAAGATATGGAAGTCATCGAAGGAGAAAAAGCAGAATTCACTCTTGAAGCTAATGCTCACCCAAGGGTAGTTAAATGGTACAAGAATGGTCGAGAAATTAAAGATGCTGCAGGAGTTCTCGAAATCAAGGATAATTATACAAAGTTCAGTCTCATCATTGCCAAGACCAACAAAGGAGATGCAGCAGATTACAAGGTTTGGGTTGGACAGATTCCTGAATTATCTTACTATGGGAATGGTTTTCTTAGAATTCTACCTATATTCTCTGTTAGCGTTTTCAGTTCTGTCGTTCATTCTTCTTAGCTTTTTTTCTTGCTAATGATTATTCGCATCTTATATTATTATTTGCATAAAAAGAATTATCTTCTGTTCAAGTGTATTTTTAGATTGTTCTGTCCAACAGCATAGGAGATATCGAGTCGTCCGCTAAATTATTAGTCAAGAAATCCAAAGGACAACCAAAGATTTTGAAAGGCTTGGAGGATCAGGTACAATTACAGCACAAAGCTATCTCATTCTTTTAACGATTCTCTCCATTAGTGGTTAGATTGGCTCCAATGTTTAAGGATAACATATCCCCAAGCCATTCGATCTGACCATCTGGCTATCGTCTGCTATAATAGAAGCCGTTTCTTTTTCCATCGTCTAAGCCTATATATTGCTAGTCCATCTATACTTTCAAAATTATTTCTGACTGTATCAGTCCAAGTTTTGATTGGCCCACCTCGCTTTTGATACCATTCATCATAAAGTTTAGCAAGTAACGAAATATGTGTCAACTCCTGTGGTGAGTGATGAAAAACGTTCCCTAACCAGCGAAGACGACGTTCTGTGATGGTACTGTTAATATACAAGTGGTATTTGAGAGAGAGTGGATGCAATCATGTGCGATTTTATCCATTTGATGGATCCGTATTATTAATATTAGACATGAGTGATCAGGGGATATAAAATTATTGACATCAAGATAAGTAACCGATTTGTTGCAAATCAACCTTTCGAGTGCTAACGCATATTAGGTTAATAGGTCTATAATTAGAAGGGTCATAGGTGCTTCCTTTTTTATAAATGGGAATTATATGAGATAACTTCCAAATTTTGGGATTAAGGTCAGATGTCCTTATAAATTGAAAATAGAGGAAGACTCAGTGAAACTGCATATTTTTTATAAATTATTTGTGGAATATTATCGGGACCAGCTGAAATGGACGGCTTAAGTCTACTTAAGGCATCATAAACATCCAGTAGTGTTATTTTAACCTCACCGAAAGAAAATGCAACAAATTCTATTTACGTTAAAACAAGAAGTATGAGTATCCTCAACAAATGCACTAGAAAAATATTGATTAAATATATTTGCAATATCAATATCAGAGGTGATCACATTATCATTATGTTGCAGAATTAATTGTTTACGTGGATCTAAAAATTTTCTTTTGATTTAGTCCCAGAAAGAATTTCTATTAATATTTAAAAGTTGCTCCTCTTTATTTGAAAAGTAATTATCATGGATGTCGAAGCCGTCAAGAAGATCTGACGCTTTCGTCATAGCATCACCTGAGGATATAGTTACATGTGATCCTCAGCAGCCACTCAGATTTGTGATATTACGATGAGCTTACTCCTACCAAAGATAAAGACAAAAGAAGGAAAAAAATTAAAGAAGAAAAAAAGATTAAAAAAATAAACTAGAAAACAAGAAGAAAAAAAAGAAATTTCATTAAATCAAACTGTTTTTAAAAGAATTGAGTATTATATAGGTCATACTGAAAGGCGATGATCTTATCCTCGAGATCAAAATTGATGGTGAACCTACAGAAATTCGTTGGCTCAAAAACGATTCTCCATTATCGAAAAATGTCGCTGTCACAATAGAGAAACTCGATGAGCAAACGTATTGTTTCGTTTAATTCCTTAATGATTCCTTATTTTAGATAATACGACTTGAACTGAAGATAAATATCAATCTTCGATCATATAATGTAAGTATTTTTCAAAAATTTAGATATCGATTAGTTATCCCTCGAGCCAATGTCACCGATGCTGGTTCCTATTCCGTTGAAGCTGTTAATGAAATTGGTAAAGCACGAACTAGTGCTAATATTGGAGTAGATGAAAAACCAGAAATAGTTAAAGGTTTAGAAGATTGCCAGATTGATGAGGGCGACGAACAAATCTTCAGGGTCGAAACGAATACACCAATACGTGCCGTTAAATGGTTGGTTTTGCAAAAAGATTTTGTTTTTTCACTTTGTCCTTTTTGTTAAATATTTTTTTTAAGCAAAAATTTTAGGTATAAGAACGATCAGGAGATTAATCTGAGTCACAAAGTAACCATGAAAAAAATAAATCCTAAAAAGTTCGAAATGAGTATTGGTAAAGCATCTCTTGATGATGGCGCTATTTATAAGGTTAATATGAAAGAACATTAATATCCTCCCAAATTTTATGGTTTGTATCAAATTCTGATTTATTTTGTTTTCAAATTGCTCATTAACACCTATTAAATTAATTGTCATTTTCGCTTTGATTCGAAGGTAAAGAAGAATATTATTGCTCTTACAATATTGCTCTTCAGGTGATATTAAGCAATTCTGCTGGTGAATGTGGTTCATCAGCATCTTTAACTGTTGTGAAGCCTAATATTCTGCGAATTTTATCGCCTCTGAAGGATACAGATGTCAATGAAGGCGAGCCAATCAAATTACTTGTGAAAATTGAAGGACAACCGAGGGAAGTCAAGTGGCTTAAAAATGGCAAAGACATTACATCAGATGATCGAATTACAATTGTTAGTTTTTCCCGCTAAATTTCCATATTTTCAAATTTACAAACGAAAATGCAATCAAGCAATGTAGAAAAGTAGTTTTTTGCCCGAACACTCTTCGTATTACTTCCAATTTCAGGAGGAAAAAAATGATTTAGGCGAATATTGGTTAGCGGTCCCATGTAGTGTCCATAGTGATGGTGCAGCTTATCGTATTGTTTTATCAAACGATAGAAATGAAGTGCAAAGCGGTTGCATAGCTCATGTTAAAGGTTAAATTTATAAAGAATTAAAAGAAATGGAGTTTTTGCATTCTCTTGATAATCTATGTTATAGCCAAAAGATTAGAACCAGCTACATCGACACCAACGATAGTTTCGCCTTTAATTGATGTCGAATTACCTGAGGGAGAGACGTTGACGCTAAAATGCAAGGTTGCTGGAGAACCAAAACCAGAAGTTAAATGGTATTTAAATTCCTTTCTAAATGAAAAATATATAAAACGTTCTTGAATAATTTCTATGGCTTCATAACTTGACGAACTTGTTATTTTTTAATTAGCCAAATAACAAAAAAGTTTGGCCGTGGAATAAAATAATTTGATTTTTATAATTCCTAGAATTAGTTCCCATATTAAAAATCATAAGACAAATGATTACAGGTTAAAAGATGGAAAAGAACTCATTAAAAATGATCATACTGTGATAAGGATGGCATTAGACGGTACAGCAATGTTGCGTATACTTGATACCACAAAGATTAATGAAGGCAGATATTGTGTAACTGCATATAACTCTGTGGGGGAATCGAGTTCGAGCTGCAATGTTCATGTTTTGTCTGACGATGAACTTCCATCGGCGCCTAGATTTATTATTCCTTTGAAAGACGTTTTTACTCAAGCTGGCCTAAAGGTCGAGCTTGGCGTCAAAGTTAAAGGGATACCGAAACCTAACTTAGATTGGTAAGTTTGTCGCTTTATTCTTTATTATTTGTTTTATTGTTCCAATTCGCTTCTTTTAGAAAAATTTTCGTTATTTTATTGGCATTTCTTTCTATTAGAAAAAATTTAAATATTTGAAGAAGAATATTTTGGAGAATATTTTGAATATTTTGAAAGAATTATTGAAAAGAACATTTTTCGAACATTTATTTCAAAAACTGCTCAAGAATGTAGCATATTTATAGGTTCATCAACGATGTACGAATCATTTTTGATGATGAAATCAGGTTTGATGACATAGGCGACGGAAATTGGACATTGATTATTAATTCTGCTAGAATTGACCAAACTGGCCGAATTAGATGCGTCGCTACGAACAAAAATGGGAAGGCTGAGTGTGATTCATTTTTCACTGTCACAGAAGTCAGACCATCTAGGATAAAAGCTGATGAAGGTTACCCACCCAGATTCAATGTGCCGCTATGGGATCGACGTATTCCTGACGGTCAGTTAATGATTATTGAATGCCATGTCGATGCTAAACCACTTGCGGATATTCAGTGGAATAAGGTAATATAGACATTCGCATTGGCTTTTTTCTCTGTGAAATTTCTTTATGCTCAATGATTTTCAGGATGGCATATTATTACAAGAAAGCGAGAAAATTTCTATCAACAATACTTCAGATGGTGCATGCCGATTACGTATATACGCATTCAGTCAATCAGATATTGGCTTGTATACATGTATTGCAACTAATGCTTTGGGTAGTGCGGACACTTGTGCCAATCTTAATATACAAGGTTTGCTCAATTTTTGTTTTTCAATGAAAAAATTATTTCCTATTAAAAATCAAAAATTACCAATTCTGAAATGCATTGACAATATTGTTTTTTGGCAAATTTGAAAAATTGTCATAAATTTTAGTGGAAGAAATAAATGAGGTAAAGTCAAAACTACAATTTGCTCCTCGTTTCAATCCCCCATTGGTCGACAAATACAGTGAACCAGGTGAAAAAATCTATCTTTCGTGTCGAGTCGAAGCAGAACCAAAGCCTTCTGTAACTTGGTTTAAGGATGGACTTCCACTGCGTAATGATGGAAGAACTTTAGTGGAAGTTGATGAAGTCGGAAACTGTCTTCTAACCATATTATCAGCCAATGAATCAGATAGTGGTGCCTACAGATGTGTAGCAGCGAATGAGCTTGGTTATTTTTTTCATCTTTAGAAAAATAGAAAGAAAGCAAAGTGAAGACTTAAGGATATAATAGGTTAGATATTTCTAGATGAATGACAATCCAAATCTTCAGGCAGTACAAATACAGCTTGTACGGTGAATGTGAAAAAATACAAAGAGGCAATTAAAAAAGAAGGTGAAAAACCGTTCTTTACGAAAGGAATTGTGGACAAATGGGCTGATAAGGGTGAAACTCTGAAATTGACATGTGCTGTCGTCGGTGATCCAACACCAGATATCCGTTGGTTAGTCATTTTACCAAGTTTTGCAAATTTTACTTCTCGAGTAATCTGACACTGGAGTAATTTGGTGTTTAATAGGATTGACTGAGATTTACTATTTCCATTCCAATAGCTTTAATGTATTTTTTCTTCCATTCAAAAGTTTGTCTAAGTTCTCGGTTGATATTTTCTTAGGTATCGTAATGGTACTTTGATTCGTACATCTGGACGCTACAAACTAGAAAACTTATATGATGGAACCTGTTCATTAACTGTAGTGGATAGCAAAATGACTGATGAAGGTATTTATCGTTGTGAAGCAGAAAATATTTATGGAAAAGCCAATACTCAATCAACAATACATGTCGAAGGTTAAAAAAAATTTTGTATAAACGTGGGAATAACAATTTTGTCGACTTAAAAAGCTTGATCACTAACCATTTAGTATTTATTCACAAGTTGTAAGGTGTTAATTGCCCCATTTTTTTGCATTGCTCTATCTGTTGATTTCTATGATTAGTTTCAGTTCCAATTGCTAAAATTGAGCCAAAGAAGATCGGTCAAGGAGAAGCTCCTCGATTTGTTGTACCACTGGAAGATTTGTCCACCCTTATTGATTCTTCTATTGAACTGGAATGCAGAGTGACTGGTGATCCAATGCCAACAGTTAAATGGTAGGTTTTTGATAGAAAGGTCCTAATTCTATAAATTACTATATTTTGAGGTATGGAAAACATTTAAAATATATATAAATAAAATATATGATTCTTTTCAAGGTCTAAGGATGGTGCCGTAATGCTTGATGATCCTCGTTATGTGTGGGAAACTGACGCTAGCGCTGGATTCTATAAATTAAAGGTATTTATTCAAAAATTTATTTAGATATCATTTATAAAGGAAGAAATCATTATAACGTTTTTATTTTTGATTAGGACATTTAGGACATTTCTTAACTTTCATTCAACATAAAATTTTTTTTCATTTCACCATTATGCCATAGAAAGACTAATCCATGACAAGAATAGTAAGATATTTTTTAATATTTGATTAAATATTAACTTTTATAAATTTGCGTGTATTTAACGACTGAAGAATATTTAAGGAAGTTCAGCATGATAAGTTCAATATGTCTGATAATTTCATTGGTAATTTTAGAATAGATTTAAAATTTCCGTTCAGATTGATTTTGCACAAATTTGTGACGAGGGCACTTATCGTTGTGTTGCATCAAATGAGACCGGTTCTGCAACTAGCAAAGCATTTGTGAGAATTGATGGTTAGCCATTCTTCATGTTCTTATACAGTGGATTGAGCCAGAAAGTGGAATTTTTATTGAATTTTTTGTTGTTAAATTATAGTTGGCTTTTAGAAAGTTATGTATATTTACGTAAACTTACATATGAGTATACTTGCGCTTAACAATGGGCATTTCTGTTTTAATTACGACTAAGTATAACGACTAAGTATAACGACTTTAATGATGGAATGTTGCAGATGGGAAGGATCTTTCTAAAAGTCCTGAAATATATCCACCGTTCTTCACCATTTCTATTGGAGATATTCGAGTTGTCGAAGGTAAATTTAATAAGTAAATGTATATTATAGTGCGAGAATTGCGTGGACGATTAATTTCTCTCCAATTTAAATAAAATTTTATTTCTTACACAGGGCAGCCACTGAAATTGGAATGCAAAGTAGAAGGGCTTCCACTCAAAAGTCTTATTTGGTATAAAGATGGTGAACGAATTCTTCCATCTGATCATGTTCATATGGAGATGGATGGAGAAGGCCGTGCACGATTAATAATTCCACACTGTGCTGTTGAAGACGAAGGTTAATTTCTATTCATTTCAAAACACAGTGGATTTCTGGTCTCAAGGCTAAAATAATAACAATTTAGGACTGTATCGCGTAATTGCTACGAATGCAATAGGATCGGCCCACGACAAAGGTACAGCTATCGTAAAAAGATTGCCAAAAGATCATGAAGAATATTTGCTAAATGGGTAAGACTTTAAATAAAGCAAGGACTTCATTTCAATGTTGAATTTTTTGTTGAATATAGCAAAATAAGCTAAGAAAGTTTTGTAGACATCAATTCGATTTGTACCGCGCACCAAAAGTTATTATTCCTTTGGAATCTTGCAAAATACCGGAGGAAGGTCATTTAGCACTGCGGTGTAAATTCAGCGGTGATCCTCGGCCGAGCATTAAATGGTTCAAGGATGGTGAAAGACTGTATGCTTATGGAAGATGTCAGCTGGTAATTGATTTTATTTAATTGTTTCGAAAACAGAAAATAAAACAAGGAAAGCAAAATAATTTGAATATTCAAATGATATTATTCAATTATTCAATTTATCATTATCTAATTAATGATATTCTTATCGATATTCTTATCTGAATGAATATTTCAGAACGAATCAGATGATGGATCTTGTGAACTTGTGATCAATAACATTAGTCGATTTGATGCTGGAAACTATCGATGCGTGGCTGAAAATATTTACGGGAGCGCTAGAACTATAAACGAAGTTGTCGTACAAAGTATGCAAGTTACTGTATAAATTACTGTATACCAAATTTAATAATGGTAAGAAAGCAGTGGGATTTTCAATAAGGCTCTTGATCAGTGAAGATGGTTTCATTACAAATTTAACTTTGGCAATAATCTAAACACTAAGTATATTCTGAAAAGCTATCGCAAAAGATTGGTACATAGTTTTTTGGCAAACAGTTCATTTTTTCTGAACCTGATAGCAAAATTCAATCATGTGAATGCACCTTAATATAACTTTAATAAATATGACGAAGATTTTTTAGTGAAAGAGCGAAAACCGTTGAAGGATTTCGAGGAAGAAATGCGAGAGGGAAATGCGCCTGGATTTTCTATTCCTTTGACAGTAAAGCGTGTAAAAGTAGGCGCGGATGTTGTTCTTGAATGTCTCCCCTATGGCAAACCATTTCCAAATATTACCTGGCTTAAGGATGGCATTGAGATTGATTTTAGCGATAGAATAAAGGTTTATAATTTTTTATTTATTTTATAATATTTATAATGTTTAATGGTGAGCTTTACAGGCGGAAAGTACAGCTGACGGCATACAGAAGTTAATTCTTAATGACGTTGATTTTTCATCGGAGGGCTTCTATCGTTGTGTCGCTACCAATGAATATGGAACTGCCTCAACAAAAGGAGAACTAAATATCGATGGTGCGTGCGTTCAGTATTTTTTGTATTAATTTCATAATTTAACTTTAATTACCGGTTAAATTTTTGAATTTATCATATTCACAGAGGAAAATAAGCTGAAACGACTTTCGGTTTCCTAATTATAGATGGTTTAGGCGATCGATCATTGTTAATGAAGCGTGTTGAACCAGTCGATCTTGAACCAAAAGAAAGCAAGCCACGAATCCGACCTGGCCTTTATAATATCAGTGCGCATCATGTAAAAATTTATTTTTGTTGATTCAATCCAATTTTTATTGATGAAAAATTAGATCTTAATTTCAAAATAAATCGATATGAATCAAATAATTATAGCCATGCCACGTCTTTTGAATTAATTTAAATCCAAGTTGTGATGTTTTTAAGGGCACTACTATTGAAATGCAAGTTTGTGTAATCGGTTGGCCTGTACCAATCGTCAAATGGTTCAAAAACGATGAAGAAATTAAATCTGACGGCCCTGATGGACGGCGCTTAATTTGGGAAGATGATCGAGGCATTCACCACTGCATTATTTTAAATTGTATATCTGAAGATGAAGGTGATTATTCAGTTGAAGCGACTAATAAACTTGGCATAGCAAGGTCTGAAGGCGGTATAACAGTCATCAGGCCAAGAGAGGTGCAACTGTATGATGAAGACAGGTACGTTTTTTTTTTTAAATGAGCAAAGAAAAAAGAGTATGAAACTGAAGTCTTTGGCCAGTACTTAAAATATTTTATTTTGATTGAATTTGGCCATTTAAAAAATTTGAGAAATTCATTTTGAGTTCATGCCTTTATGTTGATTTCCAGAAGTGGATATCCTTATCCTCCTGGCTTTATTCGACAATTAAAGAATAAACATACCTTTTCTCATATGCCTGCCATTTTTGATTGTCTTGTCGTTGGTAATCCACCACCACAAGTAAGCATATTCTGTTTTTATTATTTATATCATTTACATTACTGAATCTGTAGGTTGAGTAGCATTTATTGATTAATTATTATGTTTTTCTTTGCCACCGAGAATCGAGACTTGGGTCCAAGTCTGACCGACGCACCATGCTTCATGGGGCGGCAGTCTAACAGAGAAAGCAAAGGAGAGTGACGAATGGTTCGATTGGTTGTTGACCAATTCGGAATGCCTAAGCCGAAATTCTACTCCTAGGAGCAAATCTGCCCAGAAATCCAGGTAGTGCTGACCACTTACCTGTACTTCTATCGTCAAAGGACTCTCTGCTATAACTATCTAGTCCTACAAGCCAGAAAAGCGAATCTCTAACCAGTAATGGTGAGTATTCTTTAAAAAAAAAATGTTTTTCTATACATGATTTCCACTTCAGGTTGATTGGTACCATAATGATAAAAAAATCATCCCAAACGATAAAATTAGAATTCAGTCATGTGGAGGTGGTTCCCACGCTCTCATAATTTTAGATACGAAGCCAGAAGATGTCGGCCAATACATGGCTGTGGCTAGAAATGCATATGGAACTGCTAAAAGTAGTGCGTTGCTAGATGTTACCAGTGAGTTTTTTTTCTAAAGATCATTTGTTATTTATCACTTATGTACTAATCATCTATCTTGGTAATGTGAAAGATATAAATCCAGACATAAATTTATAGTACCACATCTTGACGAAATAAAATTCAATGGGACAACAGATGTGACACCATATCTGATTGAAGAGTATGGCTTTAAAAAGCAGCGATATGCAGGTATATTTAAATAACTCACGAAGCTTCGATATAATATCATATCTGAATAAAAGAATTAAGGAACATTTCAGGAACATTAATATAAAAGCCTTCGTAACCACAAACTTCTGTAATTTTCTATTCACCTCAAATTAAAATTGGATTAGCCTCAGCAACGTTGTATTTATATTAATAGTATTCACATCTAGGTATTCCGACCCCTCCTGATCGAGGACCATTTATTAAAGAAGTAAATGGTCATTATTTAACACTTTCTTGGATCCCTACGAAGCGAACGCCACCGAGATATCCGCAAGTCACATATATTGTCGAGATACGTGAACTACCTTTCAAAGAATGGGTATTGGTAAGCGAATCATAATTTTCTTTATATTTGATTTATTTCACCCTGAGGCATCAAGACTGATCTTTCAAATTAAAAATCTTTAAATCATTTTTTTAAGTTGGATTATAATATTCCTGAACCAGTTTGCAAAGTGAGAAATCTTGAGCTTGGCAAAAGCTATCAATTTCGAGTTCGTGCTGAAAACATTTATGGCATTAGCGATCCATCGCCTGCTTCACCACCTTCTCGTTTAATGGCTCCACCTCAACCCGTTCTTGATCAATATAAAAGAGTTATACCTCTTCTGGATCCATATGCTGAAAAAGCTCTTGGTGAAGCATACGCTGAACAATATGGTTATTTTTCAATATTTAATTTTCTATCACTTTACATTTCATTCACATAAATAGTCCTTTATCTGTATAACTTTAAAAAATCAACTTTTTTTCTTATAAAAATAAATTATTTTACTGTTTCAATTATTACTGCAAACGTTGGTTTTATTTTTAGTTTATTTTTCAATTTTTTTATAAGCCGATTTGAAAAGTGATTTGGTGATTTAAGATCATATTTACTTTTAGCTTGTGCTCCTTGGTTCGCACCGGGCGTAAATGCAAGGAAGTATTGCGCTGAAAACGAGCTCTTAACTATTAATCTGTTTGTATCTGGTTATCCTGATCCAAATATAATGTGGAAATTCCGTGGAATAGATATTGACGCATCGAGCATTTCATCTAGGTAAATTGTTGAAATTAACAATTTTTTAAATTTATTGTCAGGCTTCATTTAGTTGCTTGGTAACAAATTATCATTTCGCCATAGTTTTTTTTTAAAATTCTGATATCTAATTCAATATTTTCCTTGTTTATACTTACTTTACTAATTGTGAAGGATATTTGCCTGTTTAGAAGTCATGTGGTTACCCATGGCGGAATGGAAACAACTTTGACTGTTAGTGGTTTTAATAAAGAAGATGTTGGCCAATACCAGTGTATTGCAACAAATCAATATGGCGAGGCTCAGCAAAGTATTTTTGTTGACATAGGAAGTGCGATTCTTTTTATTCCAATGTTTATGGTCTTTTCTCAATTTTTTTTGATCCAATATTTATGGTTTTATCACAAAATTGGCTCCATTGAATTTTTATATTATTCTTTTTAAAAAGGTATTCCTTTTGTAAATGGTTAAATCTAAATCTAAAGAAATAAGCTAAATCTAAAATAACTCCACCGTAATTCAATATTAAAGTTTCTGTTTTTCAGCAAGGCCTATTTTTTTGCAACCATTGGTCAATAAAATTGTAACAAGTGGTAAAACCTTGCGATTAGATGTTAGAGTAGGTGGAAATCCATCTCCAGAGTTAAAATGGATGAAGGTTTACTTAATTTTTGCAATTGAACGTTTAACTTTTTGAATTATTGACTCACCTGGATGATCGATTCGACATGAATTATATTAATATTTTTTCGAGGACTGGAGGCCAATAGTCGAATCCTCACGAATAAGTTTTGGCGAAGAAGCACCATATTTTCGTTCACTTATTATAACTGACCTAATGTGGCGTGATTGCGGTATTTATTCGGCTGTTGCAATTAATAGTGCAGGGACAGCAACAACAACTTGTTCGGTTACCGTTGAAGGTGAATTTAGTTTAGCCTAAATTTGAATAAAATTGCCTTTGAATAAAAATAAATGTTATGAAAAAAAATTTGGTAATCTAATTTCTTTTTCATTTATTCCTTGAAATATTTCGTTTAAAGAATTTAAGAATTTAAGAATTTACCATGTAAGAAATCTCGAAAAAAAACTTTCGCTTAGTTTCTTTATTGAATTCTTATGTCATTTTTGTACATTCACCTTTATTTTAAGAGTACTTTTTGATCTATAAAAATAAAAAATCATGCCGAATCTTTATACCAAACATTTAATAATTAATGATGCCAATTCTAAACAAGTCTTAATAAGTCATTGCACTAGCTTATACTGTTTCCTCATTGCAGCCGATGGCAATTTCAATGATATTCAGCCAACAGAGAAGAAACTACTGGAGACTAAAAAAATTAAGGAAATTTACGAAATTGACGAAGATGATGAAAAAAATGTGCTCGCATAACATTATTGATATTATTTTTACATATTATTATTACTACAATAATTTGATAATTTCATATTGACATAGATTCTATTGTTGAGCTCAGGAAGTTTCGCAGATAGCTTCATAGAAACCCAAAGGATTTTATATTATATTTCATAAGTGTAATTTATAACGTTTTCAGCGAAATAAGGGTGGTTGAAAGTATTATTCAATGGATGGAATTTAATTAAACTTTATAGACTGTTTTTGTTTTTTGTACAGTTCACCGTCTGGCGACGAATCGTAAAAATCAAACTTCGGCTTAACTCATCACTGTGCATTGTAGCTTCAAATTAGAACATAAATATATAAAAATTAGGGCTTGCCAAAAAAATAAATTGAATCGATTGAAGCTGTTTATGATTTAATTTTTAAGATTTTTTATTGGCAATTTCTACTGATTTATTTATTCGGATAATAAAACCATGCAACAAAATTTTGAAACAGCCCTTCAATCTATTTGCAATTTAGATTCCACATGATAAGAACCGAATATGCAGGAAATGGGAGAAGCAAAAGGAATCAAGCCCAAATGAGATCACGCCAAATCACTCAACAATATACCTATAATCATGCCAGTTCCATCATATACAAGAAAAAGAAATTGCTTTGGAGAAATATTTTTAATTATATAGAGATTCATCAGTTGTTAATTCATCAATTGTTAAAAATAGTGGGGATATTGTTAAGTTGTTGTAATGGAATGTTTGGCTTACAAATCATTGGAGATAAACTGAATTCTTAAAATTGCTAATTTGTGAGCAATTTATTGTAAAATATCTCATAAATAAAAAGAAAAAAACTTTAGTTTAAGAATAATTTAAAAGGAATAAAGGCTAAGAATGTAGGATATTTCTATATTTGATCAGTCTGGAGAAAAAGTACTCTACTCATATTAATCGGTATCAAATAAGTATCTTATCGTTATCATTTTTCTTTTTTCTTGTAAAGTCTTGCATTTTCTTATATTCCCCTAACTTTTGAATTAATCATTTATTTATTTTTGCCTTTGACAGGAATAAATTATCATAGTATCAAAAACCCAAATGGCTGCTGAGGACCTGTAACTTTATCCCAAGGTGACTCTGTGGTCAAAGGATTGGGTTTATTTGACACGCCATCCGATGTTCATGATACTTCCGGTCCGATGTTACATACGATAAGTATACAATCATGGCGCAAAAAAAAAAAAAAATTAAAGCTTGAAAATAGGATGTTCTCATAGGCCAGACTGATTATTAAGAACCTATCGAGGTAAATGAGAGATTATTAGTATTTTGCACAGCGAAATGTTGGTTATAGGCTATAATTGCTTACCTTATGAAGTTGCAAGCCAAGTATTTACCGTCCACATTCTTTCTAAATACAGTGGATGTATCTATGTGTCTATTTGTCTTTCTCACATCTCGAGTAATTATTAAACCTTGTTCAAATAAGGATATATCATTGTGGTACCTTGGATAACTCGGAGCGAAATGGTGTAGCATTGTCATATATGAAAAATCTCGTTGCGCTCTGATTGAGTGGAAACTGGTATATATGACTGTATAGTATACCTATACTTATACTCACTTCAAAGAAAAGTTCTGCATTATTTCGGTCATCAGTGCATATGCTTCAAATATATGCGCAGATGATTGCGATAAGAATAAGTTCTATATGAAAATTCAACCCCTAACATCTCTACCGAAGAAAAACATGCTCGGTGGCGGCAGAAATGTCACATGCCATTGTGGTGACCTCGGTAATTGGCAAATATGGCATCAGCGTCCGGTGTGCCAACAGAAAGTGCCTTCTTTGCTTTGACGAACAGCATGAATTTTTTGTTACTAATAATAATCGTAGAAGTCACTTGGAATGCCCCGCATAACCAACACTTTAACCAGATCGATTATATCTTAGTCGTTAGAAGAGTTCAGTAATGTCGTTCCTATTGGACCGCTGAAACTGGTAAAAACCGTCATCAACCGTCATCTATCAGACCATATTATGGTTTGAGCTAAAATTCACATAAAACTAACAGCTCAAAAAATAATACTCAGAAGATTTTTCAACTTAATGGCAGGACATACTGCGACAATTATCAAAAAATCAATCTGCTAGACATTTACTAGACATTTCTGGAAAAATCTCACATGATCGTATTCACTTTTATTCAAATACCACTTGCATTAACTGTACCATCACAGAACATCGTCTTCGCTGATTAGGGAACGTTAATCACCCACAAGAGTTGATATTTCGCTAAACCTTGTGATGGACGGTATCAAAAACGAAATGGGCTAATTAAAACGAAAAAAAAGAGAATCAATATCTTTTTTCGCTATATTATCCTGATTATCGTTAATTCAAACTTCCTCATACTTGCGTAATTAAGCCTTTATTTTAAATTTAGACAATATAGAACATCATTAATCACATAAAATAGTAAAAACCATAAAATAAAAGAAAACTAAAATCGAAATGTAACAGCCATCCTTCAGCTGACATTTGTCGTTAATCCTCTATGATTCAAATTCTTGGTCTTATGTAGCCATATCCAGTTGGAAATCACCTCTGTGACCTTTGCTTCAATAGATTGGTGACCTACTGAATCATATTTTGCTCATTTTTGAGCACACTCCTGGAGAGCGTTTTCATAGCCAAGCTCCAATTTGTTCCTTGTATTGTCGACACGTTCAGTTATCACTAATGGAGTTATTAAATTGACTGGTCGACTCGTTGTCCGGTTATTAGCCGATCTCAATAAAACTGAACATATTTTGAAAGTTGAGGAGAATGAAATAATGGAGAGAACCCATCAAAGAAAGCGTATCATTAGAATGAAGGCCTTTTTATATGTTGTGAGTTCGATGCTCTTAAGTGAGAGAAAACTTGTAAATTTCAACCTTTTGTCCTTGTTACCATTCATATCTTATTTATTATCGAATTTGATTTCACTTGTCAATCAGCCTCAGCCCGAATGTCAGGAGATCCTGACTATCGGGTGCTTCGAAGGATTACAACGACAGCACGATGGGTCAAAAATCGCTATTAGAGCGATGTGAGAATGGAAACGGTGACTCAGATAGGTGATAATAGGAAACTGTTTTGCCTTATTCACAAAGCAACTGTAACTCAATCAGAAGGAGTTAGTGAAATGATACGGGATATTAATGGGGTACCTATTAAAGCTGTTAAGGATCGCCTCAGAAGACGGAAAGAATTTTTTGAGGCGAAACATAACTACGATGCACCATCTGTTGTCCCGAATACAATTGATTTGCCCATCGAGCCTTACTTTTGCAACTGTGAGCCGCCAACAGAAGAGGAAATCGCTCTGTAATCCATAATCCATAATCCATAAGCTTCTCTCTCTCTTTGTAATCCATAATAATCTTTATAATCCATCAGGCCAATACAATTCCTGGAGAAGATGGTCTTCGGACCGAACTCTTCTTCAAATGTTGTCGACTCACTTTCAACAAATATATTCTCTGGTATAGCAAAAAAAAATAATACCAGAAGAGGAGCAAAGCAAGAGAAGATCATTCGGCTCATAAAGGCATTTTATTAGCATACTCTGGTGCAGGTCTATTTATGGGGAACTGACAGAGCCCTTTGAAAACTAGTCTCTGTCAGGGCTGCATCCTTTCCCCCGCAATATTCAATTATGCCATAGACTGGGTAATGGACACTGTTTGTCGGCACTCAAGGGGTGTCCAAATCAGTCCAGAGCATCGTATCACATCTTGAATACACTGACAATGTAGTCTTTTTTGCTGACAATTATGACGAAATGCAAGTAATGTTAAATAACGTATCAGAAACTGCAGCAAGAATCGGACTTAGGATCAATGTAAATAAAACGAAAGTTTTCGTCTATGTACAAGAAGCTGATAAAATGCTTCTTTTTGTAAATTCATTGGCGGTTGAGGAAATGCCCGATTTCAAATACCTTGGGTACTCTAATACCAAATGGACAGCTAGAAATGCGTTCTTCCGGTTGACGAAACCTTTATAGAGCCGTGAAATCACCATAAAAATAAAAATCTGCATCTATATAGCCGTGATTCATTTGATCTTGCTATATGGCTCTAAGACATGGCCATTGAGAGTGGAGGATACTAAAAAGTTATCTGCCTTTGACCACTCTTGACTAAGGTACATTTTACGGATCTGTAGAGCGGATATCACATGATCACATCCATCTTCGTTCAAATACCACTTGCATAAATAATGTTATCACAGAGCGTCGCCTTCGGTGGTTAAGGCATGTTCATCCACCACAAGATTTGTCGCATATTTCGTTACTTGCTTAATCATGTGATGGATGGCGTCAAAAGCGAAGTGGGCCAATCAAGACCTGGACTGATACGGTCAGGAAAGATTTGACTAAACGATGGAAAAGGGAATGGTTTCTATTATTGTCGATGGCATCAGACCGCGTCGTTTGGAAGCGTCTTACCCTTGTAGCCGTTGGAGCCAGCCTAGGCAGTAATGGTGAGAGTTATTAGAAGAAGAAAAAAGGCTGAGGCATATTTAATATTTCCACTGGAACAGTTAATGTTAATTTTCCAGTGATTCTTATAGAAAATATATTTTCTAATCATAAATTTATAGAGAAGAGCAGAAGATTGAAGAGGTTAATTTAGCAGCGGTTTTGAAAGAAATGTTTGGGCGAAAATTTTTTCTAGTGATCTGTGGGCTGCAAAGATGATTGCTACTGAAAGCCCTAAAATTAGGGTTGTTTCGTTTCTCTGTTAGTGACCGTGAGGACATCCGTTGAAATTCAATTTCTTTTTTTTCGTATATCTCCAGGACTTGACGAAGGTTTTGAAGATTCCTCTGAGAACATCTTATTTTTTCCTGAGCGACTCTTCTTGCCACTCTTGGTGGTAATCTATCTTCAATAAGAATTAAGATGGAAGTATTATTTGTGAGTTGCCGTGTCGGTCCTCAAGAATTTTCCAGACTTCCTTATAAGATTGGTTGTCAATTGGGAAGTTGTTTTGCCTCTCCATCTATGCACGACATCAAATATTTTAGTTTATCGAGTTTATCGACTGGTTGTAAATTGCTTGAATCGACTGAGGACAAAAAACTATTTCTAAATGAGGACCAGTGTTGAACAGCTCCATTAAAAAGACATAATTGAAACTTGAGAAATTGCACTGTTTGAATATTTTGCTGGGGTTGAATGAGGAAGGATTGAGAGGAAGGGAAGAGTTCTTCAATTTAAGCTTAAAATGTTTTATTGGCATATAAAGTGCAATAAACAAAGAATCAATTAAGAAAGTTTTCTTTGGCGGATCAGGATTACCGGTTTGAAATAATGATTTAAGAAAAGACACCACATTTTGCGACACATATGGCCAGCACGTTTCACTATGGAAGCCATTACCATTCCTTTTTCCACCGTCTAAGTCCATATATTGCTGGCCCACCTATACGTTCAAAATCTTTCCTGACCGTATCAGCCCAGTTCTTGACTGGCCCACCTCGCTTTTGACCATTCATCACACGGTTTAGCAAGTAACGAAATATGCGACAAATCTTGTGGTGGACGACAAAGAACGCGCCCTAACCATCGAAGGCAACGCTCTATAATAATATTATTAATGTAAGTGGTATTTGAACAAAGATGGATGTGTTATTTTATCTGCTCGACGGACCCGTAAAATATACCTTAGACAACAGTGGTCAAAGGTAGATAACTTCTTATAACTTCTTAATATCCTACACTTTCATTGGCCATGTCTCAGAACCTTATAGCAAGATCGAACGAATTACGGTTATATAGATACGGACTTTTGTCTTAATGGTAAAGGTTTCACGACGGTTCCATAAAGGTTTCGTCAACCGGAAGAACGCATTTCTAGCTGCCGTGATCCGTGCTATAATATCGTCTTTTGCCTGGCCATTTGGTATTAGAGTGGACCCAAGATATTTAAGGTATTTATCGTTTAAACCTACTATGGCCTTTATTCATTTTTCGCCAAATAAAAATATTGCAGCGATTAACAATGAAAAATACTTACTGTTCATATAATCATATTTTATTAATGAAGATATTAATACTATAAGAAATACTAATACTATAAGAAAAAAAAGCATCAATCTAAACACTATTAGAAGAATAGAGATAAGTCAGCAAAAAAAATCATATAACTATTGGTTAATATGCGTAAAAAATTAAGCAGTTTTCAAATAAATAGATTATATGAAATAAGATTTATATGAAATAAAACTATTTATCAGCAAAGTATTCCAAGGGCAAAATCTCTCATTAAGAGTAGCTGAATTGCGCAGTCATTTCAAACGTGGTTAAAACTTATTGTTTCTGGCATGGTTCATTTCAGTAGCCACTAGCAAAATTAGGGGATGTTGTCATTTGGGATTTGATGCACATCAGCTCTCAGCAATATGCATTTGTGGATTTCTTTATGTCAACAGCATATGATGCTGGAAATGATAATCTGATATTCAGGAAAACGATTCTTTAATTCTGCCAGTCTTTAATTAATGGATGAAATCAAGATGAAATGCACTGTTAAAACATTTTTCAATAATAATAATTAGTAATGGAATCCTTCTATCAGTAAAATTGTATTTTTTTTCTCCTTTCCATTCTATCCTTGCAGAAATCTTCTTCCCATTATTCTTCACTATTTAAATATTTAGCTGTTTTCACTTGCCTCATATCTTACACATCTATAAATTTTTGAGAAATGTTGTAAAAAGGTTGCAGTCAGAGTGAAATCCCATGGTTGTTCAGTCCATCGCTCTGTAAGTCTTTCTCTGTTCAATAAATTTTAAAATTTTTTTAAACTTCCTCCTTTCTTCCTTCTTTATCTGTTATCTATTAATTGATTATGTATTAATTATTATTTTTCATTTTATCGACAGTGGTCCACATACCATAAAAATTTAACCCGGTGCTCTGGACACCAGAAAGTATATTCCCATGAGATTCTCTGAAGTCAATAAGCAAATTCAGCCAAATTAATGATGAGAATTTTTTTTCCTTAATCATTCTGTCAACAAAAAATAACATCTAACTAATTATTCAGGGAATTTTTACTATGTTTGTTTAATATTCACTGATTTCACTCCCATTATATTCCATAGGTAAAAATACAGGATTAAGGTTAGACTTATGGGCAATTTCAGTGTGTTTTTATAATTTTCGCTATTTTTTGGTCAAAATATATGACATATGATAAAATTTTGATTCGATTGAAAAATCCCCCTTTTAAAATTAAATAATTAAATATAATAATTATGTTGTTATAATAGATTAGACAATATAATAATTGGATAGAAAAATTGATCACTGACAAGGATCTCTTAATTTTTCAATTTTAACATCTATTTGATAGTTCTTGATTATAGTTCTTATACTGAAGCGAATTTTGTTGTTGGCTATAAGCTTGCTCTAGTTTTTTTTCTTCTAATGGCACTAATGTGTCTGCTTTCACGCCAATAACTACTAGAATGTGACTAGCTCACCACAGAATCAGTTGGAAATTAGGCGCGGGTCCCCAAATTTCATTCTTGATAATGAATTGCAAATGTTATAGAATTTATATAGTTGGAAATTAAAATTTTTGGGTATAGTTGGAGCTTTTTCTCAGTTAATGCAGCGAATTATTACAAATGCATTGAAATAAAATTAATGGAAGTGATTTGATCACTGCTGGCTTTAGCGAAAAAATCGAAAGCTCATCAGCTGATATCTTATTTATTAGTGTAAATTTCATAAGCACTGCTCGAAAAATTCTTAAAATTTCTGTTTAAGGTGCTTTTTCAAGTACTTCACACCAAAAGCTTTGAAAAAATGACTTATTTTGACTCATTTCATTATTTTGGCCTCAAAGCTAAAAATGGGGATTGTTTTGCCTGTTATTGAATACTTTGGTTACTGATTGAATAAACGGAATTAAACTTATCATTGAAAAATCTGAATGTAAATCTGAACCCCATCTGCATTTCCACTGCTAAGTCATTTCCTAACTTCTAACTTGCATTAACAACGTGCTAATTTTACCAGAAATAATAGGTTCCAATCATCTGATTGCTGACCACTTGCATTAAAAATTTTTTCGCTTTTTTTCTGTCCTCGTAAAACATGTTATCTTATTATTTCAAGCAATCCTTTTAAAAAAAGAGCTAAAAAAAGGAAAGAAAAAAGCTAAATATATGATCTCCTTTGAAAATGCTGTTTCTTCCATTTCACTTCCATTGCCACTGAATAAATAAATTCTTCTCATTGTATCGTTTTATTATCAATTTTTTAATATTTATAATATTTAATTATAAGATAAAATTTCGCTAGAGAATAAATTGAAGATAAAAATATAGTACGACTCTATCTTTATTTTGTTTTAATGCTTTAATGATAGCTTTACTAAAGAGCAACGGAAACTATAAAGGCTTGACTCAAACCACTCAGTTGCCGTGCATTTATGCATAAAATTGATAATCTGCTTCGCAGTCATCTTAAATTCGCTTTTTAATTATTAATTTAAAATTGAAATTAATTTCTTATTTTGATATCCAAGATGAAATAAGCAATAAATACCCATCTTCAAGCATTTTATTTTTTCAGTAAATGTCCAGTTTGAAAAGTAGATAAATTGACGGCTCAATGCATTTCTCACCAATTGTTTTAAATAATTATTGGTACCTCTTTGATTGACAAGAAGTCCTCAAAATATTTTGCACAATAAAATTCATTTTTCTGCCAATTTAAAATCTGGTTTACTTGATATTTGCATACATTGGTAATGATTATTTAATCGCTGCAGGTCGGACAAGCTAAATGAATGTCTATTTACTTTTAGCCCATTGCGATCGTCCTATTAGTTTAAAATTCCTTCAAACAAATCCAAAAACTTAATTTAATCTAAATCTGAAAAAATTCTTTTACAGTTCACAATTTAGCTCAATATTACAGTTGTAAGTTGCAATTTTGTTTAATAAATTTTTGATACAATTAGAATGTGTAGAAATCGGTTTCACTAATGGGGCCGATAATGACAGGACTTATTCCATTTTCCAGCGTCAATTGTACTTTATTGGATGAGCTTGTTGCGAGTCCATCATCGACAAGAAAAACTGGAGAACAACAAGTGCGAATATTTGTGAAACAATTACTCAATGCGCTCAAATGTATGCATGATAAAAAAATAGCGCACTTGGATTTGCGACCAGAAGTAATCTTACTGCAAGATGACCATTTGCGACTTGCTGATTTTGGTCGTAGTAGGTTTGTTTTTTAATCTTACACGACAATTCTCTATTTTTAATATTCAATATTAAGGATGAGCTAATAATCAGCTAATATCTAATACTAAGGAAAATTAAAATAAAATACTAGTGTAAATACTAAAAAAACTGAGGAAAAATTAATAATTTCTAGAAGGGATATGATTAATACGCTCATTATTTTTGATGACATTTGGCAAATTTCAGGCCTTTGACAAAAGGTAAGGTTACGACAGATATAACTGGCAGTCCAGAATTTCTTTCACCTGAAATAGCTTCTGGAGCATCAGCGACTCTTGCATCAGATCTTTGGAGTGTGGGGACATTAGTTTACATATTGTGAGTAGCTGATGAATGAATGGTCTAACTTTTCTTCCAATATTCTATATTCAAATTAATTTTAAATTGTGGCACCTATATTTATGCCAAAGTTATTTCATAGATGAACATATTTTTCTATATGGTACTTATAAAATATATAAATGGTCACATTGCAAATGTCATCTAGCAAACCAAAAAAAATTATAATAAAGTTAATTTTTAATCTTTCGTAACACTTCTTAGAAATGTCTCTCTTCACCTTAGTTACCTTTCCTAAAAAATTTAATTTTTTCTTTTTAGCTCGAGTGGTATAGTTGCTTTGATTGTCGAAGATTCGATTAAAATTAACTTCAAAATTTTCAAAATTTTCAAAATTAACTTTATCTTATATGAAATTTCCTTATGAACTTCCGTATGAAAGGTGTAATAATTTAAGAAATAAGGTAAAATTGATATTTGATAATTAATTATTGCTCTCCATTTCTGGAGACTATCTTGTAGACTATCTTCTGTAGACTATCTTCTATTGATAGCTTCGCTATCAATAAATTTAAAAAGTTAGAAATTTTTATCAGACACTTAATAATAAAAATACAGGTGAGCCATTAGCAATACCTGGATCTCTTAATGGTTTGTTTATGCTTATCAGAGCGATAATCGAATCTTCGACAATCAAAGCAACTATACCACTCGAGCTAAAAAGAAAAAATTAAATTTTTTAGGAAAGGTAACTAAGGTGAAGGGAGACATTTCTAAGAAGTGTTACGAAAGATTAAAAATAAAATATTTTCAACACTAAAATGAACAGAGATAAGCAGCAAAATACCGAAAAAATCGCATTATTTAAATTTTTTATTAAATTATTTTCAAAATTTCATCTCGAAAAGTAAATTTTCATAATTTAATTTTCGCAAATGATGAATGGTTCAATCCATAATTTATACCTTATATAGCAGTTTGAAATAATAAAACTCTTGTTATTTATAAGAATTAAATAATACTAATTTTCATTGTTCTTATTTATTAGTTTCAATTATCCAACATGGTCATATCGAGACAATGTTGATTTCATAAACCGACTGTGCCACTGTAAATTGGAGGTCTGACATTGAGAAAAAATGTCGCACTTCCGAGCAAAATTAGAAAATTTAAATTAAAATTATAGGTCCCAACATTTTGAGGATCTACTTTTTTAATGCTCTTATTTCAAAAAGTCTCGAGTAACTTTATTTTTCTATTGACTTTCTATAAGTTGAATTTTTTTATTAGGGACTAAAATATTAACTAAATATAGTGAGTAGAGCAAAATATCATACACAGTAGATAAGGCTGAAATTATGCTAATATGAAGTAAAATAATACTTTAAATCCTGGAGAATGATGCTCTGCATGCCTGCTAATTTAAAAAAAATAACTTTAAAACAATTTATTTTTTGTGCTTTTCGCAGATTATCCGGTATTTCACCTTTCCTTGGTGATAACGACAATCAAACTCTAAGAAAAGTTATTCTTGGAAAATATCTATTGGATTGCGATGAATTTTCTAAAGTGTCCAGTGAGGCGAAGGATTTCATTTCGAGGCTTCTCATTCTTAATCCTAAGTTTATTTTTTTATGATTTGGAATCAAATATCAATTTCTCGCGAATAGTGGTTTGGCATTTAGTTCTGAATCATTCAGAATCATTTAAAACATTTTGTAACAAATTTTGTTCATAATGAAAAACCAATTTAATCATAATAATCTTTTTCAAATATAATGAATCTAAATAAATTATCTAAAAAATGCTATGAATGAAACAAAATTTACCGATTCAGAGGTCGTCTAACAGTAGATGAAGCTCTCATGCATCCATGGATTTCTGATGATCAACTCAGTGAAGCCAAATTGACTTCAGAATGTTTGAGGGAATTCAAATATCGTCACAAATGGCATGTTGGTATAAGAGTTTCTTATTTTTTATTCAAAAAGAAATCTATTTATTTCCATTTATTGAGCCTTGATCCCTATGTCTCTAGGTTAACTTTTAGCAAAAAAAATTAAATCTAAAATTTCTAGGAACGTCGGGTCTTCGTGCAACAAACGCCATCCGAATTGACTTTAAATGCAGCACAAGTGAGAAATTTATGTCTCTAATTCTTCTGTCTTCTTGTTCTTCTTGTTCTAACATTACTTGCATCATTGAGCTGAAATAACTATCTATAAGGATTTGCAAGTTTTTTAATCAGAAGTTATTTCTGAAAATAATAGACACCACTTAATTTTGTATTGTTTAAATTCATTTACCTTTCAACCGCCTATACATCCAAAATCTTTCATAACCATTTCAACCTAAAATTTGATTCAGCTTGCTTTTAACTCCATCCATCACAGGGTTTGTGGTTTGGCAGGTTATGAGATATACATCAATTCTTTGATCAAAATTAAAATTTTGCGAGCTAAAAAAATTAGATGCTAAAATTATTACCGAAATTTTGAGCTTGTTCAGTTAATACACGCACCATAACAGAGAGTTAAAGCATTAGAAAGTTATGCTCTGTGTTAACTTTAAAATATCTGTTCAGCAAAACTGACGTTGAGAAACAACTCGTATACATCAATATGCTTTACTACCATTGTTTATACCTTCGATCGATCGTTTTCCTCTCAATTTCGATTTTTTTCCGCAGTATTTTCCCAAAATTTTTCATATTTCTAAAATATGTTTAGATAAAAAAGGGTTCAAAGGTCATTGAAAGATTTAGCTAAACCTCGAATCAGTAATTTTAATATTTATGTAAAGTAATGGAGAAAGCAGAGCTTTCTTAAATTATCGAAATGACACCATCATTTTCCTTCATCTTTATTCTTACAATTGTTGTTGTTTTTTTCAGTTTTTCGCTCTTCGATTTCGAAAATTATTTCACATATCACGAATATAGTAATATGGCCGAGTGTCGTGTTGCTTAGATTAACACATTCCAGTCACCATGATTTGGCCTTCCCTAGAAATAAACCTGTTATTAAAGAATGCGTATTGATACTGAAAATTCACCAGTATTTCCATCTCTTCTGGCAAAATTATTTATTCGTCCACTAATAGCCAATCAAGCGAATAATGAGGATGTTAATGTCTAACTGGAAATGATGAATATATAACTATATGGAACCGCTTAGATCTAGATCTAGGCTTTAACTATTCTTTAAAAAATCCAAGACAACAATAGTTTTCAGTAAAAATATTTCTCTAATGTAACAATGTAATTCTCTAATGTAATGTAATGTATTTTGTTACTTATTCGATTGCCTTAAAAAAATATTTTTTTGCATTTTAGATATATACTTTATTTAAAATTCTTCTTAGGCTCCTAGTATATATATGGTAAATTCGATGGCCCAAGGCGACAAAGCTGGTCAATGTTATGGTGTGCAAAATCATACGTTGATGAATGGTAGAGAAAAATCGCCGTATGATACAAATACCGCTCCAGTCGATTCAATAATATCCGTTGATGAGAGAAATTTTTTGCTCCATGAGGCCAGTGACGAATTGATGCAAAATAATGAAAAGGTTTCACCTTCAGAAGATGCAGCCAGAGAACAGGTGTGTGAACAAATTGCTAATAATGAAAATGGGACTAACAAAAAAAAGAAGAAAAGATTAAAAAAGATTTACTTATCCATGATATTTTCTGACATTTCCAATAATAAAGTTATTTTATGTGAGAAACTATCCAGTATGTTCATTTATATCAGAACTTCTAGAAACCAATAGAATTTTTTATCAGACTGGGTAGTTCTGGCTTGTTTTTTTATCTTCTTTTTGTTTATATATTAAATTCTAATTTCATGAATTAAATATATAAATAAAAAGCAATTTGGTAGACAAAATCGTTTTATAGAATTAATGCCACATAATTTAACAGTTACCTCTAAAGTTGGTATGTGGAGAACGTCGCGATATTGAAGATGAGATTGCTAATCGAATATTGTCTGATATATCAGAAGAAAATTCCTTGATTGGATCAGCGGATGAATTTGATCAACTTATTCGTGAGAAAAATAAATGGGTTAATCTTTTTCTTGTGGAGAATTTAACCAAAGTAAAATTCAAAATCGAATAAGTAATCTTATTTTCATATTTCTTGTTGGCCGTACTTTATATATAATTAGAAATATCAGCCGAGTTTTATCGATGCTATGAGCAATTTGATTAGAGAAACAAAAGAATATCGCTCTATTTCCAGAAGTTTTTAAAATCATTGGTGACTTCAATAGAATTGCCAACTGGCTGATGACACAAATTACTCTTTCTTTTCAAAAATGTGGCGTTTTACATATTCGAAACTCGAAAATTCGAAAAGATTCGATTTTCTTAATCTTTTTATTAATGGTAACATAATCAGACGAGTCTCACATATTTCCGACCTTGGCATAATCATTACTGAAAATCTTGACTTCAACCTTTACTGCAGAACCATAGTTAAGAAATCCTCAAAGATGTTAAATTTTTTTAGTTTGTTTAAGAGCAAAACTCAAGGTTTTCTTATCAAAATGTATAAAGCATTCGTTTGGTTTCTTTTCGATAACAATACTACCTATTACTCTTCGAGATATCGCAAATCAAGTAAAATAATTAAACGACTCCAAAAATTTTATACGCCTCTCTCCTAATAGCAATTTTAATATAAAAGACAACTTCAACATTACAACCTGAATTCCCTCTCAATTCATCGAATTAAACAAGATTTAATTTATACTTATAAAATTCTATATGTTTATGTTAATTTAGATTGTTCAAAATATTATAATTTTAGGTTAAATTTGAATACAACAAGATCTAATGGGCTAAAATTACTAAAACCTATATGCAAAACTAAAACTCTAGAATTAGAATTCTTGACTTCTTTATTCGTACTATTAATTACTGGAATAAACTACCGAACGATGTAGTTTGTGCGTCATTCTTAGCTATTCTTAGAAGAAGATTACATAATATCACTTATGATGAAAAAATTTTGAGATCTCGATTTTTAGCATTTGATTATGCACAAATATTATATTCATTTTGAGTTGTACTATTTTGTAACTCTTCTTTATTTCCTCTTTGTTAGTTTTTGTCATATTTTCTTTTTTATCTTTAATTTTCATTATTTTTATTTCCAGTGTTGTTATTGATAAAAGTATTTAGAAATGTATATTTAAAATTTACCACATATGTTATTTTTTTCGATTCTTTTTTGATTGTTTTCGACAATTTAAATGAGCTTTTGAAATGGAATGATGAAAAATAATAAATCTTAGAAATTGAACTTGAGGTAAATTGGCTTAATTGATGACCTATGTGAATGCAGAGCAAAATCTTTTTTCAAGCATTATTTTTTTCTTGAAGATACTTTGCCTATTTATTCTTTTATTTATATGTAAAGGCCAATGTGAAGTTAATTCGATAAAATACAAAGACAAATTTCTTATGAATGGTCGTTATTTTTACCTATATCATAAAAATTTTTTAGCTTATTTTTTTCTGGATATATGAAAAGCTTATCTCAAAGCTTTTCTAACCCTATTTCAGAGTAGCTTAACTCAGTCAAAAAAAGAATATTAAGGCCAAATAAAATTGAATTAAAAACTGTTGCGATTTTTGAAACTTTTTAGATAGTTTCTTCTAATAATTTTTTAAAATTTATTAGGCATTCACTGATTAACTTTATTTTTAGCGAAATAAAATACGCAGAAGTCGTAGCCGATCATCTACACCTCATGTTGAAGGTTATTCCATAGAAACTACTCCAATTCCATCACCAGCATCCACATTTGGATTTGATGACCGAGATGCTACACCTGTACTACAATTTACTGAAGCTGATTTGGTATGAACAATTTTTTTTTTTTTATATTTCCTTTATTCTCTATTGGATTAATAGTTCATCGATTATCAGTGAAATATTTATTAAGAATTCTAATTTCTATTTTAGTTGCAACATCCAGCACAGCTCGATCCAAAAGTGCCAGTTGGTGCTCCTCTTTTTCTGGAGGAGCTTTCTAAAGCTCGCATCTCACCTCTGCCATCTGGTTTTCTTTTATGTTTCAACGGTCTAATAATTTTTTTCATTAAATCGGAATTTTCTAAGATACAAACAAAATGAATGCCAATCGTTAACCAATCGTTTTAGATCAACTTTCTCCAAAGCTATCTCTTAGCCCGGTTTTGCCAGGAATGAAGAGCCCAGTACATTTATCACCAAATCGAGAATACTCGATGGAAGTAATTTTTTTCAAAATGTTTAATATTCTTTTTTTTTGCTTATCTAGAATAAACACTTTTTGATCAGCTACATCTCTACGATTGAGTTTAGAACCACTTTTACTTTTTACTTTTCTTGCTTACTCTTGAAATAATCGTATTGAATCGATGCTAAATCAATTTCTGATCCAAACCATAGTATTGCAGAGATTTAATCAATTTTGTTGTTTTTGCCTTTTTTAAACGGTGATTATATATATATATATATATATCTAAGATTGATGATTTTTAAAAACTTTTTAGGTCGTAATAACCACAAAGCGAGGAAAGATATCGAAAAGTGAACCCTTTAATGATCAATTAGAAGATATAAAGAAAGTTGGCTTTGCAATTGATGGTGTGGAACACAAGGCACGAGAACTGATACATGATGATGAGTTTGAAAAGTTTATGAGTCGAATAGAACAAGAAAAGGAGCAACGACGAAAAGACGTGTGATTTATTGATGTTTGAGATATCTTTCGCATTTTGTTTCATTGCTAAATTAAAAATAGTTTATTAGTTAGTTGATCATTATGTTTTCTCATTGACATCTTTTCCTCATTTTTGTTTCAAGTTGGAACAACTGGAGAGGTATAAACCAAAAAATATATATATGGAAAATGGTGTGCTCCCTGAACGATCAACGTGTGATTCTTATGATATGCCTTGGGATTCTCATTACCAAGTAAGATAGAAATTTTTATCTATTTTCAGCAATTAAGCTCTCGATAAGGTCGATCTCAATTTATTTGGTAAACAAATAGGTATAGCCACAATTTCTGAATTTATCGTTTCAGATTGGACCTGAAACTCTTCTCTTAGCTTCGCGTGGGGCATCATTCAATGCACGTGTTCGAGATTATAGGAGAGAGTTGTGGGGTGACGGAGCACCACTTGTGACTGAAGGTTACCTCGGTTTCAGAAACCAAGATATTACAGTCCGAGAACGACGAAGGTGTAGTATTTCTCATTTCTCATTAAAAAAATATCTGATCTTGTACTTGTCCAGTAGGGCAATCTATGTTCATTAATTATTTGTTTTAAATATTTTTGATGGTGCAGTTTTCTAAATTTTTTCACTGAAATGCCCATTTCAACCAAAGTAGTGCAAGAACCACTGCAGGTTTTTTTCTTTTTTTAAGAGTCCTCACCATCACTGGTTAAACTCGTTCTTTTGGCTTATCGCACTGGGCAAATATGCAAGGGAGACCCTTGTGATAGAAGTACAGATGAATTACCAGCATCACCCGGATTTTTGGACAGGTTTACTCCTGCGGGAAATAGAACCTCCGCATGGGCGCCCTGAATTGGGCAACAACCCACTAAGCCATTCGATGAAATGGCAATCCAGACCAAAATAGTACAAGAACCACTATAAATTGCATAATAATGGTTATTTATGAGTCCGTTAAGAAAATTATGCCTAGAACTGCACTTACTTTATTGTATTTTTTATCATGAAAGGTTGAGCGAAAAATTTTTAGATTCACGGATTTAGTCAGAGAAGATAAAGAGATTGCAAAAAGTGTCGCTAATCTCGATCGTGAAATAAGAATGTCGCAAAGTGGCGCATTGAGACGCATACAGAATAATATTGAAAGAACCGTTCCGATTTTGAAAAAAGAAGACGGAAGTATTCTTCACTATTTTTTTCTTCAATTTTAAAGATAATTTTAAGATTATTTTAAAATCTATTTTTCTTAGAAATAAAGACGTCTGTATCATTGAATATTTAAAGAGCCAGAGTAAAGTAGAAGGAAGGATAGAATGCAGATGCAATCTCAGCACAGGGCTTGGATTTTATATAGCTCGAAATGATAAGTCCTGATTTTGCTGAGAGAGATTTTGAATGAGAATTATGGAGGCTAACGATTATTTTTTAATAATAGAGGGCCTATTGAAAATCACCATTTATAATATTTAATTTTGAATTTAGCCTTTGGTGCCATATTTAAAACTCGCTTAAAAGATGTCGCATTCGCTCATGAAATATCAAATGCCATTTTCGAATGCACAGTAGTTGCAAATCCCGCAGCATCAGTAACCTGGTTTCATCACGAGAGTGCCTTAACTAACAATGGAAAATATAAAGTAGATAGATAATGTTTTTTAAAATATCTTCATGGCGCTTAATGAAAGTAAATTCCATTCTTATTTGAATATTTTATGCCTTATAAATAGTAGCAGCAGAATTCTTAAGATTTTCCACGATAGCGGTCAGTGCAAATTGATTATTTTAAATGTGTCAACTGCGGATTTGGGAGAATATTCGTGTATTGCTACCAATGAACTTGGCATGGACCGGACTTCAGCACACATATTCATCGGAGGTCGTTCAGTTTTACCTTTCTAACTTTACCATTTTACATTTCTTGACATTTTTGTTCTTTGTTCTTCCGACTTATGAGTAATTACTGTTTACCTTGTCTATTACTGCATTATATTATAGAATAATATGAAAAACAGATTTTAATGAATCAATGAAAGATTAAAATATACTAATATTAGCTGGATTTCAGATGTACCAGCTCCTCCTGGGAGGCCAGAAGTTGAATTATGTTCTGATACCGAAGTTTTTATCATATGGGAAGCACCACTGGTGGCCAATTCTCTTGAAGGCCTAATTTACAAGCTAGAAATGCGGCCTGCAGGTAAAATTTTTCAAAAAATTTTATTCCTAGATATCGGTTAAATTTTTAAGAATCTTTACTTTAAAATGTCAGTGATATCAATAACTAGTTCAGTGATAACTGAAATTCTTCAGTTCTCTTATATTATTGGAAAAAATAGGTGTTTTCATCCAATTACGCGGTCTTTTCGCATAAAATCATAAGTCATAAATAATATATGACCCATTACGTTGCCCCATATGAGCCGCTAAACAACCAAAGGTACGACTTTATGAAGTCGATACTGTGGTCATTTCATCGAGATGAAACTCATAACTGGAAGCGATTGTTTCATTTTTTAAAATAATTTATTTTGGATTATCGTTCCCACCCTTATGTTGAAGTATTAAATATTTAGGAGAAAATGATCATTTTTCTGAATGGCGCTTGGTGTCTGATCAGTTGGATGAGGAAGCCGTAATTGTTCGTTACCTGAACCCACTGGGAATTTACCAGTTTCGTGTTACTGCGAAAAATGCATTTGGATGGGGATATCCGTCACTGACCTCACGTATCATCCGAACCCATGCGAAAAGTGATTTTTATTGGAATTTTTTTATTTTAGAATATTTCAACAAGTGATAAACAGTGGTTTGTGACATTTGATTAATTGATTATTGAGGTTGTAGCTAGCGCTGAAGAGGTTAAATTAGAAAGTTTATTTCAAATGAAATTCTTTGCCTTCATTTCTAAAAATAGTGGATCTTATTTTCATTTCAAGTTTTACCTCTGAATAACCAGTTAGGCATCCATTCAATTGTTTTATTTGCCTTTCTTGAGCATTTAACTCGATAAGACTTTCGCGTTTAGTTGAGCAATAATAAAGATTGGAGGCGCATAGACCACCTGAATTTACTGATAATGGAAAAATTTGGTTCGTTTTTTGCCTAATTTATTTCTCGAATCCATTTTATAGACTCACTGAAACTACAAATTGACCTTCTGAAGCAACAATATCATCTGTGCATTTTATCCAAGCCGCCAAAATCGATTATTTCCAAGCAAAAATTGTCTGGAATCACTGAAGAAGAAGAAGATAAATTACAGAATGACGAGTCATTAAATATACTTGAATCTGAACAACTTATGCTAAGCTTAAACGATGATCCGAATAAGAGATTCCAGGTATCAGTCATTGATCTGGTAATTATGAGCCAATTTTTTTTATTATCGAGAGAAAGCTTAATAACATCAATATAGATAAACTCTAAGGCAATTTTTTTAGTTCAACAGATGGTGCGAAGGTCAATGGCTTCATGCAAATAATCTATTTTAATTCAAAGCTAAAAGTTTATTAGCCATTGTCCTAGTCATTTTTACCCTATATGAAAGTGACGACATTTAAAGGCACAAATCTGTGGTGAAAAAAAAATTTAGAGCTGGTTCTTTCTCATTTAATTTAGATCATATCGGAATTGTGTCGTGGTCGGTTTGGTCTTATAGTTAATGCTTCTGATTCACGCAGTGAAGTAGGCCCGTTTTGCATTGCCAAACTTTTAAATTCGTCAACAGGACGAAATCCTTCTATCGAATTCGAAATACTTAAAGAATGTCAGCAGGAAAACGTTGTTCATTTAATAGCTGCATTTGTTAAGTATGTTTTATTTTAACCAACATTTATTTCTGGATTAAAATATTATAAGAATATTATAATTAAACTTATGAGTTCATCAAGAAAAGTTAAAAAGCATTGAAACTCCTTTCACTTAACCATTGCGATTTTATTCTTTATTGAAGGCAAATTGTTTCTATATTTCCTGTCTGACTGGTTGCAGTGACCAAGTATGGAACTTTCCCACTAGAGTTTGGTCTGTAAATAGAAGTATAATCTCACCACCACTAAATGTAAATATGTAATAATTGAATAGTTGTGTTGTAAATACTTTCATTTTTTAACTGCTTTTTCAGGAATAATATTTATTATTTTTTTATGGAAAAACTTAGCGAAAATATTTTTGAACGATTCCTTCGCAATGATTATTATAATGAGGAACAAGTGTGTAGATCGATCATGCAAATTTGCTCTGCATTACATTGGATTCATTTTAAAGGGTATTTGAAGAACTCTTAAGATTCGTACGAATTTCCAGTGTTAAAGTATTTTTCTTATTGTCTCATATATTTTTCTAGTATAAAAATATGTGAGACAATGAGAATTTATTATTCCATCTTAGAAATTGCCATAATTCCTTTAGGTTCACATAATTTGTTTTTTGTTTCAGATGAATTCTTACTTCGGCCAATGATCTCTTTTTGTGATTTCTATGCGAATATTTGTGAAAAACTTTCAGAATTTATGCTTTTAACCATCTATCGAGTTCTCTAACTGAGTTCTTACTGTGATTTTTAAAATAATAGAATACTGTAATAGTTTTCTTGCAGGATCAACAGAGACAGCAACCCATTTTATACTCAAAGATGAGATTATAATAATATTTTAGGTATACTCACCTCGACATCGAGCCTACCAATGTCATGTTTACATCAAAGCGTGCATGGAGTTTAAAAATTGCGGATTTTGGATCAGCTGTGGAAACTGGAACTATCTTAGACGAGTCTGTACAATTAAATACCTACTGGGCTGCTCCTGAGCTCCAAGAAAGAAGACAGCCAGTAACTATGCAGAGTGATGTTTGGAGTCTTGGAGTCTTGACTTTTTGTCTGTAAGTCAAACTTTTATCGTTTTCACATTTTAAAAATTAATATATTAATATATTCACATTTTATATTTAGATTTTAAGAATTAATAAATGGTTGGCATATTATCATTTCAATCTAGGATCATCGTACTGGCTGCTCTTAGACTGAAATAATTTTATCTGAGAGTTATTGGGTGGTGAAAATGCAAGTTGCTGATTTCCCTAATATTTATTGTTGGTAGAGGCTGTATCGAATCCTTTTACTCATGCTGATCATCTGAGCAATAACCACTTGAGTAGTCAAGTGGTTATTGCTCAGATGATCTTCCCTTTATTTCTATCCCTTTATTTTATTAATTCAATTTATTAATTCAATTAATTCAATATGAAAATAACCTATTAATTCAATTTATCTCTGAATTAATAGGTTATTTTCATATTTTTATTTCTCCCTTCTTTCCAATATAAAAGACTAATTCTACTTAAGCTTAATTTATGTTGAATTCGCATTCAACTAATACGTCTGCTTTTACTCAATTTTTGTTTTATTTTCTGGAAAATATTTTAGTCCAAATAAACTAGAAAGGTAATTGAGCTTTATGGACTATTGATATTTTGCATTACACTTTTTTCGCTAGATTTCGATTACGTCAATTTTTCAGATTGAGTGGCTATCATCCGTATGCAGCCCATGATAGCTCTGAAGATGAAGTCAAAGAGAACATACTTCGTCAGAAATGCGATCCAAATTTAATTCATGTTCAGGCTACACAAGAATCTCTTCGCTTCGTCACATGGGCCTTGAAGAAAGATCCGATGTAAAATCTAAATCTTTACTCCATCGGTCACTTTCTTCCTAGTTATAATAATGCATCTTAGGAATTGAAAACTAGTTCCGCCATTTGAATATTGATAGCTCTATGTTTAAAATGACCCTTGTCTCAGAATCAAACCAGGAACAATAAATTAAGAAAATGTTTTGCATCACAAACTGGATAATCATAGATTGTAGATAAATTTTTTTCTAATTAAAATTTCAATTTCCTGTTGTGCCAATAATTATAAAGTAAACAATAAAATTTAAAAAATATTTAAAAGTAAAAAATAGGGAAAATGGTTCGCCTTAGGTGATTTACTTTATATTTCAGAAGACGCATGCGAACGGATGAGGCCTTAAACCACCACTGGTTTTCGGGTGAATTGTCACTGGTACGCCGTCGAGAAAATATCAAATATCCAAGCAGCCGCTTGAGAAGGACATGTACATTCACTTTTAATAAATTAAATCGAAATAATAACCAAACTCTTTTGTCATTAATCCCAGGAAATTCTATTTAATACCTATAGTTATATCCATTTGAGATGTGTTTAAGTTTATGTTTCGTTGATATCGAAGTAATTTTTCACATATTTATTAAAAATTCAATAATTTTAAGAACGATGCATTTTCGTTCGAAAATAGTGATGATAGAGTATTTCGCATTTCTAAGAATGGCTCTACTGATTGTTAGGGTGTGTGCTATCGGAGTCATTTGGGGATAGAGGTAGAGTTGGATATCGGCACCACTTATACCTCACTTTCGATAGCAGGCTTACTCTCGTGAAGAGACGGAATCACCTGTGACGGTCTGATTTTAGTCAACATAACATACCACTCATTCTACTCTCGAGAAAAAGGAAAAGAAATATCCGAATCATCTTGACGTGCTAAAAAAAATGTTAATGCAGCAAATAGCGATAGTTAAAGAAATTGTGACAAATTTGCTGTTGATTCGCACTGAAGGCATAAACGTTCAGTTTTTTAAAATTTATTATATTCAGTTCTTTGTCTTGCAAATTATAAGCGCTTTTTGTTATAATTATTATTGAATAAAAATCAAGTATTCCTCTTAAAACGCGTAGCGAAACCGTTATTTTTGTTGCTACTTTAAACTTTTCACCTCTCGAACACCAAAAGCTCCACCTTTCAATATAACATAAGCCACATTGAAAATATCGACTGTTCCCTGCAATTTTTTTTTGCCTCTGTTAACTTCCTCTACTACATATTTTAAAAAATTTTAGCGAGGTAGATGGCACATTCAATAGCTAATTTCGACTTCAAATATTCTTTCTATTTCCAAAAATTTTTGTTCATTATGAGATTTTTTGGAAAATCTAGAAAATGACATTGCTCATATCCATTAAATTTGAACCAGTAGGAAGAGCAGGTCTGCTTGAACTTTAACTACATTTTTGTTTGTTTGCTATGTTCATCACAGCATTATTTGTTGATATTAAAGAATAGTACTTTATGCGAGATTAAGTTAAACGATAATTTGATTTGAAAAATCTGCGATTGCCATGAATGCATTGAATTTTATCATATTTTCTGCTTTTAAAGTGATTTCACCGAGATGTTCAGTTGAGAAGAATTTTTAGTTTCTATCAAATATTCCAGTTTAAATTAAAATGAAAATCATTAAATAAATAAACATTCTTTTTATTTTTGATAACAGCTTTTCTTTTTTTTTGGTTTTCTCGTATGAGGCGCAATGAGTGGTGCTGAAATGAAATAATCTAAACAACAATCACTCGACTATTGTGCAAAAAACCGGGAAAGTAAATCTTCACAACCGAATATCAGGAAACTTGACCATTCTGAAAATAATAGATATGCTAAAAGACCGGAGAGCTTCGTTTAGTAATCATTTGACACCCGCTGACGTAATCTTCAGAAATGAATTTCTTGCAATTCATTTATTTTATTTCGATATTTAATATTTCGATCTTTTACTTCAATATAGCTTTTTTGAAGCATATTTATTTTCTTTATGTTTTTTAAATTTTATTTCCATATTGGAAAAATCCTTGCAAAAAAAAATAAAAACATTAAAAATGAAGAATTAAAATAATTATTATTAAATAAGCGATAGATGTATAGTATATTTTATTATTTGTAATGTGGACTCGCCTTTCGCATCCGAGTGGTCTCTAATGATTCCAAAATCAGCGGCTATGGTTAATACCACAGCAATGAGGAATTTTCTACAAGATAAACGATTGCAAAAATATATTAATTGTATTTAAAATGCATTTGAATTAATCTTGCTATTTTTTTTCTAAATTTTCTGAGAATTTGACGTAATTTCCCAGCAGTGACGATAAATTATTAAAGAAAATTTATGAGCCATCTAGCAACAAATTGGGCCTTAATAAAAAAAATAAAGATGTTTTAATAAGAGATTTCAAAAATCATTGCAGAGATGACATTTAAGATGACATTTCATCTAAAAATTCAACTAATGATGGCAGTTATAGCAAAAATTTGTTTGTTTGAACTACAGCCATCGATTCGACATTTGTCAAAAATACTTTGAAATAATATACCATCACATTTATTAAATATTTAATTGTTTTCATTCACAATTCTGTTTGTTTTATTGGTCTCTCAGTTAAATTTAACTTATTAAATATTTAAACATTTCAAATTATTTCATGACTTAAGCGATCCTCAAGTTCCATATCATATTTTAATGGGATAAGTTAATGGCAACAACTTTGTTATACATAGTTCAGTTGTATAGTTTATTATATTTTAAATAGTTGTATTATATTTTAAATCCAGTTTGCAGTGAAAAGAATGGAAGAATTGTTAGAAATATTGAGAAAAGGACTCTTGTGAACGAAAAAAAAATCTGATTTTATATATTCATATTCAGTTATTGTTTTTCACTCAATATCGCAAGGAAAATCTTAAGTTCTGCGAAATCACGAATTATTTTAGAAAATCTAGCAGGTGAAACGTCAGTTTGCTGTTTGTTTTGCGATTATACCTTTGAAAAAAAGCATGAAAATTTCAAGAACTTTACAATTAAAAAAATAGAGTTCTTTATCTGATGAAACAAATGACATTTTAATTGATCATTTTATTGCTCTTCACTTTACTTACTCGTTTCTGCTTATCACTGATATTATTGTTATGAAAATTTTTGTAATTAATTTTCAGATTAAATAAATTAGAGTTCTATGCAATAAATAAAACATCCTTATTGAAGGATCTATCACATAATTTCACATTTCTCTTTTGAGAAGAAGAATTAGGAAGAATTAGTTAATCTTGAATGAACTGGTCTTAAATTAATAAAACTGGGTATTTTTGTTGCATCAATATTTTTTAAGCACTAACTGACCATTTTATTATTGAATCAAGCTATCCAATTGTTTTTGTTCATTAAGCCTTTATTAAACATTGTAAGAATTGATTATTTACAGATACATTGAGCAAAATGAGAGGAAGCGCTTGTCTAACAGTTGTCGCTTCAGCTATGCACTAAGACTGCGACAATCGGTAAATTTATCTTAAAAAAAACTATGAAGAAAGTTTGGAATTGGTTCGTGGAAAAGAAACCAATTGCTTTATACAAATGGAAAAGTGCTTTTCTAAATCGAAGCGATAAAAATATTAAACGAGAAAATATAAAGCCGATGATCGGCGGCAGCGATGATCAACTTGCCCTTAGTCGATATCGTACCAATAATGGTACGTCTGATTCGCTTGATATAATGTTTCAGCAGAGTTCGAGTGCTATTTTTCCTCCATTAAATGATGATTTCGAAGAGTTTTTCGATGAATCTGCTAATGCCATTGAAGTGGCTCTGGTATGTTCAAATAGTTTGTTTTATAAAAATTTTTTTTGGATAATTTGTCTAGCATTCATCACTTCCGACTGCGATTTCCCTTGGAAGAATGAAATGTCCTTCGCCAGAGAATCCTGTGCATACATTGCCAGTTTTAAATTATTTAATTTTAGTTCTTTTATTACTTTATTTATTTATTTATTTATTATTTATTTTTTTTATTTATTTTATTTATTTTTTATTTTTTATAGTTTATTTTTGAAATTTTGTTGTATCGAATAAACGATAAAAATAACATCGGAATTTAAATATTGGCGTATGGATTACCAGTGGCGTAGGTCTTTTGTGTTTTTTGTTCTTCACTGTTTTCTTATTTGTGTTTTTTGAATAATTGTTTTGAATTATGGTAATTTTAGTTTAATTGGATAGCTTTTTGTGTATGTTTTATTTTTGTTTTTTTGGTTTTTATTAGTTTCGAACCATTAATGCCTTAGGTGTTCTTGATTAGGGCTTAAAAGGAATGTTTGGCTTCCTTTCATTTTGTTTTCTGGAATGATGTTTTTTCACTTATCCTGTCCTGTGAGTTTTTCCTAATAAGTTATTGTAGACGAAAAAAAAATCTAGTTATATTGATGAGTGAAATTTTAGTTTTTAGTACGTTTATGTATTTTGTTAATTCTTTTTGTTTATTTATTTTCAATTCAAGAGCTATATGATTTTTTGAGTTTTTTAATATTAATATTTTTTAATATTCCTTGGCAAAAGGCAGAAATATTGAATAGTTGAAGTAAAAACATCGCTCGGGCATCTTTCCTTCAGATAATTTATCAATTAATTTACCAAATAGAATCTGAAGGACATTGCCTCAAACAAAATGTTTGTTTTTATTATAAATGTAGTCCATTCGAATAGCATTATGAGCTAAAAAATGCACCTTAATTTAGAAGTTCTAAATAAAATAACAAGGAATTAAGTACAAGGAATTGTTGTTTCCAATGAATATTTTTTAAATATTATATCTGGTTTTATCCAGTAGGTACAATAATACGTTGAATGTTAAGTTAAACTAAATTTTTCCTTCAAAACAGATGAAAACCTTTACCTATAAACTATAGAATTTTAAACTAAGGAGTTGAAATTATAGGAGACGAAAAAAAAATCTATTGATATTGATGAGTGAAAAAATGGAATAAAAGAAAAACCAATAGTTTTAACATTTTCTTCAAAGTATTCATCGCTTAATGAAAGTGGAAAAGCCAAATAAAAGTTAAAAATTCGAAAGATTTAATGCGGAGTTAGAGCATTTATTTTGTTTTTTAAGCGGTATTTATAAATTTTCACCATTTTATCTTTTTTAGCATACATCATCACTGGTCGACTCGATTGATTATAGGTGCCACCAAATTCTATCATACTAGATTTATACCTATACCTAAAATAGTATTATTTCAAACTATAAGTCTTTAGCCTAACTGTATAAAGCATATTGCCTTATATTATTATATTCTAACAGTGCCTGACAATCATGAAGACCATCGAATGTTTCTACGGTTCTTTGATTAAGCAATAATCTTTGACGAATGCTTTGACAGTAAAACCAATCAAATCAGAAGTGGCGATGATTAGAAAAAAATTGTCTTTTCTTTACTTGATCGTTCTGCCTTCATTTTTTCTTTCTTCTTTCTTCTATCTTTTTATTGTAAAACTTTCTTTGTATACCTTCGTGCAATCTTATGAAGTGATTTTATTTTACATAAATTGAAAAAATCTAGTCACAAAAGCAGATTTTTTATAATTTCCGACTTTTTTCTAAAAGTTTTCGTTCAATCCTTTAGTGCTAAAAGCTTTGAAAAAAAGTGCACATTAACAATAGTTATTTTCTGAATGATTTCATATTTTTTTCTCTGATATATTTTTCATATTGAGGAATTTAGCGATCGTAAGCCAGTTAGGAATATAAAATTTTTTATTTAAGCACTTTTTCTTAGATTTAGCCACAGACCACATTCTATAAATCTATAAATCATCTTCTATCCTTAGATTCTCTTAAACGCATCATTTTCATCCAATTAATTCTCGGATTTCTTTTGATCGGCTTAACAGCTTTCTTCTTCTTCTTATTCTTCTAACAGCTCTCATTATTACTGGTTAGGCTGGCTCCAACGGCTGCAAGAGTAAGACGCTTCCAAGCGGCCATCGTCGACAGTAATGGAAGCCATTCCTTTTTTCATCGTCTAAGTCCATATATTGTTGGTCCACCTATACGTTCAAAATCTTTTCTCACCGTATCAGTCCAGGTCTTAATTGGCCCACCTCGGTTTTGACGCCAACCATCACATGGTTTAGCAGATAACGAAATATGTGTCAACTCCTGTGGTGGACGACGGAGAATGTGCCCTAACCAGCGAAGGCGGCGCAAAGTCAATGAAACATGTGACAGTGGATTGAAAATATCTGAAGCGATGTCCCTTCTTAACGTGAATATCTTGTCACAACCGCGCCCCGATCTGAATCCAGCTTGATTAGGGCGTATCCTGCTGTCTCGTATTTCCATAAGTCTTTTGAGTAACAGGGAAGCAAAAATTTTTGCTGAGACGTCTAATAGGCTGATTCCTCGATAATTGTCGCAATATGTCCTATCACCTTTCTTGAGAATTGGGAGCAGAATTGCTTTGCTCCAATCATCTGGTAATATCTCTTTTTTCCATACTAAAGAGTACATTTGTTGAAGGTGCCTTATGAAGGACAGTGGACCGCATTTGAAAAGCTCAGCCCGAAGACCATCTTCTCCTGGAGTTTTGTTGGCCTTAAGCTTATGGATAACTGAGATTATTTCTTCTTCTGTTGGAGGCTCGCAATTGCAAACGTATGCTTCGGCAAACGTATCAGCTATATCAGGGGCAACAAATGGCGCTTCATGGTTAAGTTTAGCCTTAAAGAATTCTTTCCATCCTATAAGACGGTCCTTAATACTATTAACTGGCACGCCATTGCTGTACCTTACCATTTCACTGATCGTTCCTCGAGTCATAGTTTCCTATTATCGCCTAATCGAGCCGCCGTCTTCATTCTTGAGATCACTCCTAAATGATTTCTGTCCCGCCGTGCTGCTTTCGTTGCAAATCTTTGAAGCATCCGGTAGTCAGGATTACCTGTGCTTTGGCAGCTTTTTCAGACAATTGGGCAGTTGCTTCCGATACCCAAATAGTGCACTTCCTACTAGTATGCTCTAGTGTGGAAGTGGCTGATTTTCGGAGACATTCCTTTAATTTGTATTCACACCAGTATACACCAGTATTCATTTGGCGTTCCAGAAAAACCGTTGATATTTGTATCATTGGGATGCTTCAATAATTCAGTTTGAAATGCGCTCACTGTCCTCGAATTTTTTAGTTTGAGATAGTTGAAGAATCTTTGGCGATGCTGTTTCTTGCAAGCTGACAATTTTATGCGGATCTTGGCTCGAACCATAACATGGTCAGATCCATGAAGATTGCCCCTTTCAGCTCCACGATAAGAAGGACTATCTAATACGGAACTCTTCAAACGGCGACTGACTAAGATATAATCAATCTGGTTGAAGTGTTGGTTGTCCGGGAAGTTCCACGTGACTAGATGTTTTTTATGATGCCGGAAGCAAGCATTAGTAACAAAAAGTTCATGCTCTTCGGTATAAGAAAATGTTCCTCATTGGCACACCGGTCTCCTATGCCATATTTACCAATTGTTGAGGTCATCGCAGCTGCATTATGACCTACGCGAGCGTTCCAGTCTCCACCGATTATGATCATGGCATGTTTCGGTAGAGACTTTGTTAGCAGTTGAAGTTCCGCATAGAACTTGTCTTTATCACGGTCATCTGCCGACAGCATTGGAGCATAGACACTGATGACCGAGATATTGCAAAACTTACCCTTAAAACGGGCATAGACCATACGGTCGTTTACCGGTTTCCACTCAATCAAAGCGGAATGGGCCTTGTCAGACATGACAATCGCTACGCCATTTCGTCCCGAGTTATTCGAAGCACCACAGTGATATAGCCAGTATCTCTGCTCTGAACTAGGATTAATAATTTCTCGAGACCCAAAGTGAGGGAGACGGACCTCTGACAAACAAGCGATATCCACACGATACTTAGGGTGTAGATAGTGATCGCTTGGCTTACAACGTCCATAAGCGTTCAGACGTTCCACGCTGGTACGGCTAATACCTCGCCGCGCGTGCAGAGGGCTGTTCCCCTTCTTGATAGGTTTCGAGCAATTACCCTGGCTTGAGAGCACATTTTATTTACCATCCTTGGGATTGCTTTAAGCCTAGATTGTATACTTATCGCATGTACCACCGGGTTCGAAGTATCATGAGCGTCGGGAGACGCGGAGGCCGTATGAAGTGCATCTGACCTTTTCACCATAGAGTCACTTGGGAAGATACAGGTGGGTCCCCAGCAGCCACCCGAATTTTTGACATAATAGCAGGTTTACTCCTGCCAAAGGCAAAAAAAAATTAAATTTGAAGAAAATAATAAAATGGACAGTGAAATTTTAAAAAATATATATGTGATTATATATGAAATATATATACATATATAATATTTAATTATAATTTTATTGATTTGATTTAATTTAATTGATTTAATTTTAATTTATTTTATTTTAATTTTAGTCGCTGTTTGGTAAAAAAAAAGCTTAACAGCTTAACAGCAAAATGAAATGATTCCTCACAATGGCCATTTCTTAGCGAGACAGATTACTAATATAATTTATACCAGCAGTGTTAAATCCATGTAAAATCTAAAATTGATATAACCATGATGATACAAGACGCTTTAAAATTTGAAATTTACTAGCAATTTTTCAGAATGAATCTATGATGTAGCAATCTCACATCAATATTTTTAATTCATGAGAACAGCTGCTTGAAAAAAAATTAAAAAAATCAATCAATGGGAAAGACATTCACGAAACTCGATCAAAATTCTTCTATTAAGGAAAACATCCTCTCATATTTTAAAAAAAAATTTGATTGATTTCGACTTTTTAAGGATTAGAATGCCTTAAAATCCATCGATTTAGTATACTGAATAAGCAAAAAATAATAATGGTTAAGTGATTTCTACCGAAGGCCTAGAAGATTGAGGGTTCTGCTTGAGAATTTAGAAACCCAATTCAAGCCCAAACTTTCTAATAATAGATTAAAACTTGTTGCTAAGTCAATTGATCTAGGAATATTCACACAAAATTCACTAATGAAACAAGCTTAACCAGTGATGGTAAGTGCTTTAAGAAGAAGAAATAGAAAAATACTATTGATTCAATAATATTCAGTAAAAATCCCTTTCTCGTTTTCCTGAGCAAGGATGAGTAAGGATCGTCCTCAACTTCGAGTCATCTTTTTGAGGTCTAGGAGATTGAGGGTTCTATGCTTTTTATCTTAGCTTTTCGCCCTTCTGGATAAAGGTATTGTTCACAGAATTTGTTGAAGCCACTTTTCTAATTTAGGAGTCACTGCTCATATTACCATTAGGGTTACCTTGGCTTTCACCTCCCGCATCTTTTCTAATTCCTATTTCAGCCTCTGCTATCTCTCTAGCTTCTCATATTTTTCTTCCTAATATTTCTATCACTTGGTATTGCTATATCTATTACCAGTTTTGTTTTTCTTTCTTATCTACTGTAGTATCTGGCATTTGTTTGTCTGTTTAGGTAAAGGAGTCCCACAGGATCACGGGATCTTAGCCCTATTATCCTCCACGATTTCCTAGGGGATTTCTATCTGGTCTTGGGAGTGTTTACATACTCAGACGAAATTCTTGTAAATGATGCCAGCTACTTTGTTATGCTAATGTACATTATTCCTGCTTTCATCTTATATCTTACATTCTGCCACTATATGTTCGACAGTTTCTGAAGCCTTTATATAGTATGAGACTTATCTGGTAGATTCCCTGCTTCGATAAATTTGGCACTTAGTACCTTTTCTTGTATTGCTATGATCATTGCCTCAGTGCCATCTTTTAATTCAGTTCTTTCGAACCGTTGATAGGATTTCTCAACCACCTCAGATATTTGTCTATGGTACATAAAAAGTTTTGCTTTGCTTCTAATATTATTTCTGGTATTCAAGTGGCTTTGATATTTACCAAGCTTTACGAGCCTTCTCTCCGGTATTCTTTGGGTGTTAGTGGAAATTGGAGTGTGCATTATGATGACAGTCCCCATGTCTTTTTTCACCATCTCACTAACTTTAACTGGCAGAGCATTCTTATGGCATGTATTTTGCTTTTATTATTTTTCATTGAATTAGCAATTTAAGACCTGGCCTATTCGTTCGTAACACTTGGATGCAGTTTTTCTGGCCTCTTCATCGTGGTTCCCATATGACTGTGGAGTATCACGATACTTATAGCTAGTCTATAGATTTGCTATATACTTTCTTTTTTCTTTTCTTATCATTAATTTTTATTATTTGCTATTTTAAATGTTGTTATTAATAGCTTTGTCGCCCTGCTTGGCTGATTTCCAATAAATAAATAATAGACTGTTTTTTAAAATGTTTCTGGACCTCTTTGCCCACGATTTTTTTAGGATATATCGAGTTGTACCTTCAGTTTGCCGAGATCTTTCTTTATTCCACAAAAATTTATCAAATATGGAACCAAAATATAATTTTTTCTCTTAACATAATTTCTCACTAATTACGATGAAAAAATCATGTGCCAATTCCTGCCCTATTAAATCAGATAGAATATTTATGAAATTTCGGCTATGATACCATAGATTCGGCGAATTTTGCATTGTTTTTAAAATTTCTGGCATCATTAACAGATTCAGATTCATCATAGTCTTCCCATTAGTATTTAATGTAATGAGCTGGCATTTTTTGGTGCAATGAGGCCATAATATTGTTCTAAACATTTCACAGTAGTTCAAGCAAGTCAAGTTATTCGTATTCAAACTTTATATGTCACATAAATTATAGACACACAATCTTGAGAATATTTTAAAAAATACAGAGGACCACATTTAAAAGCATGGATTTTTCCGGAACTGAACTGTAAATATAACTGGACTACATTATGAAGAAGTGAAATGTATGGTAGCCAAAATAATTCACCCATGAATTATTCATCTTTTTTTTAGATTTGTTTTTTTAGATTAAAATTTTTTAAAAACATTTCACTTCTTCAAACATGTTAACTTCTTCAAAACATCTAAAATATCCAACCCTTCTACTAAATAATTTTCTGTTACGGTTTTTTCATATGACCATATCATATTTTTCTTACAGGAAAAAAAGGTATCATTTCCACTGCGCCCTACTCAATCTAAAACAGAACCTGCATGTCAATCGTATGCTGAAAAAAAAAATATTAATAACATGAGGTATGTGTTATTTGCGAAACTTTGTTGTACCTAATAAACATGGACTTTTTCGAAATTCATGCTTCATTTATTTATTTTACCATTAAATAACCATAATAAAAAATTCAAACAATTAGTTCTTATCTTCATCTACTCACAGAATAATAGAATATTCTCAAAACAAAAGATAAACTGCCTTTATAAAGCACATTCAAGTTTCTCACCAAATTGTTTCTCAAGGCTATTCCATTGGTTTATCGTTTCAACAAAATTCAAGTTGTACTTATCGCTTGATGAAAGTTAACTACCAATTAAAAATAATATTGGAGTGGTGCTCGGAATTCAATTGACATTGCTACTATTAAATGGTTGCAGTGTAACGAACAAAAAAGCGAAAAAATATATTGAAAAAGGATTTATAGCACCTACGAATTTTCGTTGGGAGCACGGCGATTCTCCTTGTATTATTCTTTACAAAAATTCCTTTTGGGAATCCGCTCCATTATCTTTTTTCTGTGTAGATTTAACTTTCCTGCCACGCGGGACTTTTATTTCTTTTTAATATTAATATTATTAATATTGTAAAACTCTGCGACCACCGTTCTACTTCTTACTTTTCTCGTTGCGAACCTCAAACTTGGGTAATTAAACCTTTAATAGTAAAGAAGCAAATATACAAGAAAAGTAAAGCAATTGCCATATTGCATAGAAATAATACAGTAAAATGACCAAATTTAAAATGGTCGGGAATCCGGATGAGTTGCTCAAATTTAAAGCTTTTTTCGCCGACTCTGCCGCCTGACAAAATCTGGTATATACATATATAAGCACTTCTATGAGCAAGAATCCCTATCAGTTTCCGTCTGGGCTTAATAAGATAATAATGATCTCGACTATTCTTAAGAATTGATTCATTTATAATGATTCTTATATTGATTCTTCTTTATTATTAAAATATGCATCTTCCTTAAGATCATTACAGAAATTAAAATTGAGAATCCGCCCACGCACGGCGTTGGCACAAAGGAAGGTCGCAATAAGAATAAAGAATCTGACTTGTTTAAGTGATGGTTCTCTCTTTTGTACAACTGCATAAAAGTTTTTTGTTTAATATGGGACTTAACACATTTGGGAACTTCTCTGTTCCTTATGACCATCACATCCTAATCCACTAATGGGTATCTGGGTGTAGAGTATTCTTTAAAGATAGGTTCCTCTTCCTCCGTAATTTCTAGAGGGTATAGGAGGAATACTGGTCTAATTAATTCTTTACCATTAGCCAACTTAATTTTTACCGATCTTATCTTATGGGGATTTAAAGTTTTTCACTGAAACTCACCATTTACTTCGACAATTCTAGCCAACTGCCAGATCCCTCTTTCTTCTCCTCACAAAGTAAAACGATTTCATTTACTTTTGGGCTTCTATTCACATTCGAACAGGAATTGCGATGCCGACGGCCAGCCAGGAAGTAGGTTGATATAATCTTCCCAAAATCTTTGGAGCAATTTTTCAAATTCTTTCCATCCTTTTAAGAGTACTCTACTACTAATCTGCCATAATCTTCATTTTCATCCTTATTCAATAGTAAGTGGTTTCTTATTCCCTGCATTCGTGGACAAATCAAATCAATAGGACGGATTGGATTATTTCTTCTGTGACATATGTTAATGGTCTCAAATTAACAATGTTTTCCACTTCCACTAAAAGCGTTCTCAATTCTTCTTCATGTAGCAATTTTCTGCCTACCATTTTCCTCATGGCCATTTGCATTATACCATTCATTCTTTCATAAACTCCTCCTTGCCAGGGCGCATGTGGCGTTATAAATTTCCAATCTACGCTCCCTTCCATCATTTGCACAATTTGGGAGTTGAATATTTTAGCTGCTGATTCGAAATTTGTGCCGTTATCTGATGGAATTGTAGTTGGTGAACCCCATCTGGCTGAGAACCTACAAAATATGTGGATGAAGGCAGCTGTTGATAAATCCCAGACCATTTCTAAATATATAGCTCTACTTGTCAAGCGAGTGATAAGGATTGCCCACTTAACGACCCTGGTTTTTTTTCAATATTAAAAGGTCCAAAAAGATCTAATCCGACTGATTTAAAGGGTCGTTGTTGCTGAATTCTGTAAACCGGCAAATTGGGCATGTCGGGTAGTTTAGCAATTCATCTCCAGCAGTTTCTCCTTATTGCATTTCTTACGTCTACCCTTCAAAATCCAATACTCTTGCCGTAGTAGGGCCAGCATATATGCGGTACCACAGTAACCATGAGTTTTGTGAAGATGTAAGATAATGAGATAATGAGTACGGTGACTCTGCCCTTTCTAGGAAAGAATATTACATTATTGGGAATACGACGTTTACATCTGTAAATATTATTCTCGTCCTGATAAAGTTCCCTTTTCAATACTTCTGAGGTTATTCCTTCTGATAAGATTGACGAATTAACCATGTATTTGTCAGACGGTTCATATTCGAACTCCTGTGCCTGATATGGTCCAACTTTCGAATCTTCTCTGATATTTTTAGTACAAATTTTATTACGCATACGACTGTCCCGATTAATTTCCGCCAATTACTAAGACGAAATGTACCATTAATTGCCTTTATTCTATCAATCTCTTCTATGGTTTTACTTTCCTGAGAAGGTTGTGACGGTTTGCTGAATGGTTTCATTGTGGGGCTCCTTTGGCCAATTTTCCTGACTGTGGTTCCAGTCAGGACCCTGCCACCACAACGGAGAAAGTTTTAATTTCCTCGTAGACATTCGCTTTGAAGCATTATCTGCGGAATTTTTTTTTGAGGGAACATAACGAACTGACACATATTGGTGTCTTCTGATTTCTTCTAACAAATTGTTGCTGCTCTTTTTTGTCGTTTTTAATCCAGTCAATGACAGCTCTGCTATCATACCACAGATATTGTGGTGTTTCTACATGAACTCCAATTTGGCTAGCGATGAAATCGATGAGTCTGCAGCCAATAAGGATAATCAGTAATTCTAATCTTGGAATGAAGTTCCTTTGAGTGCTGCCACTCTCGATTTCGCCATCAAAAATTTTACCTGACAATATTGTTTAATAACAATTATGTATTATGTAGGCTACGGCGGCGTAAGCTTTCTCCGATGCGTCTACAAAGCAGTGAATCTCCTTTTTGCATTCATTCTTCATGTACTCTATTGGTCGATTTATTTGTTTCTGATCCCACTCATATTTATCCGACCAACGCCTTTGCAAGAAGATCTTTATCGGAAGAGTGCATGGGATTAGAACTCCTAATGGGTCGAATATTGACGCAACGAATTGTAATACTTGTCTTTTAGTACTACATTCCTGTGGAAATCTCTCAATGGAACATGTTAGACGATCCGTTTTTAAATTATATTATAATCAATCCTAAAATTTTTGTTCGCCATCCGTTTCCAGTGTCTAGGGCTGCAGGGCTGAGATCGTTTTGAGGAATACAATAATTACAGTGATTTACTATGTCATTATTAGTTGCAAACATCCTCAAGTTCATTAGAACAAATTTTCCCATTCGCAGTCTTAAAATAATTCCAGCCAGGTGTGGAGTAGAAGTAGGGCCTTTATACAGTTGATCGTTTAACGTTTAACCTTTCCTACTAGCTGCTGATGCATCAAACACTATTCTTAATTTTGTACTCTGTTTATCATGAGAGATAACCGGAAGATGTGGAATATAATATTTAAGATACGGGATACGGTGTTTCTGAAGGAGTCGATTCGATTATCTTATCATCTAATTGCTCCTTAAATATTTGGTCTATTGATGACTCAGGCTTGCATCCTTTAGCAGTTTATTCCAAGTGGATGTCAATCTTCTAAAAGCAAGACCAAAATTTGACTCGATTTAAGGATCAGGACTTTTCCAAGGCCATGATATGGCACATCTTCCTTCCTCATTTCTTCTGACTGATTTTTCAAATTGTTCATATGCTTCTTCATCATCAATCAAGTTAATTGCGATTCCAATAGTTTCTAGAGCCCAGAACTGCGACAGATCTTGTTCTGCCAGCACCATGAAGGTTACTAAACTAGGACATTCTTTGTTGGCCATGTAACATCTGATTACAAGTTTTCCTAACAAATATTTTTCCTCACCGTGAGTCAATTACATATCCGCCAGAGTCCTTTTTCTCGTTCTTTATGCCTGATCTCATAAGAAAGAAATAATAATTTGAGCCTATTAATATATCGGGTTTCGCCATTTTTATTACACCTCTCGTTCTTGAAGATTGGTATGCTTTCAACTGCATGTATTTTATTTGCGATGTCAGTTGTGTCACCGTATTTGCCATTATCTTGAATATAGAGCCATCATAAAGTATTATCCCTACTTCTGCTATCAAGGTATGGTACTTCTGGGGAATTTTTGGTGCGACGCTTGATACAATAATTGTTTATTGTTCTCTTGCTACAAGTTGCAACTTTTCTCTTAATGTTTCTGAGATATATGATTGTTGACTTCCCATGTCCAACAGAATTAAAGCTCGAATCTTCTTCCTTGGTTTCAATGGATTTATTACGAACACCTCCCTACAAGGGAGGAATACTTCGTTCACTATTGAATTTTCTCTTAAAAAATTGGCAGTGGTCACTATTATTTATTCTTGATCTTGTTGGATTTTGCTCTCTATTCTCTAATCTCTCATCTCTCTATTCCTGACATAATGCTATTAATGATATTATGGTTCTTGGAGCAGTTCATACACTTTATTCTATTATAATAGTCGCTTGCCCTATGTCCCAGTTTTAAGCATCGAAACCACCGTTGAAGCTTTCTTATGAGCTGCAGCTTCTCTTCATAAGAAGCTATCTTTTTACATTGGTAACCCCAATGTTCTTTCTCATAAAATATACATTTCTTAATATTTCTCTTCACGGTTAATTTACTCGATACCATGGTTGACTTGATACGTTCTGACTGCTCCCTATCATGACTATTTTCCTCTTTAAAGTTATTTATAATCTTGTGCTTTGGCAACCTTTTCTTATCACCGCTCCTTATCCTTCTACCTGATAGGAGCTCTTCCTCTTCCCGGGCTTTCATTAGATTCCTTAATTCGTTTATATTCCATGTTAAGCATTTTCTTTTTTCTTCTAGTACTTTTTAGCATATATATTGGCTTATGCCATGCTCAAAATCGAATTGTTGTTGATATCTTCTCATAAAGATGTTAACTGGCGAAATATTCGCTCTAAGTTCTTACGAATATCCTTTATATCCTTTGTTTTTGGACTTAATTCTCTTAATTCTTTATATAATTCTTCATTAATAATGGATTTATCTCCATATCTGCTTTCCAGAATTTCCCACGCAATCTTGTATGATTCACCATCCATACGGAATTCTTCTACCAATTCCTTCGCTTCTCCTTCGAGGCAAGATATGAGATATCTAAGTTTTTCCCCTGGATCAAGACTTCTATTTCCAATGGTCGATAGAAAATTATCTTAACCTCCTTATTGATCCATCGGATTTCATGTGTTGTAATTTTGGCAGCTTTATTATTGGTTGAAGTTTCTTTGACCCCACTTTTGTCTTCTCCATTTTTATTGTGATCTTATTGTCACTTAAATTTCTATTGCAACGTCTTATTATGACCAAATTTGAAATTTGAAGTTGCCTTATAATTTATATTCTTCTATATCAGCATCTCTATTGGCATTGAGAGGGTCATTTATTAATGCCTCGCATTCTTTTATCCCATTATCCCATAAGACATTGGGCCAATTGACTGATATCTGACTTGTTTCATCCAGCTGTGCAAGTTCTATTTGTGAGTGGTTTAAATTTGTAAGAGTCTTAAAACCTTCTACTTTATTTAAGCGTTCAATTAATTCGGTTGCGTGAATATAAATAATAAATAAATAATAAATTATCATTTTATCATTATTATCACTGATTATCGCATGAAATTTTCCATTTTTTTGTGCCACACTTCTATAGAATAAAAAAATATAAATTCTATTTTTTGATTTATTCAACGCTGAATTAATTAGCCTAATTCGTTATGAACTAACTAAAGATATTGCAATAATATAATTTTTATAAAAAGCTTGTCTACGATTTCTTAATTTCATTATGTGTTTCATAGCTTTTTTTTTCTCTCGGCCAACAAATTTATTCCGATTTTAATGAATTTATAGTCTTTCTAACTGTTAAATAACGTTATAATCTAACAGATTAAAGAGATTATATGGTTTAATTCGAACGGTAAATTCGAATAGATTAATCGATGATTTTTCATTAACGATTCAGTCAGCAGTTATTCCTCAGTTTTCATTTATCAGTTATCAGTTATCATAGCTATAACTTATTGTCAATCTATTTGATCATGCTCAATTATTATTTTGTTTATTGTTTTAATGGATTGTATTTTTTGGAAAAAGGCTTTAATAGTATCGCAATGGACCGTTTTTGATACTGATATTGATATTGATACCGTTTGATATTTAAAAATTACGAGATTCATCACTGATGAATTTTTAAATCAATGTGAATCGCTGAAGTTCCAAATTATTTATATTCGCATGGCATTCCTTTATATTCCTTTATTCGGTAGGGGGCAATTCTCAATTTCAATAACGAGATCATTTCGACAATGTTCGGGCCACAGCAAAACAAATTTTTAAATTTTCGAAAAAAAATCAATAAACTTGCAAATAATGATGAAAAGCACAGAAACTCTTACGAAAATTCAAAAAAAATTTTCAAATCAATAAAGCTTCCCTGAATATCGATTCTTGACTGTCGATATTTCTTTTTCTTTTCTTAATTATTCTTTTCTCGATAAAATTTGTCCAAATGATATCGATCAATAATCGACCAATAATTGATTGATATTCTTACTTCAAAGTTCATTTCGAACAACGAGTCTTCCCTGCTGACGCACCATGTACAGAAAAAGGATAGCACTATGAATTTTCGTTGGGAGCACGGCGGTTTTGCTTCCAATATTCTACCTTTACAACAATTCCTTTTGGGAACCCACTCCACTACTTTTTTCTGTATAGATTTAACTTTTTTGCCACACGGGACTTTTATTTCTTATTAATATTATAAAACTCTGCGGCTAGCGTTCTACTTCTTACTTTTCTCGTTGCGAACCACAAACTTGGGCAATTAAACCTTTATCAGTAATGACGCAAATATATACAAAAAAATAAAGCGAAGTAATTGCCTTACTACAAAGAAACAATAAAGCAAAAAAATCAAATATAAAATCTAAATATAAAATTACAAATATAAAATTAAATCTAAATGCCCATCACTTATCGATCGCTCCCCCACTCGTTTTGCCCGCACAAAATTGATCTTTTGGGAGCTTATATTTAATTTAAGATAGGCGGGATCTGGATGACTTGTCTAAATTTATAGCTTTTTTCGCCATTCAGCGACATATATATTCTACACATAAAAATCTTAGTGTAAATCTTCTTAGTATATAGTATAGTAAAAAATCTTAGTATAACCAAATAACCAAATAACCAAAACTTCTTTTTCTTTGAAGGATTTCTGAACTGCTTTCAGTTTGTAGATCAAGTTTAAAACTGAGCGAAAGAATACAAATTTTTTAATTAGCTGAGAATATTTTATAAAAATTTTCCATCCAAATTTTCTGGATTTTTTTAGCATATTTTTTTTGCTTGAATTTATAAGTTTATTTCTGATATATAGTACGCGTGATCGAAGAAAATCAGAGCCCATAAATGAACGCCCACGAAGGCCAATTTACAAATCTACAAGTGAAGAAGAACTATCGTAAGAATTCAATATTACTTTAATTATTTCATAAAAACATGTTATGCGCAGCATAAATGGAATAGTAGAAATAGGCACCAAATTAGCCTGCCAACTTCTAGAAAAAGACAACATGCGATATTTCCTTTGCATTGTCAAGCTATTGGTCAAATAACTTACAAGCCTCCCAGTAATCATTATTGATAAATATATATATATATATGTACATATTTAAATTATTTCTATAGAGGTAAAGAAGAACCTGCAAGCAATGATGCCAAACAGTTAGAAAGTTTCGATAGCGATCCATTTAAAGCTGTGTCACAATCGGTGAAAATGAAAAGGCGCGGCGATTTGCCTCTTGTAAGTTTTTTTTCCATTCTTTTTGACACCTTTCCTTATCATTGATAAATTTGATTCTTTTGCGATCATTTAATTATAGGTGGTATCAACCGCTGGGAATAAACTATGAAAATTATGCTTTTATATTCCAGGTCTCGGTATCTTTTGCGGATGAACCTGCATCATCAACAGCTTTTAATCGAGACGTAATAGAGGATATCAATTTTCCCGATCTGAACTGTTTTTCTAGAAAATATGCAACTATAAAAGCACCGTACTTGGATGAAAATGAAAGTCAACCATCAAAATCTACTCGATCACAAAGTCCTTCAGACGACCTTCAATCAGGTCTTTCTGAAAATGAACGCAGATTGACGACGTGTGCACAAAGACGTCAGAGTACTATGCAGGTTATATGGGCGAATATTAAATAAATTCCCTACAGCGAAAATATTAATGTTAAAAGTTTCAAAAATGTCTTCCGACATTCGTAATAAAGAATATTCTAAAAATGATCTATCAAAAATAATCATTTTCACAATATTATAAGCAATAAGCAATCACTATTTCTCGCTAGCACATTTCACTGATTATTCACTGATTATTAGTAGGATAGGATGAAACAAAGAGTTGACTGAGAATAGAATTAGACCAGTCTTCAGCATCATTCAGATCAGGATTTTCTGAAATGACAGGTTTATTACAGGTAGGACGCCAAGGCCTTAACCATGATGATTTGAATGGAAATACTCATTCTGCAATTTATAACTTCAATGAGCCATGCCATTTTTGCTTAATTTCAGGTTGTACAATCATTAAGTGGCAGGAGAACATCAACAACACTTGTTCCATTAACCTCAGCTCAAATCCATCTAGTTCGAGCCCTTTGGCGCCAAGTGTACATGACGAAAGGTCCAACAGTAATCGGTTCAACTCTCTTCCACCGACTTTTTTTTAAATCTCTCAGAACAAAAGATTTGTTTCGTCGATGTTCACTTCCACAGCAGTTCGCAAATCATGATACTTTTTTCAAGGCTCATGCGAAAGCTACTGGAGAGTTGATAGATCAGGTACCATTTTTAATCTTATTTGTTTCAAAATATTGTAGGGCTTACGACAGCATTGTTACATCATTGTCTTAATCATTGTCACAATATGCAAAAGAAAGGTCTAATTTCTTTTATCCTGAATTAGAGTTTAAAAAATAGTTTAAATAAAGTTAAAGAAAATTAAAGTTAAATACATAAATAAATAAATAAAGTTTAATAAATAATAAATAAGTTTAATAAATAAAGTTTAAAAAATCAAAGTTAATTCGTAAAAATTATTTGCAATCTTGTAAGAGCTTTTGTTTGTGTGTGCAATAAACATCCTCTACCTAACATTTAGCGCATTAGAAATTAAAATTTGCAACAAATTTTTGAAGTTGCTATCATTAAATCATTATCACTAAATTATTAAAGCATTAAAAGTTGTCATCCTCTTGTAGATCGCCTGAAAAGACTCCATTTTTAGAACCACAGCTACAGTTGATTAACTGGAATGCAATTTAAATAATAAAAATTATGTTTAAATTATTGAAGTTTTCAATAGATGGAAAATTTTTTCATTACAATTTAATTATCTTCTATATGCGATTGGTTTTGAAATAACCTATAACCTATTCATGCAGATTGTCGAAAACTTAGAAAATCTGGAAAAAATAAGTGATACTCTGGTAAATATTGGATCGATGCATGCCCAGGTATTTATTCTGTTCTAAAATTTTGCTATGATTCATAAGCTTTTTCTGGTTACAAATTCATGAAAAAAGTGCTAAAAATGATTGAAAAAGAAATTAAATTGAAGAATTTATCTGTTCTCTTAGCTATAATAAATTCAGTAAAGTTGATGGTATGTTGATGTCATACGTGTTCAACAAATTTACTTGCCATGCTTTTTCATTTTCAAGCTTGGCGATAACCATGTGCTCAGCATAAAATGCAAAGCATTGTACCAATCACATTGGATTCTTCTTCTTCTTTAAGAGTTCGCACCATTACTGGTTAAACTCGCTCCACTGACTTGCCGCATTGGGGAATATGCCAGGGAGTCCCTTGGCGATACAAACACAGGTGAGTCGCCAGCATCACCCGGATTTTTGTACAGGTTTACTCCTGTATCACATTGGATTAAAGATTAATATGTCTGCTTCCAGATCACCAGCTATTTCATGCATTTGGATATTGATGAATCGCTTTATCTTCTTTTTCTTCTAGCAGTTTGCACCAATAGTGGTTAGGGTGATTTACTACAAGGAGGCATTTCCATGCGGCTCAGACGCCATACATGTAAATTACAGAAGCCATTCCTATTTCCACCATCTAAAGCCCAAATAGTACTGAGAATGCTTATGTGTTTCAAAGTCTCTTTTGACAGTATCAATATAAATTTTGACTGGTACTTCTCGTTTTTCATGTCATCAGTCATAGGGTGTAACAAGTAGCGAGATATGCTAATTCCTGGATAGTAAAAACAATTTAATCAGTAACACTATGGTGATATTTTGAATGGTATTTGAACAAAGGTAGATGCAATAATGTGCGATCTGCACAGTGGACACATAATTTATGTCTCAGACATGAATGGAAAAAAGTTAATAGTTTCTTAATATTTTCCATTCCTCAGTGGACATATTCCAGCTATATAACAAGATGGCACACACTGCAGCCAGGTAGATGCGAACTTGTTTTGATTTTGACAGTGATTTCACGACGATTTTATAAAATGGCAATGGCAAGTTAGAAGAACAAGTATTAAACAAATAAAATAAAGGCATCAAGGATTATGACTTAAAGAATTATGGGTTTAAAAAATCGTATTCAGTTGGTAGAATGCGGTGGGAAGTAAAATATTGCTATAAAGTACAGCACAACGAAATTATGGTGACGATTCCGAAGACGCAAGAACAGCATTTTTAGACCACAATTTCAATTTGCAATTTGGGTATAAATCCATGCTATTTAAAATCTGGCATTTCCTTAAGTCTTGATGAGTTAATAAAAGTAAATATTTAGGTATTAGCTTTTAATATACAATATATAACAGAAAAAAAACTCATTGATACTGAGCCCGATTTTTGCTGTAATTGTCGATACTCGATACACTCTGCATGTAAATAAAGAATTTTTCCAAAATTGTGTGGTTTTCCACGTCTAGCTGTTAAATATCGTATAATACCGTCAAAATTTTGCGCACTTTCGATCTATCACTAAAGATTTGTGTATAATTTTTAATTTTCAAAGTAGCACTTCTTTTGACTAGAATTAAATGAATTAATTTTTTTTAAAACTACTTATTTATTTCACTTTTAACTTGACCTTTATTCTCTTATAGATCTAACGACCTCTCTCTCCGATGGTTTCTGTACCATCGATTCTTCTAAGTTTTTTCTGCAGCCTTGTTTCAGAAGTATTCTATGACTTTCTGGAGAATTTTATGCGTTCAGAATTATATGTCCACTGGTGCAATCAGATCACTCTCTTTATTTTTTTCTTTAACGATCGCTCCTGTTAAAACAATTATATATTTACATGGTTTAGCTAATTGGTGACGAATTACCACGAAAATTGTGGAATATGGTAGCGGAGACATTCATTGATTGCACCTTGGAGTGGGGTGACAAAAGGTGCAGAAGCGAAACGGTGCGGAAAGCGTGGGCATTGATTATTGCATTCGTTATTGAAAAGATTAAAGAAGGTCATACTCAAGCTGTAAGCTTCAGAGATTTATTAAAATAACGTTAAACGTCAAACTCAGCCGATCAAAAGTAAATTCGTTATTGCCGGAAAAAAAACAATAAAAAAATCAAATACCAAACAAATATAGATCTCAAATTATTTGATCCTATTTTCTAACTTTTCGCAATTTGGCTGGTTTTATTTTGACTGACTGCTAGAATGCAACTTTTTTGCAAGAAGATTCTTTGAAACAGATTTATCTTTTATAGATAGGTATATGAATATAGATATAGATAGGTTTTCAACACCCACTGGCTCTTTTACAAGGTCCAACAAAGAGATAGAAGCCATGCTGCATAGTATCTGCCCAGCATCTTAACATCCCGCCTCTATGAGATCTGTTAAGCTAATTTCTTATGCCTACATATCGAGAAAATTTCAGCGAATATCACTAATTCGACGTGGATCCGTATTTCCGTAATACTTAATCATTATATTATTCATGAAGAGTTTTCATCTCTATCTTTAAAACTATATGAAAAATTAAATCGAACATGTATTTCGAGATGAAATGAATGAACGCTAACGCTTAATTATTTTTGTAAACGATCTAATCCAGAGGAGCTCAAAATATAAATAACTATATGGTTGCATCTATTATTAACTATTGCTAAGGTTTTTTGCCTGTTGTTATTTGCTTGTCAATATATTTAATTCTTTTAAGCCTACTTTTTTCAATAACTAAGTCTTCTTTTTAAATTTTTGCTGAATCCAGAAGATACGAATTTAGTTTTTAAACCACTTGTTTGTCCGGTTTCATATTTTCAAAATATTTACGAAAGGGTTATTTCAACTTGCCATTTTTGTTTTTGGCAGGAAATTACAAATTCAAACAAAAATGATATAACTAACAGTCATCATATCTCGCTGCTTTTTGTTCGATTTATTGTTATCAGATTCAGTGAAATAGTTTGAAACACAATAATGATTTTCTGTACACTTGCGATTTAAATATTTTATTTTCATTTATTTTCACACGCTATTATGCAATAATTAAAATTTATTATCTCAAACTTTGCTTGAATCGGGTTTCTTTATTTGCGATTAAAAATATGGACGCATAAAAATTATAAAAAATTCATGTCACAGATTATGTCAAATTTATGCATTACTGTTACTACTGCTCTAATTCACACGATTAATAAATAATATTTTATGAGGTAAATAACAACATTTTGGAAATTTACAAATTTTATAAATTCTGCTTTGTTACTTTAAGTATATAAATAAATAGTTATAGCATGGAAGTTTTTGCCATGGAATTACCTGAATATAGAAATAAAGGTGGGTTACCAGTATCTTTTGAATTTTTAATGATAAATTTACTCCTAATAGGATAGGGCAATCCAACATATAGTGCTGATCGCAGATCGAAATGCCTATTTGATCGTTTCTGTTTTTAAAATCTTTGAAAAAACAGAATTTTACTCAAAAAGAGCTCGTTTTGCCTAATGCCTTCTTCAAATTGACATAGAGCATTTTCAATCAAAATGTACCTTGCCATCAAGCTAGCAAAAATTCCACAGTTACGATTCTTCTAACAATTCTCACCATTACTGGTTAGACTTGCTCAGCCGGCTTATAAGGTGAGATTTAAAAGCCATTCCTTTTTCCACCATCTAAGACCATATATCGCTGGTGTGCCTATATATTCAAAATCTTTTTGACTATATCATCCAGGTCTTGATTGGACCATCTCGCTTTTGACGCCATTGAGCAAAAAAATTGAAAAAAGGAAGAGGGATGGACAAATTGGTGCTGGCGAATTTTTATATCGAAAATCTTAACTCAAACTCATCTCCTGTATATTTTTGCTCATTAACGATTTGAGTAACCAATAGATATATTTTATATAACATATAATTTTGTTAGCAATATTGCACACAACCTTCATTAAAATAAATAGTTAACGCTCGCCATTTTTAGATAGCTCTGCTGGCTTTTAATAGAAATTTTGCTAGTGGGCGATAGGTAGATTGAAGCAGCATTCAGATTTTTTAATGGCAGACCTATTCCTGTGGGGAAGTAGGAATTAAATCTCTGGAAAATCTGAAAAACAGTATAATCTATAAGCTATTCGCTACATGGTTGTCCTGCTCTTTTTTCGATATATTTACTAACATCTGAATAATAGTATTTTATAGTAACATTTGAATAAAATTTCATTTATTAAAAGAAAAGCAAATAAATGATTAATGATATAATAACAATGGTATCAAATAAAAATAGATTGAAATTTAAAATAATTTCTGATAGGTATAAAAGCGAAGACAGACGCAAATTTACATCTCAAATATTGAAAAATGCGATTCACATTAACCTAGTTGTGTTTCTTTTCGACCAAAAAATTTTCGTATAAAAGATGCATACTTCATTAAAGCTTAAAGACATTTTATTATGAAATTCTGCACCATTCTAATAATCGTAAGTTTTAATCCGTGCCTTACGAAAACATTTTTCGTATATCAGTTTTTTTAACTTATTCTCAGATATAATTTTGAATTTGAATTTTGAATTTTCATATATTCTAATAAGTATAAATATACTTTAAACATATTTTTATATTACAATATATTTTCATGTTACTAAATTTAAAATATTATGAAATATTATTATACAAAATTATAAAAATCTTTTAAAAATCTTAAAAATCTTTTGCAATTTTTTATTTTATATTTATATACATACAATTTCGTGCAGATGAAATTTTATGCTCGTAAAATTTTATAACTATAACTTTTTTAAAACCAATGCAACGCAAATTCGATACCAAGATTTAAGAAAAATGGAATATTTGATCCGATTAAAAGCTTCCTATATCTTTAGAATAATAATCCTGAATTGAATTCCTTCACGCCATAAATGTTCCATGCATAAGTTTTTGGGTTTATTTGTTAATATTATTATAACCAAATTAATGGGAACTTTGATTTGAAGTTATCACACTTGATTCACCGCTGTCATACTGATATTATCGATAATGGAATAATTGGTGATCCTGAACTTGAATGTGGGATTGATGGAATTGCTATTAATATGCGGACTCAATATCCCTTTTTTGGTCGACTTTTTGTTCAGGTTTAAAACTCTTGAGACTTCTGTTATTAGTTAGACCGAAACATTATTTTGTGGTTTTTTAATATCGCAAATATGCATTTCTTTGGTATATCCTTAGCCTTAAAATTCTTAAGAATAGGTAGTTAGATAATAATCGCCAATTTCTCAGGATGAAGTCAATAATCCGAATTGTCGATCTATTCATAACGGAGATTTTCAAGATGGACATCTAACAACGAATTTGCAGTTCACTTTAAAGTTCGGTGAATGCAATATGAGACGGCAAAGGATTGTATTTAATTTTTGGCGTTCATTTTATTCCTCTTTCGACATTTTTTTTCCATTTTTTATTATTTAAATATTATTATTATTAATATTTATAATATAAATATTATTATTTATATAAATATTATCAAATATATATACAAATATTATTTATTATATTATTATAATAATATAATACTGTAAATATTATTTTTCTCGCTACTTTTTATTACTGAATACAGAAGTAGCAAACTGTTTGATTTTTAACGCATATTTTCACTTATTATTAGTAAATTTATTAGTAAATTATTATTAGTAAATTTTAATTTCAGCTGAATCCAAGAGGTATCGCATATTCATTTACTTTCGTCATATCATTCCATCAAGTAGGTATCTGCAGTCTTCTGAAATAGTTCAATATTATAATTCTTTGGCTTCATTGGGGTATCTAATATTTTTACTCTTATTAATTCCATATTTCCCTTCCGCTTTATTTTTGTTGTTTTACGGAAGGTTTCCACGTGCATCTGCTTCTATTTTGTCGCTTTAATGAAGAACCTTCCTGCTATGGTGATTATTAAAATATACCCTCGTTTGTCATAATAAATAGCATGTAAAAAAATAAAAAATCATTGAAAAAATTGAAATAAAATATGACTGTAAAGGCTTGAAGAAAACTGACAGCTCTGACAAATTTACAGATTTTTATAACAGCAATTGATAGAGCATTTCATATTCGTTGTTTTTTTGCCGAATCCATTAGAGCGATTCAGGCCAGTATTGACGTGAAGTAAGTTATAATTTGCCCTTTTTCTTGGAAAGAGAATATGTGCATTTCAGTTAAGGTGAGAAGGTGAACCATTAAGGTGAACCTTGAAATAACGAAGGATTTGCAATTTAGTATTAAGTAAAATGGGAATTTTTTTAAAAGAGTTTTTACCATTACTGGATGATTATTTTTTTTGGATGAATTTTATTTGAAGGTAATTAAAGCAGCAGTAGCTTCCATTGAAAACGATTATTTATCATCGTAGCTGGTTTAAGGGAAAGATTTAATTAATTATAAGGCAACATTAATTAAAACAGACTTGTTTAGTTTATTTTTCATTATGCCATTAAAGAATAACTGACTCGTCGACTTTACTGTGAATGAAACTTTAAGTTTAACAAATCCTAACCAGAATAAAAATAAAAGCTGCTTGACCTAAGTTCAATATTATTTCTATTTTCTTCGTCATGATAATTTGAATTTATGCGATTTTATTTCCAGTAAATTAATTACTCAAATATTGGACCGGCATTTTCCGCTGCCGCCATGCTCTTACGAACTTCGTGAGGGTCATGATGGCCCTTTAGTTCGATACGCTGAGGTTGGCGACCGCATCACACATGTCTGGCATTGTGAACAAGGTAATATGAACAATGGAAAGGGTGCTTTATGAATTGAATTCAATGAAATGAGTAATTTAAGAAATCAATCAGCCAGAGAAATTAATTATATTTGAAAAATTGTATTCAGTACAAATTTTTATAGTGATGGGATATATTTATGGACTTTTGGTCCATTCGTGTTATGTTGACGATGGGCAAGGAAATCGAGCTGAAATCGTCGATGATAAAGGGTAATTTATCAATTTTTAGTTGATTCTCTCATATATGTGGAGGCATTGACACTAAGGAGATTTTAAAAATCATTCCAAAAATTTGTATCTTCTATAATATAATATCTATATAATATTTTTGATGTCAAGATGTGCAAAAGACCAATTACTCTTATCAAATATTGAATATGACGCTCAAGCTATAACCGCATATGCTGAAACTTATGTATTCAAGTACGCAGATCGAGTTCAATTATATTTTACGTGTACTCTGCAACTATGTCTTAAAACCGATGGGGGATGCGATGATTTCACGGTATATTCCACAAATGATATCGTCAGAAATGATAGCATATTTCGTAGAAAATTGAAAAGAATCCCCGTTTAAATACGATACATTTACATGCCGTAACAGTCCTATGATATATATTTAATTGCAAGTTTATTGTGACAATTAGAAATATTTGATTTTAGCCTCCAGATTGCCGAAATTCAAAAGGTCATATTTTTTCACGAAACATGAAACAGCCATCTACCGAAACATATGCCACTGCCGAGAAGCATCAGGTGAGCATTGGAAAATTTATCGAGAATCCAATGAAACATTATGAACGTTTGGAAAGACCTGCAGGAAATTATAATGGGATTCCCGATCAATACGTTCAGCCAATAAAGCATGATCAACCGAATCATAATGGTCATTTTTATCGAAATCAGTGACTTATTTTTAATATTGTTTTATACCACTAACAACCAGTGTAGAGAGTCTAATGGTGATCATCAACCACTTATTTTAATTACCGCTCTTTCATGCCAAAAATTACACAAAATTAATGAATCTTTACACAATTTTTGAACTGTCACAACGTGAAGCACAAAAAGAAGGAAGTGTTAAAGCATCAAAAATAAGTTTAATTTTACTATGCTGCTATAAGGAAGACCTCGCCAGCCTTTTACAATGTTTAATCTTTCTTGCTTAATCCAATTAGAAATCTTGAAAAGAATCAAAGTTGTATGAATTCCCTTGATTTTTGCTTTATTTGCCGTAGGATCGCTTAAAATCTGTTAAATATTTATAGAGGATGAAAAGACTTTTTTCGGACCAATTAATTCGAAGAGTATTGTCAACAAGGATATTGCGATGACGACAAATTTGCCATTTTTTATTAATGATCATCAACTTGATAAAGACAGGTAAAAGGAGTACTTTTAAAGAAAAAAGAACTAAAAAATTGACCTAAAAAAAATTTCGACATAATTCAACCTTTTAATGATACTCTAGTTTGGCCGACTCAGTTAACTGTTATGGTGAGACCAGAGAGTCACTTGGGTAAAGAAGTTAGGTCCACAGCATGACCCAAATTTCACTTTTTATTATTAGATTACTCTCCAATTGATAACAATCGAGCTTTTATTAATTACGCCGAAGTAAAATATTAATCGATCTTTGCCCATTATCTGCCCATTATGAAGTAATAAATAATGATAAATTTCCTTTTTTTTCACGAATCTCTCGCATTAATTGCTTTTTAGTGAACTTTGCTGAGAAGCATTTGTCATTTATCTCAAAATTTTTTCATATCTCTGTTGCTATTAATAATTTAACGCTTCAGTGATCTTAAATTGAACGAAACTTTGGATGAAATCGTAATTAAACAGTTGCGTCAAATCCGGTCACCAACAATACAAGAAATTAATCTAGCAACTGATCTCACCGCTGAAATCCTTGTCCTTCCTTTAACGAAACATTCGAACGGCTCCTTTAAAAAATGTTAGCCTTTTGTTTTCAAGTGCTCTGAAGTTTTGATCTGTCTTTCCGCATTTTCCACATCTGTTTTGGTACTTGTAAATATAACACTTTTTGCAAATTAAAATAATAATAAAGCAACAATGAACCTATATCATCGTAAATTTCCAGTAGATTTGACTGCTACGATTATATTTTTTCATCAAGAATTATGACTAGAATCTAAGGTTTATTAAGGAAAAGTGCGTCGCATAATTATTGTAAGAGTAATTTTGATAAAAACTTGGAATAATCTGGATTAGCTTGCTCATAGACAAAATCATACGATCCATAGAATATTCCTTTGTAAATATCCTATCCAATTTTATTCATTTCATGATGAAAAATTTTCGGTTTACTTGATTTATTTATGTATTTATGATTTTTACAATTTTTTTATTCAGGCCTGGAACGTGTGAAACAACAGAATAAGGACTGCGTTGTAGCTCTAATAATTTTCCTTACTTTTATTTTAACGGTTACCATCATTATTCTTTTAACAGTAGTGATATACATCCGCAAAAGGAAATTTTTATCGAATTTTCCGCTTATTTAGGAAAATATATTTTCCGAAATTTTGAAAAATTCTGAAATAAGGTTGCATCTATGAATAAATGAATGCTGCCTTCTTTTTGCCGTCAATTGCTATTTACCTCATTAACGAAATCATTAACAAAAAAGAATAAACAAGATTTTCCGCAATTTCCCTCGTTTTATCCTACTTTTTGTCATAAAAAGTGGCCTATAATAAGGAAAAGGAAAGGAAAGAAAGTGTGATTTTCCAATTTATAAGGTAATAAATTATCTTATCATAAATTATTATTTATGGATATCCTGTCGATTATAATATTTAAATGTCAAATATCATATCAAAAGTTTACGATGTCAATTTTTCCTCTCATCATTCATCGAACTACTTAATCTGTAAAACTTATGAAGATGAAATTATGAAATAAGATGGAATGAAGATGAAACTTTTTTAATAGTTTGTCAAAATAGAAAGATTTTTGTGTTTATTTTATTATTTACAAACTTGAACATGCTGAAATGAAATAAAAAGAAATTTTTATTTTTGGTCAAAAATACGAGAAAGAAACAGCAAGAACACTCATTCAAATAAGATAACTTCAGCTGCATTGAGTAGGATATTTCTTCTTCGACTAAAGTCAAGCTATTATATATTCGATTCTTTGAGTTCTCCATTATAAAAACTGAAATGGGTGCTGCCTATCCATAAGGGCTCCCTCGCAACGAATTCTCATAATACAGCAGTCTGCTAAATCACAATTGGTGAGCAATAAGCAGAAATGGTGAACGCTAACCGCTCATTTAGAAAAAGAATGCAATAAAATTTTCCTGAAAAAAAAATTGGCGATATTAAAACATTGAAATAATAATAATAAACTTTTATTAATAATTTGAAATTTCCAAAATCGAAACAATTTTATAGTGACTTTTGAAATTTTCTTAAAATCAAATCCTTCTTAAAATTAAATAAATTTAAATGAACTGAGATTGAAGATTTGAATAAATTTTAAATAATTTGAATAAATTATTAAAGGCGATTTTGATGATATTTTGTGAAACAATCTAATTTCTTACTTATCAAAAGTTAATTGGGACCAACTAATGTATTTGGAAGATATTTAGTCTGCCAATCGGCGGAATTTCCTTGTTAAACAAATTTCAAGAAGAAAATTTATGAAAAAGGAGTAGTAGAAACCGAGAAAACATTCAGCAAAATTCACTGAAAAATTTTAATGATTTTATTATTAACAGTATGCTAAAAATTATAAAAGCATAGAAGTAGAATAATATGGACAAAAAAGTAAGGAGGTAAAAGAATGTAAATAAGTGGTAAGCATTTTTGGTCAAGCGAGTTACTATCGGTTGCTATCGGCAAACAATCCCAACAAGCCCTTAGAGATAAAAGTTGTATTATATTGTATATATACATATAAACGAGCAGCAGCATGAAAATAATTCACCAAACGAAAGGATCAATAATTTTCATTGCGTTTTACGAAAAGGGAATTCAACCCTCGCAAATTTGTGGTGCCGCACCTTTGTAATAATTAATGTGATTATTAATTCTTCTTCTTTGCTTTCTAGTTTGATTGGCTGCGCTGACCCTATTATCAGAGTTGGACCATTTAATAAGAGAGTCCCAGTGGTTTCCCTGCAGTGCCAGCGATTTATTAACACGCATGGGAACCCAAAAAAACAAAGAGAAAATTTTCAAGTGGAACGGGACTAAATTCATTTTAGATGAATTTTCAAATGTTAAGGCTATTAAGGAAAGAAGATTGTGGTTAACGCTTACCATTTTCGCTCAAACTTGCTCCACTGGCTCTTGGTACCGTTAGAAAATTTTAGAAGTCGCTTATAGATGCATCGCAAGCACCACCTAAAATTTTTAACACTAGATTTAGCACTTTTTAATTTTTTAAAATATTTTTTATTTTTTGAATCAGAAATTAAAGGGAAGAACAATGAACATTTGGAGGTAACGGAAATTAAGTTTCTGTCCGCTGTTTTATCATATTTTAATTTAGAGATATTTATTTTCTAAAATCAAAAATTTTTATTTAATTTTCACCGTTTTTTCTAAAATTCCAATGACATATGAGTAAAAAAATTATAGAAAATTTCCGATCGAATAAAGTACCAGTGAGACCGGGTAGGTACCAATGGTATATACTTTTTAAAACAATTGTTCAACAATTAGAATTTGTAGCGAACACAAACGTGACGCGATGCTGCGATGCGGTTTTCTTATTTAATCGTCTCGCAGAGTGGTCGATTTATTCATTCTTTTCTATTCGAATATTTTACGTGTAAGCGGTGTTTTAGACGGAGCTCGAAAAAGGTGAAACATTAGGGATTTCGTAAAATAAGGAGAAGCAAAGGGTAAAAACCTAAATAATAAAAGTGGTGATAGCGACTAATTCGAGGTTTTTATGGTTATTTCTATTGTTTTATATTACTTTTGTTATTCACATTGTTAGCAAATAAGTTATATCTGCTGGGTGACCTTCGTCTTGTAAGACTCGCCTTTTGATGGAGGCTCTCTCATCAAGTGGTGAGGTACCAATTACGCTTGAACGATAGAAAACTTTGAAGTTGAGGAAGATGCTCTCGAGGATTGAAGAAAAATTCAAGTTATTTTCGCGAAATCTTGAGATATGCTTTTGAAAACACTGTTGGTGAGGCCCCGACAAAGAGACTCAGAGAAGTGGATGGCGTTTTCTTTTCGCGGATTCTGGCAGTGAAATTGGAATTTTAAATGGGTTTTCTTTTACTTGAATAGTTTACGTTATTAAAATTCTTAAATATGGCGGTGAGAGAAATATCACTGAGTGCTGTTTGCTTAGGTTTATCATTCCAGGCTGTGGTTTGGCTCTTGTTAGAAATAAGTCTGTCGGTTCGTGTACTTCTATCATCAAACGTAATAACTAGTGGAATGAGCCTAACTAGAAATGGTGAATGCTGTAAAAAATAGTATTACAATATTCTTAATCTCTTCTAATCCTTTTTAATCCATTCTGTTCCTGGTTAGCCTCGATTTGTTAATGCAGTTGGAAGTTCCTGTACGAGAGTCGCATGTTTGCGACATATCCGATTTTTCAATGACAGAGCGAGGCTTTAACGCTTCTGTCATCTGGATTGCACTCATTCAGTTATCCTATCTCCTAAATAAACTGAATGAATTAAATTTTATTTCTTCTCATTTATTTGTTATTTTATTTTTGGAATTTTATGGTTATATACGCGTCTGATTGGTTTCTTTTCTTCGACTTTTTATAAATAATTTATATTTTATTTTACACTGCTGAATTTTGATGATTGGAGTTGCCGAAATGTTTTTTGGCACTTTCGAGTGTTTTGGCATGTTTTGAATGAAGCCGTAAAAAGCCATTTCGAATTTAGCTGGAAATTTATTTTCACTTATATCTTCTTGTTGTCCGATGTTCAGCTGGTCTTTTCCATGTGTTCGCTTATCTTATGAAAATATTATCGTGGAATAAGCCATGCGTATAATTTTTATGATTTAAGTCTTTTTATTAAACGTCTTTTTCAGGTGCGAGAACGCAAAAAAGAAGGAATTTGTGCTCCAAATGTATGATTAACTGAAATAGGAAAAGATCTGTTATAAAGCTCAATGTCACCGTATGTAATTTTTCTTTCCTATAATTCTTTTGTTCTTATTAATGCCATCGAAATTTGGAAAATAAGTATAAAATCAAAAATTCTCAAACTTCCTAAAAATCTTTGGAAAAATATGAAGATGAGGATATTTATTCTTAAACTTTCTAAAAAGTACTTTGGAAATATAAAGATGAGACGATTTTCTCAACTTCAAAATTTAGTAGAAAATGCGACAGATTGTTTCTTTCGTTTGTCAACTTACAATAAGGGATTTCTGGCATTTTCAAAACTTCGCAATAGCACATGTGATTAACGACATTTTAAGGTAAATAAGTGCACTTTTTCCGGCACCATCCATGTTCTGTTCCTGTATAATCCATATTCTGTTTTTAGATTTTGTTTTCGTGCATAATTTCTTCAGCTTGCTTAGGCAATAATTGCGGAGATTGTTGTATATGGTTTTATTGGTTTAATATCCTGTTTATTGATGTAATAATAAATGTAAGAATTAAGATGCACTATGCAGATGTAAGGTTTTCGAAAGTACATTTGCAAATATTCCTAAATTTTCGCTTATTTTTTTGCCTTTCGCATTATTGAGAGTCTTCGAAATAAGGAAACCGCTATCCAGTAAGAATCATGTTGTATGTTCGTCAATACTTCTCAGATAATTTTCACCAAGTGATTAATCATTGAATACTTTATTGAATATTTGAACGACCCATGAAAATTGATTTTGGTATTGGTTTTTTCATTGATCAAAGCTCTCTCTTACAAACGATGCAATCGAATTTTCGTTTTTGCATTTATTCAGATTTTGCAAGTTGCATTCATTCATTATTAACAGTTTGCCAGTGCATACGAACGTATGTTTCTGAGATTTCTGATCCAAATCTGATGCCAGTGGTTTTTGCATTAAATCTTTGGTAGATCATTTCATTGTATTCTCTCATTCTTACTCTCGTTTATTTTGCTGGCCCAGTTAGGATTGAGATTTTTTTGAAATCATAGAAAATCCAAAGTTTATTTTTTTTAAAATTATATATATTATAAAATTATATATATTATAGGGGAAATAATCAAATCAAAAAATTGCATTTATATGTTGAATGTATCACTTACAAAAAATAATTATTGAAATAATTATCTTTTTGCATTTTTTCAGTGTGAATTTATATTAATCAGGCAATGCTCCACTTGAAAAAATTTTTAAAAATTGTCTTGAGAATTTCCTGAAAAATTTGAAAATCCAAATGCAAATGCAAATGAAAATGCAAATATTTGGAAGCCATTCAAATATTTCTATAAGAATATTATTTTTTAAGTTATTTTAAATCAAATTGTGGTTAAAATTTACTTTTAGATGTCTCTGCAAACCGCGGTGGATGGATCCATTGTATCAGCTGCATCTACAACATTTAATTCAGTCAGACATGATGGATCGAATCATTATGGTTTCGACCCTCGCAATCTTGAAATTAAGACGAAATCAGTTGAGCAAACACTCGTGCCACTTGTGACACAGGTGATCTCAGGATTCATTGTAAATTTCTCAAAAATCTTGTAGTGCAAGAAGTCAACTGATTCCTATTAATTTCCTTTTTTTTTTGTTTCATTGATCATTTCTGTGGATTTTAATTCTTATTTCTGACAAAGAACTAAAATTCTTGATTTGCAACTTTAAATTATTGTTAAATTAAAAAACTCTTATTCATTAAGAAATTTATTTACATCATTTTGCTTCGAAGAAATCGCTTTTTTTTTAGTAGGCCTTGTTGCTGATTAAACAGGATTAAATGATAATTTATGTTTGCATTTTTGCGACAAAAAAATACCGTCTATGATTATAGATTACGACGCTCGTAAACTTAAAGGAAAATTTTCTAATTAGCGGAAAACATCGATCAGACAAGGCACTTCGATCAGCGTTAAAGGTAGAACATTTGCATGAGGTTATGAGGAATGTTTGTGCGTTTTAGAGTATCCATACCTTAGATTTATTGCTGTAATAGTAAATAAGATTTTCACAGAGCTTCACTTTTCATGAATCAACTGGATTCGCTTCATTTTTTCTAATGGACTTGAATTGTGGGCTTAAAATTGAAAAAAAAAAGGTAGGGATTTTTTTTTAAAATTGAAAACCAGACAAGCAGGGTGACAACGCCATGTGCTTGGCTTAATAACAACAGTTAAATTAACAAATAACAAAAATAATAAAGATTAATAATAAGAAGAAAAAAAATGAAAAAATGACAAAAATTAACAATTTAAAGAGGAAATTGTAGAATAATATAATATAGTACAATTTGAAGTAACTATATTATATATAACCGGATGGTAAAAATCGAGATTTCACCCTTCCTGCATGATGCATAACTTTTTAAATAATATCACAAATGATATTATCTAATCTTTTTTTAAAGATTGCTAAGGATGACGCACAAGCTATATCGTTCGATAATTGGGATTGGTTTATAATCCATATCGTGGGAAAATAGCGTTTGTCTTGAAAAATAATTTTTTTGCACATCTTGAAGATTGGATCTGCAGTTGAGGCAGCCATAGAACGTTTTGTTGCAGTTGGCGAAACAATAGCTGATGAGAATGTCGATATACAACCCGAAATGTATGATGCTTGTCATGAAGCCAGACTTGCTGGTTTGTTGAATTTTTTTCTGGGGATTATTGTTTCAATCAAGCTTGGAAAAAAGGCCAATTTGCTTTTAAGTATTGGATAAGTATTGGATTCATTATTTACTAGCTAAATCATTTTTCATTTAACTTTTTAATTATTTTTCGTTTTAGTTATTTCTTTTTATTTTATTATACTTTAAAAAATAATTGGTTGACGGGGAATAAAAAGTTTTTTATTTTAATAAATTAATCGCGAAATTAATCACAAAAATTCACTGAATATTTCAATCTGAAGCTATTGAAAACGAAGCAAACAGCTGCCAAACTCCCTTCTTTAGTTTTTCCATCCTGCCAGTAAAATCTTATAGCAAATAAATTTAGAACAAAAATTTAGATCATCATCCATCCATTCATTATTATGCTCTTTTATATTGCAAAGGATAAAATATATTTAAGAATTTATAAATATTTATTTTATACTATTATCTATTACATATTTATCTATTTATTTATAAATATATTTATTTATTTCATTATTCTTTCGCCATGTTTTTTATTGTTTTTATTGTTCTTCGTTCTTCTCTTTCTTCTCATAACTCTGACTATTACTGGTTAAACTGGCTTCGTTGGCTATAGGGGTAAGAAAGGTATCCAAGCTATACGATCTGATGCCATCTTTAATGATAATGGAAGCTATTCTTTTTTCCACCATCTGAGTCCATATATCGCCAGTCCTCCGTACGTTTAAAATCTTTCCTAACTGTATATCAGTTCAGATTTTGAATGGTACACTTTGTTTTCGACTCCATTCATCGCAGAGTTTAGCAAAGAGCGAAATATCTCAACTCTTGTGGTGAGCAACGAAAAATTTGCCCTAACCAAGGAATTTGAGCGAATGCAATCATGTAAGATTTTATCAACTTGGTGGACCCGCAAAATATATCTTAGACTTGAGTGGTCAAAGGCAGATAACTTCTTAATATCCTACAGTCTCGTTGACCATGTTTCGCAGCCATATAGCAAGATTGAGTACGCGGATATAGACGCGGATTTTTTTTTGTGGTGATTTTGCAATGGTTCCACAAAAGCTTCGTCAACCGAGAGAATGTTTTTTTTAACTATCTACACTTATTGTAATTTGTAATTTCGTCCTTTGCCTGGGTATTTGGGATAAGATCGAAAATATTTAAAGTCGAGCACTTCCTCAACCGACATTGAATTTATAAAAATGGGTATTTTATCTTGGGAGCGCCGATGTTGAGATTCGATCCCCCCCCAAAAGCAAACCTACACAATCCGGGCGATGCTGGCGACTCACCTGTATTTATATCGGCAAGAGCCTCCCTGGCGTATTGTCCAGTGCGACAAGCCAGTGGGGCGAGTTTAACCAGTAATGGTGAGGATTCTTTAAAAAAATGGGAATATATATAATACAAGATGTAATAAGAATATGTATAAGACGAAAATACTTTCGTTTATTTATATTCACGCTGAGTCTAATACTCGCTGCAGTCGTTGAAACATTATCTGCGTTACATATAACTTTCAACAAAAAGGATTACCATCATCAGCGTATTTAAGGCTCTTTGGGTGCTATAGACTGATTTTTACACCTCTTGATTGCCAACATGCGATGCGCATCATCCAGTTTATTGCATGCATAGTTGAATATTGTAGGTTAAAGGACGCAACCTTGGCGGACACCAGTTCTTATTTCAAAAGAATCAGAATTCCCAATCCTGTTGTCTCATATTGCCATATGTCATACATATGTATAAGAGAAGCAAAAATTTTCCAAGAAACGTCCAGTAGTGCGATTAATTGTCATTTTATGTCCAGTCACCTTCCTTAGAAATTGGGAGCAGAATTACTTTGCTGTAGTCATATGGTACTATTTCTTTCTTCCATGCCAGAACTTACATTCGTTTAAGGTGTTATAAAAAATGCTGGGCAACATTTGACGAATTTAACTCGGAGGCCATCTTCTCCGGGATTTTTATTGGCCCTAAGCTTATGGATCAAGGATTATTTTCTATTTTATTGGTTGTTCACAGTTGCAGACATATGGTTTAACGAGCGAATCAGCTATATCGTGGTTAAGTTTAACCTCAAGAAATTCTTTCCATCTTTAAAAGGCTCCCCATTAATATCCTGTACCATTCCCCGAGTTATAGTTATTGTTGCATTAAGAAGAAGGCCAAATAGTTTTCTTATTATCACCTGATCGAGCCGTCTCTCTTGTTAAAATTATTCCGCTCCTATGACGATTTCTTTCTCGCTGTGCTACTGTCATAGTTCTTCAAAGCATTCGGTAGTATCCAATATCTGCTGCCATTGGCAGCCTTCTCAGACAATTGGGCACTTGCTTCCAATATCCAACGAGCACATTTCATACTATTATAGAGGTGAATAACCTTTGGTAACATGCTTTTAATTGAAACTAGTATTCATCAGCCATTCATTCTAGAGATGTCATTGATGTTCATATCACTGTATTGCTTCAATAATCGGTCTGAAATGCTCACTGCTTTTAGTTTAAGGTAGCTAAAAGATCTTGAGGGGCAATGTTTCTTGCGAGCTGGTAATTTTATGCGGATCCTGGTTCGAATCATTTATGGTCAGATCCATGAAAGCTATTTTTGTGCCACGATAGGAATGATTATCTAATATGGAACTTTTCCAACGCCGGCTGATTAAAATCTAATCAATCTGGTTGAATGTTGATTACCTAGTGCCATATTTACCAATTATTGGATTCGTTATAGCAACATGATCTACTCGCGTATCCCAGTATCTTTCGATTGTGATCATGTCATATTTCGTAGAAATGTTATTAGCAATTCGAATTCCGTATAGAACTTATCATTATCTGCGGATACTGTTGGAGCACATAAACTGATGGCCAAGATGTCCTTAAAGTCCTTAAATCATTGGCCATGCGATGATTTACCGGTTTCCACTCAATCAAAGCGGAGTGGCGATTCTATGTAGTACATCTACACGATATTTGTAAAGAGTGTGGACATTAATCGCTTGGCTTACAACATCCTTAAGACATTATTTTGTTCTGACATTATTTTTATTATAATATGTTCAATTTTATAATTATTAGTGTTTTTCTATTGCGTATGTTTTTATTTGTTTCTTATTAAACTGAGATTAGTGATTAATTCTGTTTACCACTAATCTCCATTTCTGGGTAGGCTACCTTCATTGGCGATTAGTACGAAGAGAATTTTTGCCAGGAATCTACTGGCGAGTGCAAGTGAGTCTCCAGCATCATCCAGACTTTTTAATGATAGCTTTGTTCTTGCCAAAGGTAAATAAATTTCTTATTGAATTATTATTAGTATATTTTGTATTTTTTATTACCTTTATTTTAAAAAAAAGATGCCTTAATCTTTTTTATTATTTTTATTATTATATAAAAAAGGTACTGTTTTACATTTTTACTTAACTTTGTTTATTTCAAAGAGTATTAGGGAATTCTCGAAATTCACAGTTGAGAACCTTAAATCAGCAAATGTAGTTTAGAGAATTTAATTTTGAGATTGATTCAACAAATTTTAGGTGCCTCGATTGCCAATCTAAGCGGTTGTTTAATAGATGATTCTAATGTTACAATCGACAAATCAGTACTTGTACGTGCAGCACGTCAGTTACTGTCCTCAGTTACTCGAGTATTGTTACTGGCAGATCGCGTACTTGTAAGGCATATATTAAGAGCTGAAGATAAGGTTCCTACTGTTCCTACTTTTTTCATTTATTTTTAAGGAAAAGCCAGAGGAATTTATAATACATAAAGATTTGCAATAAGATTTCATTGCTTTTTGTCCAATTTTAAATTTATTTTCATTCAGTCGTTAATGTCTTCCAAATTTTAAAATTTGAATTCGAACTTTACACTATAGTGTAAATAGCTAATTTTTTAGATATCATTTTCCCTCGTTAAATTGGAAAATACTTCAAATTTCACGGAATTTGTGAAAATTTTTACTGAATTTGGTGGTGATATGGTTGATCTAGCACATCGATCGGGTGATAGGCAAAATGATTTGAAAAGTGAGAAACGTCGAGGACAAATGGCTGTTGCTCGTACCATGCTTGAGAGATTAACCATGTTGCTTTTGACGTCCAATAAAACACTTTTAAGGCATCCGGAAAATGAAAGTGCTCGTCAGTGCCGTGATGGCGTTTTTCACCAGGTTTTAAAAGTTTTTCGAAATTTTTAAATTCATTTTCTACCTACTGACTGTGCGAAAATCCAAATTAGTTTTAATTAGGCTTTTAGTTGGAAGCAGAATTGGATTAAATTCATTCACTTGTTTTTTAACTTTGATAAACTTTGTGAACCTGGCAATTCTGGTACTTTTTTGGTTCTTTTAGGCTTGTCATTTTATTTACTAGCTGAATAACCTATGCCAAATATTTATTAGCTATTTATAAAGTAGCTAAAATAGCTATTAGATTAAATGATATAAAAGATTATATAAAAGATTAAATGCATTTATTTTGCAACAAAAAAGTTTCATATATAGAAACCTTTTAAAAATTAAAAATGGCTTTTATTGTTTATCCATTATTAAAAAAATCAGAAAAATGAATATTAAAGATAAAAGTCAGTGAAATTTTGTTAAAAATGGAAGGAAGCAAAAAATTAGTGAGAAAGCAGTATAAAACATGTAGTACGACAGGGAAGCCTATTTCGTTGTTTTAGCCATTTTGGAATCTAAATCCAATTTTAAATTTTTTAGTAATTAATTATGAAGCATTATGAATTCTCAAAAATGTTTGTATCAGCTTTATTTTTGCCTGAAAATTTTATTTAATTTAATTTCTTTCTTCTTCTAACAGCTGGGACCATTAATGGTTTGGCTGTCTACTGGCGACTAGGCTTTGCAAGTCTAGCGATTCTCTAAAAATAATTGAAAATTACTGGAATTAGTTGGTTTCATTTTTGCGTCTTCTTATTAAATTATTACACTTAATTTAATTTTTTATTAATTTTAGTTGCGCTTAGCACTTCAACTAATCGCATTATGTGTAACGGATGGCATTATGCAATTCGATGGAGCACATTTTGTTCAACCATCGAATGAGGAAGTTTTAGATATAGGGATGCAGTTGACGGCAAATGCAGCGATGAAACAGCTAATGGTTTATTAACAATTTTCCATCTTCTCAAGTTATTCTCAAATTTTCATGAACGCTTATTTAACTTTTTTAGGATCTCCTGGAAATGGTTCGAATGACGTGTAATGTGGGAACTGGAACAAGAGAGCGATTGGTTTCGGCTTTGGATTCCCTATGTGAAATGACTCAAGATTTCACTGATTCGGCTTATACTCCCCATCATCATCGCGAGCAAATTCTTGATTTTCTCGAAGAATGTCGCTTTGAAATGACTAATTTGATTCAACCAGAGGTCTGTGCCTATAAATTTTCTGTAAATTTTATATTCAAATTTCAAATTTTAAAGAAGAAAGAATGGTACCTGCAATATTTGGCTTTGTGTGTATTTTGAGGCCTATAGATTTATCGCATGTGAAAGTTCCTTTATGATTTCAGTAATTTGGTTTTTAGAGTCATGACGAACTGTCAAGAAGTGATGGTATTGAAGTAACGGTGGAACGATTGAATCACAGATTGAGAGATCTTAGAAAACAGCTTCAAATTGTAGCCATGGAACAGGTTAAATCAAATCATGTTTGATAATTCATTGACCTGCCATGGTGATTTACAAATTGCTTTAATTAGCTTTCGAAATATTTTAATTTAAGATTTCTGAAATACTTCGTACAAGTGATGATCAATCAATTTTATCTTCGATCAAAACTTGTTCGGTTTCTGGCGATATCGATGGTGTCGAAAAGTATTTAGTAAAATTTCAGGAACATGCTGAGCATATACAAGAAGTTCTTTACACTTCTTTATTGTTTTTTATCGAATCATTATAAGTTTTCTGGAAGCTATCCAACCTTTCTACCAAGATTCTTGCAAATTTATCTTTTTTATTCAATATTTTAGGGTCAAAAATCAGTGACTCTAATTACATTGGTTCTGTCTATTTTTACACCATTTCTAGGTTTGTCGTCTTTTGCATCACATATCATTGTCTGACTGGTTGCATGTTCTTACGGGTCATGCAGAAAGAAATCTTCGAGCTTTTACGCCGCTTGTATGTCCTTTTTTTTAGTATTTTTGGAAAATTTTTCATTATGTCCTGATTTTTCCCTCAATTTTCATTGTGAGGTTGTTGATCATGCACTTTTTTTTAGAAATTTATTTGATGGCCAATTTAAATTTTAAGCCGGTCGTAATTTTAAATTTTTTCTGCCAACGAGCGGTCATTTCAGTAAAATATAATTCAGTATAATTCCTGATTTATGAATTTTTGAATTTTTTCTCAATTTCTGAACTAATCCTCTCTATTTAGTAAGCAGAAAAAATCCCTCTTTATTTATTAATTTTTATCTGTTTTTACTTTTCTTTCCTTCTTATTGATAATAATAGTTGCGCTAAGAATATCTTCGAAAGTCAGCAGCTAGGGCATACTAATAGTAGGAAATGCGCTAGTTGGGTATCGGAAGAAATTGTCTAACTGTCCGAAAAGACTGCCGGAACAAGCATGCTAAGAAATTTTAGCTATTGGAGTCATGCAATAACAGCGGCAGAATAGAAACTATTATTAGAGTGATATGGCATTAAAAGTGGCGACGGCTATTCGAGTAGATGATCGAAGGAAACTATTCTAATAAAAGCAGTGTTAGAACTCTCAGAAATCGCTTTGTTCGGTGGAAGACCATTATACGCCATTATAATTCCGAATAGAGCTAAAAATCTCATCAAGACACATATTTGAGCCAACTTCGAGCCATTAATGAAATTGGATTCAAATCGGATCGTGTTGACCAAATGTTCATGCAAAGAAGGGTATTTGGAACATCGCTTCAAATATTGGTGATGAATAGTCATTTTAATTGATTTTTGTGGCCGTCTTCGACTCAATAACGGCGCTGTGGAGGGTAGTAGGATGTGAAGGTGTTCTAAAAAAGGTCATTCAACTCATAGGCATTTTACGATCGAACATTTGACGCAAGTTTGTGCATATGGGGAATTGATAGATCCTTCCAAATAAAAAGCTGGTCTATCACGACTGTCTTATTTCCCCTACATTATTAAACTTGATTAGATTGTGGACATCGTATGCCTACATTCAAGAGGTATGCAAGTATCACGGATCTTGAATACGCCATAGCCCTTTTTTTGCTTAATTATGAAGGGATGCATAAGATGCTAGGTGTATCAAAAAATTTGATTCAGGACTGATGTAAATAAATCTTTTCATCTTATATGCCTAATGCTAATAAAATACTTACTTTAATCAATTCATTATCGGTTGAGCAGTTGGCAAACTTTAAAGATCTTGGATCCATTCTTAGCCAAGCATTGGACGAAATTGCAGCCAGAATAACAATAGATTGAAGTGTTTTTCCCTGGCGAAGCCTCTGTGGAATCGTCCTGAAATCACCATCAAAATATTCGAAAAAAATATGCATCTATCTGGCTGCAGTGCATTATTCTGTTATTTGGCTGTGAAATATGGCCAGTGACAATGAAAGATATTACGGGTTATCTTTCTTTGACCATTCATTTTCCATGCTGGCCGGGTATCCTTACATCACACCTTCCCACAGATGCAATTTAATTCGTTTTTTTTTTTTTTTTAAGAGTCCTCACCATTACTGGTTAAACTCGCTCCACTGACTTGTCGCATTAGGCAATATGCCATTTTGGAGTCCCTTGGTACTTAAAATAGAGGTAAGTCGCCAGCATCACCCAGATTTTTGTACAGGTTTACTCCTGCCGGGAATCGAACCTCAGCATTAGCGCTCCCAATTGAGCAACAGCCCACTGAGCCATCCAATTTAATATGGATTTCGATAGTGGAAAAAGGAGAGAAGTGGCTTCTAAATCATAGTCGGATCGATTATCTTGCAAATGCCTTACATTTGTAGTCTATTGAGCTAGTCTGACCAGTAATTAATAATGGTGAGAGGATAATGACAAGTCTAAATTGAATCAAGTTTTTCAAAAATTTTAAAAATTTTTTAATTTCTTCAGTATTTGGTTAAATTTTAATTTTAATATTAATCAAAAAATCTCTATAAATCTCTATAGACTGTATTGGCTGGACGATCACTTTGTATGCATCCATCATCTCGGATAGCACGAGAAAATCTGGAAGTATTTTGTGATACATGGTCTCAATGTGTAAATGATTTGTCGCGGCTTGCGAAAGAAACAGATGCAGCAGTAAGCGGCCGTCTTGCTGCCGAAAAGCAAGCATATATGTCGTTACCACGACCTGGGGTTAGTTATGGACCAAACTTCCTTAATTCTTCTCAATCATCCATGTCACCTTCACCACCATCTGACTTTTCATTTGACTCAAACCGAGGGATACATTCAACTCAAACGTATTCATTGAGTAATTTGGTGAATTTTTTGCGGCAAAATTGTGAACAAATTTCTGCTTGGAAACAGGAAGATACTGATCCTTCTGCTTCTCCTATCTCTTCCACTTCTGGTTGCAGTCGAAAAGAAAAATCTAGATTAGATCAAGTTCTTAATGCTTTAAATGGTGACGATTGCAGTCGTAACCTAGTTACCTGAAATGAGATAAATCTAATTCATTCAGATTTGTTTATTCATTTAAACTTAATCTGTGGTTAACGATGTTGCAGTATGAAATTATTATAAAATTATAAATTTATAAATTAAATTATAAAAAATTATTATAATTAGCTTAGCATGGTTTCTATTAATTTTTCATTTTTCTGATTTATTTATTTATTTATCAGTGTGGTGCTAGCTTCAAGTTGTGTGTTCATAAATCTTTTTTGCATGCTACTGAAAATGGTATTTATAGCCGTGCTCATAAATTATTACAGTTATTCATTATTATCTAGTTCAATCTGCTCTATATTTTGTTGCATATAAACCAAAACAACCATATTTGCTGGAATGTCAGCTAGAGTTTTGTAATTCAATAAGCATTTTTTGATTGTGATTTTCTTTCTTTAATTTTCTTCCTACTTCGACATCTACTTTTTTTTATCCAACTAAAATATCCTCTAGAATATCTGTTTAATAATCCTGAATAAAAATTGAGATTCAATGTTTTTCTACTTGTTTCGGAATCTGTGGGATCCAAACGCATTCCATAGTTCTCTTTTTATTTATGATCATAATTCGTGCCATTTCGAACTGAGATTTTAGCCTAAAATCCGATACTTATTTTTTATTTGATAAGTGGATGAAAGTTCGGATAATTCGAATGGAAGGTTCGTATCAAGTAATGAAATTTTGCTCGGCAAATACTGCATTTCTTTAATATATCGTATGAAAGCATTTTTCTTCAGTTTACATTAGGTTGTCTAGCGACAGAATGGAGTAGTTATCTATGATTTATGATTTTCTATGATTATCTATGATTGATATCTATGATTTTTGTTGTATTCCATTTCATTAATATTAATATTTATCTAATTTATCCTCTTGTTTTGACTTTTTTTTATCGTTGCTCGTTCAAAGATTTAGAATTGCTGAGTGTTTTTCAAATTTCAATATCAATGGACAGCACTGACGTGAATATTTCAAAGTTTTTTTACCTTTTTATTATAATTTCTTAGTAATAATTGCATCTACTTATGAGCTTTATGAGAATGCAATTTGAATTTTTGCATGTTATTTTTATTATTTTATTTATATTTTATTTTCATGAGTGCTTTTTGTGCTAAAAAATAATTTGTGATGAATGAAAGTAAAAAATTTCTATTGGCATGCTTCAACATCATTGGTGGGAATCGATGAAACTGAAAATTTGATCTGCAATATGCTTATCACAATAAAAATTTGTCAAAATTTTGTGAAAATTAGTCCCTTCACTCATATAATTGTTTCCTGAACGCGAAAGAATTTCTTTTATGTCGGATTGTCACTTTTTTATTTATAATAATTGTTAAAAAATTAAAGGCTTTAAAACCAGAAGGCATCGAACAGGCCTCATATTAAATAAAAATGAGTGCCAAGAATCTGATATGTTATAGAATTAAAAAGTAAAAGGGTAAAAGTAATAAGTGAGGTTTTTTTCATTAGAAGGTATTAAAATATTGGCAAATATTTGCCGATGGGTTTCTTTCATATTAATAAATAAATGGATTAAAATAAAAGAATTTTGTTTGTTTGAAAGTCAAACGATCGTTTTAAAGCTATTTCAGAACAAAATTTAAAAAATTTAAACTTTTGCAGTAAATAAAATTTTCATGAATTAATTTTTTAATTTTTTCTAATCAATTTTTAATTGTTGATCCCAATTATTTCAGAAGCACGGTACGACTCAGAAACCTACAAAACCGATTGTTTTGGATTTAGAAGTAATATATTTTCCTGAATAAATAATTAGACCATTAGACTCTAGGCCATTATCTTCTCTAAAAATCTTCCTTTATTGGCCAACCAAGGTGAAAGAATTTTCTACAGTCTTCTATTGATATTGATAAGTTGAATTTTAGAAATTATAGCTAAAGAAAATGATATTATAGAACGAAATATAATGTAAAAATGTTATAAGGCAAAACGAGCTAAACTATCCATCAGTGTCATGTAACATGGCCTTTTTCATTCGAATTCTTCGCCAAACATAAATAATTGGGTAGTTTGACAGGATAATCGAATAAGTGCTTTGATTAAATGAGTATAATGAATTTTACTGCTGTACTTTAATAGAACTGTTACCTGTTATTAACAGTGAAAAGTGAAACTAAACTTATCTATTATAGGATTATTAAAGAATAAAAGTAAGTTTCGCCTTTATTTCCATCTCCAAACACTTTCTGGAGAAAGGTTCATAAGCTAACAATCAATGAAGCTAATAAAGCCAAAAATAATGAATGCTGTCAGAAAATAATTGGACAAGATCATTAAAATTGACTTAACTCAAATTTTCCCCTCTTCAGAATAAATAGATAATTTATATTACATTAATGGTAAATATTACAATCCATCTTATTGAAAATTCTAAATTCTAAAGGATCAACAAAAAATCGCTAAAGTTGGTCTCGAAATGAAACTCTTGACATCTGAAGTTGATGCTGAAGCGGAGAAATGGGATGAATATGCCGAAAATGATATTGTGAAGCGAGCTAAAGCTATGTCATCAATGGCCTATAATATGTATCTTTTTACGAGAGGTGATGGTCCTCTAAAAACCACCCATGATCTCTTTACACAAGCTGAATTCTTTGCCGAACAAGCCAACAAAATGTATAAAACTGTTCGCGATTTCTCCTATGAGGTTGGTTTAATTATCATTGAGGTGTTGAAATAATAAAATTTGGCGAAAATTTTAAGTCCATTAAATAAAATATTTTCGATTATGGATTTGGTATTTGTATTTTGTTTGTGAGTCGCTTACTGGATAGTGAGGAGAACACTTTAAACATTTTATTTAAATATGATATAATATAAAAATACTTATAATATAAAAATACAGTAGTAGCAGAAGTGTAATATAAGGTCAATCGAGCGGATTATAGGGATATAGCCGGACTGTGATGGCACCCTTGTTTTTTGCCTACGAGTTGTTTTGATCATACTGGAATTATATAGCAGTAGAAAACAATATAGCAAGGCTAATATGACAAATAACAGCAACTATATTATTTAGTTTGAATTCTAAATTCTTCTTCTTCTAACAGTTCTTACCATTACTAGTTATGGTTAATTACTGGTCAGGCTGGCTCCAATGGCTATAAGGGTAAGAGCATCCAAGCAGCGTAGTCTGATGCCATCATCGATGGTAATGGAAGCCATTCCTTTTTCCATCGTCTAAGTCCATATATTGCTGGTATACATTCAAAATCTTCCCTGACCGTATCAGTCCAGGTCTTGATTGGCCTCGCTTTTGACGCCATCCATCACACGGTTTAGCAAGTAACGAAATATGCGACAAATCTTGTATTGGACGACGGAGAGCATGCCCTAACCACCGAAGGCGACGCTCTGTGATAACATTATGCAAGTGGTATTTGAACGAAGGTAGATGCGATCATGTGAGATTTTATTCACTCGATGAATCCGTAAAATGTACCGTTAGATATGAGTGGTCAGAGACAGATAATTTTTTATCTTAATATCCTCCACTCTCACTGGCCATGTCTCGTAGCTATATAGCCTGGCTTGCGAGCATATTTTATTTATCAGCCTTGGGATCACTTCAAGCACGGATTGTGCACATATCGCATGTGGCACCGGGCTTAGAGTATCATGTCATGCGCGTCGGGAGACGCAGACGCCGTATCAAAAATATCTGACCCTTTCGCCACAGAATCACTTGGGAATAGAGGTACAGATGGGTCCTCAGCAACCACCCAGATTTTTGACATGATAGGTTTACTCCTGCTGATGGCAAACATAGTTATTTTATGAGCTGATTTATTTTATAATATTATAAGTTTTATAAATACATATATTTTCTTTAAAATTCTATTTGAATTTAAGAAAAGAGAAAAAAAAGAAACTTAGCTCGTTTGAAAAGGAGATTTCGAAAAAGATTTAAAAAATTTCACGATATTTCTAAATTAAGGATTAAAGATTTTAGAAACAAGAACATTTGTGGATTAAGAGTTGAATATATTACAATTTGGAAGAAGATTAATTAGAATAATTTTCATGTTATTCCAAGAGACTTAAAGGTACCGGGAAGTGCTGAGAAAAATGATTTGTCGATGGTCTTAGAGAAAATCCCTGTGCATTGTCAGCAACTTCAAGTACTGGTCAAAAGTCCAACTGTAGGAAAATCTGCCACTTTTTCAAAAGTTTGTTTATTTTGCCTATTTGTCATTCTCGTTCGAACAGTTTTTCTTTATTCGATTTCCTCTTTCCAGGTTGATTCTGTTATTCAAGAAACGAAGAGTTTGATGAATGAAGTGGCTAAGCTTGTAACAGCTTGCTTCGTATGTGCGACTAAGGTGAATTATTGCCATATTTTCAAGTTTTTTAGCCAAATATGCTTTGTTCCTTCGTCCTAGCTATTTTTCTTTAAGAAATCGTTTATTTCAGCGATCAGCTTGTGAACTTTGTTTGAATTTTGCGATTAAATAACTATATATTTCTTCTAATTTTTCTTGAAAAAAACTTCAAATTTGAAAAAAACCGGGAAAATAGTTGTGGTGCTCATTTTATTTGCTTTTTTTTTTATTATTATTTTTGTTTGCTTGATTCATACAAAAAAAAGAAAGAAATATGAAGAATATTTTATATAAAAGAATATGAATATCTTGCTATAAATTCATTTTTTCAGAAGCCTTTAAAAGAATAGTAAGTAGTTTAACTCCTTTCGCTTTTGTCCTAACCATATGTTTGCTATGTGATGTTTTCATGCTTATTCTCAGGCTTTCTACTTCAGATTTATTTATTTTGCTTTAAATTGCTAACGATTAACAGAATGTCTACACGTTTTGCATAAATACCGTTGTAGCGCCCAATATATGCGATCTCTTTGTTTTTCTTCTAAATCATTTCTAAGTAGTATATTCCCACTTGTACCACCCGAATTTATTTAATGGTAGGTTTTCTCTCAGCAAGGTATATGAGAATGGAACCTATGATATTTGACTTCGATCAAAGCAATGTATCACTGCAGTTTTTTGGCACATTTATTAGTGAATTTAAGATCGGATAGAAAATAAATGGCATAGATTGTTTAAATATAAAACTTTCCTGCTTTAATTAATTTGGCTTTAATTTAAAGCTATTTACTTCTAGCATATTAACACTGACAAACTTTGACTGATATCAATGAATTTACAAAATAAATTTTTTTTCAAAATTGCTAACGCGTCAAGAGGATTTCATTTCTTGCTTCCGCCGTTTAATTATTTTCTAAATCTTTGTTAATATTTATGAATCTAAACAGCTAAATTATGGTAAGTGAAACTTATTATAATTTTCGGTTCATATGTTCAGAATGGTAAGTTCAAAATGTTAAGCATAAGTGAAATTAAAGGAAAAATTAGATTCACTAGACTTTTAATAATTTTTTAAATCGAGTTTTTAGTACGAAATCGAATTCCGTGGTACGTCCGTACCGAGGCAACCGTTTACAGACTGCAGTGAATACACTCAACGAAGCAGTCGGGAGTCTACCCTCTGGCGACGAACTCCATCGATGCGACGCACAACCACAGTTGCTCAACACAGTGAAGCCTAGGTATTTTTCTTCTTCCGAAGTCATCCACTTATTAGAAATTTAATCGTTAATTTTTAGTGAATTACTTTGGCAAATTTGGTAATCTGCTTGGCTAAAAAATAAATGATTAGCATTCATCATTTCCAGCTTGTCCCTGGATTCTGAAAAAATCTTTATATTTTACATGAAAGAAATTTTTCTCATTTTAATGCCAACTCAACCGGCCAGCAGGGTGACAAAATTTCGCTATATAATCACTTGGGGATTGGAGAAGTGCAAGTGAGTGATCAACAGCATTCGGATTTTTAAGATTTTGCCAGTGGCATAATAAGAATATTCTAAGCGATAATTCTGCCATATTTTTGAAAAGTATTTGTTTTTTTGCTTTTAGAGCAATTGTCTAAAAATAAAAGCGATTCAAATCAATTCCTCTAACAACAGCTTCGATGTTTTTTGCAGCAGCCTTTTTGCATCAAACTATATTGATTAAATTCCTAAAGATTCTGAAAGTTCTTAGGAATGAAAGGAATGAAAAAAAGCTAAAACTCTTTAAAATGGAAAATTGAATTCATAAATTCTTAAATGTGAATTATTTTGCCTCGAAATTTCGATAATTTTTGGAATCCAAATTTTCCCAAACTGCTTATATTTGTTAATATTTGCCATTATTTTGTTTTTTTCTTTTATACTATGAAATTTGGATAATTTGGTTATATTGTGTTAAATAAAATAAAGACTTCAATTTGAATAAAAAGGAATTGTTTCGGTCTTAATTTAAAATCATCACAGGCCAGAACAGATATCCGAGTGAATAGTGGTTCAAATCACTGTACTGAGAAATAATAGCTTGTCCTCTTCCTCCTTGCCTCCAGTGAACACTAACCACACCAAATAGTCAACTGGTTAGTGTGAAATTGTCTTTCACTAGATTCAGAAACCTTGCATCATCTTACGTGAGCCTATTATGATTTTTTTGATTGGTTAGAACAAGATGACTTTTTTTTAAATTTTCTAAAATTGCCTTCAAAATCTAATTACAAGCAGTTTATTAATTCCAATTCTTCCTACGATCTGTGCAACATTCATAAAAGTAAGAGTGAATCTAAAGAGAAAGCAGATAAACTTTGAAATAACTTGGCGAATACAGTGGATAGATAGACAGGTTATTCTTCTTAGGATTCAACGCCTGATGCAGATCGAAACAACCATATCACTCGATCGCCCTCTCTTTACTCTATTTTTTGATTTAAAGTTATCGAATCTTCGATAACTTTAAACTCGTTTAACTCCGTTCTTTGTAAGCCATGATATTTGGAAGAAGTATACTTTTAAATTTGCCATCAAAAATTTTTGCGATACAAATAAATGTTTTAATTTAAGACAGTTTTTTTTATTTAAAGACCACATTTTGATAGCGATTTTCTGCCTTTGTAATGAGTCGCTAATATTTTAAATTTCATAGAAATGACTACTTATATGAGATGGAAGGTATTTTCCCTGAAAATTTATTAACAATACCGTTATTAATTACTAGTGAGTCGAGCATTTGGATTTTTAGCAAACATCACCCACACCATACTCTTGGTGTAATAAAAAATCGATTCACCACAATTAACCTTTCATGAAGAGGTTCATTCCCTTTTTGTCTTAAATTTCTGCAGGTGGATAGCTTCAATAAATTATGTGCTATTTGGTTCATAGTGGATAATGAAACTTAAAAAACCAAGCATCATGTTTTTTCACATTCTTTTTAATCATAAATTCCAGTATAAACTATACATATCACCGGTTGATTTATGTTACGTTCAGTGACCTTTGTCGACAAGGCTGAAGGAAACAATTTGGCGCGTTTTCGGTCAATCGATGCTCAATTTTCAGGACTATATTTCGATTCCCATCTAGTTTTTTACTTCTGACTTTTGTCCTCAGAAAAAGTCCTTGGAAAAATCTTAGTCCTCGGAGAAATTTTGTTTAATCAGCCTCAATACAAATATTGAAGATCGTATTTCTGAAAGGCGTATTGAAGATCTTTGTAGATAATCTGGAGAATTTACGATTGTTGAATACATTTCCGTTAATGATTTCTTTCTTCAGCTTTATTTGCAAATAAACAAAATTCTCAATCCATTAAGAAGGTCCGACCTTCTGAAATAGTGAATGTTTCATAACTAGAATGTAAGTGTTAGCTTTTCGATTTTAGGGACTATGAGTTCTTTTTTTAAAATCGTTAGACTGTCATAGATTTGTTTCTTTTGCCAAATTTTAGATATTGTCTGGAATTTATCGTAAATTTAAAAATATCGATATATTTCCCGAATTCCTTAGTGTATGGTGTACCTGCCATCATCAGATCTTTTAATTTAAGAATCCTCACCTTACTAGTGTTAAACTCGTTCCGCTGGTTGCAGCACTGGGCAAATATGCCAGGGAATCCCTTGGCGATAGAAGTACAGGTGAGTCGACAGCACCACCTAATTTCGATAACTCCTGCGGAGAATCGAATTTCGGTATCAGCACTCAGCACTGATCAACAACCCACTGAGCCATTTTATCCTTATTGGTATACTTCCCAAATTTCTTATATTGTCTGCTAATATTAAATTAACATTAATAAATGTCAAGTAGTTTTACTTCTTAGATTTTCTATAAATTTTGATCGGCAACTGAATTAAAAAATTCGATAAAAAATATTGTTTTACAAATTCATCTATGCATTTTATATTCAGCACTTTGCTGGTTTTCTGCCAACTTTTGAGGATGAGCGTTTTTTGAGGATTGAAATAGAGGTGGGTCATCATCACCAACCATTTACCAAATTTAATAAAAAGTTTTTTCGTTTTTTTTTTCTTGCACCGCATTTGTTAATTAATTAACTTAATTAGCCCTTCAGCTAATCGAAAGGTTTTGTTCTCGCATATCGATCCCTTGGTTTTTTTAATGATCTATGTTATGGCTTCATTCATTTACGTATTACTTGATGTTACTTCGATTTTGATTTTAACTAAATCTATTGAACTTACGGGCGACTATGTTTGCACATTCCTGGAAGAGTAAGATAAGTTTGCGTTTTTCTTATTTTTGGCCGGATTTTTCTTTTTTCCATATCCAAGATCTAAAAGCTACAACAAAATGCTTTTTAGCTGGCAAAAAATTTTAATCAAAATCAAAATATCAAGCCCATGCTTATAAACCATATTTGCTCAATTACCATAATTCTTATTCGAGTTTAGGAAAGAAGAAATTCACTTGGAAAAGTATATTCAAATTGTGCCAATGAGAACAACGTTCATATGTGCTGACATACGATTCGGATTCAAATGCCCCATTGTGAAGTAAGAAATTTATAGAAATTTATAAATTTCATCTTGATATTATATGATCTGAAGGCTATGATTCTGTAATTCTATGGCAAATTTAAATAATATTTAATTTTATAAATTTAATATAAACATAATATAAATTTAAATAATAAAAGCAAATTTTTGAAATTCTTGGGTTTCAAACCTATGGAATATCAAGATCACTTAACTTAGTTAAAAATGTCAATTAGTTTTTCTTAGGTTTGGACAAAGGATCGCTCACAGAGCTGTGCCTAAAATTGTTACGGTCACATCCAAACATTGCTGCTTTGGTTATCAAGAAATAAATGGCACTTGCGAACGTAAGTATTATTAATTTTGCTTTTGCTCAATGAATCAGCTACTTTCTTTCCTTCAGATAATTAAATTACATATCAAGTCAAATTAAAACTTTTTATTGTTATTTTATGCAAAATCAATGTTTTTCTAAAGATGGAGAACTTAAAATTCATCTAATCGCTTAATTGGAAGTAATTCTTTTGTTCTTCCTTAATTTATAAGTTCCACAAGTTCTATATTTAAGATCATATGACGAGTGGAAAAGTTATTTGCTTCAACTTTAGCTTAATAAAGAGAGATCGCCTATTTGAACTTAAATATATGTAGAAGAAATAAAGATTTAATAATAATAATAATTAACTGTATCTTTAGCTACTTGCGAACCACCATGTATAGGCGGCAAATGCGTGGATATAAATAAATGCAAGTGTGATCAAGGCTTTGCGGGGAAAGCCTGCGCTTTGGGTACGTTTTCTCAACTGCATTTTTTCGCTTTCTAAATGTGATATTTTATGTTTTTTGCTAGCAAAAAATTGATTTAAAAAAGTAGAGAACTGACAATTTAAAATTTTAAAATAATTGCAAAAATTTAAGAATGTACCCGTGGTTCATGGGGACCATTTTGTGATCATATTTGTGACTGCGAAAACGGGGCTAGCTGTGATACTGAAAACGGGATTTGTCATTGCGCTGCAGGTGAATAATTAATAATTCCGAAAAAAAGCCGATTTGAAATTCTTGTGCAGTTTCATTCCAATGCAAAAATACAGGCTATTATGGTGAACGATGCGAAAAACCTTGTGATAGTAATCACTGGGGTCAGCAGTGCAAAAACGACTGTCTTTGCCAGAATGGAGGCGTTTGTGATCCTGTCGATGGTTCTTGCAAGTGCTCACCAGGCTTCTTCGGCAAATATTGTTTGAGCAAATGCGAGCAGGTGAGTTCCATCTTTATTGCTCGAGCCTGGTTTATGTTATCATTCCACCGAGGCCCATCAAGCATCAAGCCCATGATGCTTGTGGAAAATTAAGCTGCAATTACTAATAAATTTTCGAAGTGAAATATAACTCCACCATTAGATTTTGTACCATTAGATTAGTTCGTGCAAAACTGCAAGATTCATTGTTAACTTACACTTACAGTATAAGAATGCTACTCAAATGAATAAAAAAAATAATTTTTTAAAGCTGCATTAGGCTCGAGTTTCTGATTATCCATCGTTATCACTTAAGCTATAAAACTGCAACACCATGTTTTTTATTGTTGGCATCATTAATCTAAATTAATTTTTTCTTGAGCAATCTAAATGAAATTTTTTTCGTTAATCAAAATTTCTTTCTATTTTGCTTATAGGGTAAACATGGACCAGATTGTATTTTCGATTGTATGTGCAAGAATGATGGAAGTTGCGATGAAAATAATGGAAATTGTAAATGTCGACCTGGATTTGAGGTAGTTGCATAAACAATTGATGACAATTCGACTTTTTTGTCACTAAATTTTATAATTTTTATTAATTTTATTTTAGGCAGATTTTGCCATGAAATTGGTTTTTTCACTCACCATTACTTTTAAAATGAAAAATAACTGGAAAATGCAGAACTTTTAGGGAAAATTTTGCGAAAAAACATGTACTATGGGTTATTTTGGTCAAAATTGCTCCTTGAAATGTAACTGCTTGCATGAACAACATTGCAATCCTATTGATGGTACTTGTGATTGTATAGGATTTAAAGGAAAAAATTGCGAGGAACCTTGTCCTCAAGGTACTCATGGAAAATCTGTAAGTTTTCAAACGATTTTTGCGCTAGATTCACTTTTATTTATTTGGAAATTTTTAGTGTTCCAAAAAATGCAGTTGCTCTCTCAACGCCTTTTGCGATCCAGTAGATGGTTCTTGTTTATGTCCAGCAGGTTATAAAGGAAAATCTTGCGACGAAAGAAGTTTGTTTTGTTTGTTTTCTAAAAATTAAAAATTAGCAGTGGCCAAGTGGGCAAATCTAATTTAATTTGACGTTTCTATGGTAGACGTTGAACAAATTGGCCAACAAGATCCATGTTTATGTGCTTGCATTTTAACGGATTTATATCACTTTTATCATATTGTTGGAGAGATGTCCACCCCGATCTATGCCACATTTTGTTCAAATAATTGAAATATTGCTATAGACTTTTAGTTTGTCCATATAATCGCTTCGGATATTTATGTGAAAAGGAATGCGCTTGTAATTTCACCAACACTCGATTGTAAGTGCCAGTAATTTATTTGTTCGTTTAGATGAATTTTTTCAATAATTTTTCATTTTAGTGGAAAATTTTTTTGCAGAGTATCGATAATAAAAAAAATGTAATTTTCGTGCTAAAGCAATTTTGAATTTTTGAAGATAATTTACTGATTATAGTGTTTTGAAAAGATAAAATTACCTAGCCGCTTGTAATAAATCCATTTTAATAGTTGCCATCCTACAATTGGATCATGCGAATGCAAAACTGGTTTTACGGGCGCTGGTTGTATGTCAGTATGTCCTATGTCCTATTTCGGTGAGAACTGTGAACAAAAATGTAAATGCAACTTAGAAACTGGATCACAGTGCGATCCAAAGACTGGATTATGCATATGTGCGTTAGGCTATCGTGGAATGAGGTACTTTTACAATTGCAACAACTATATGAATTTATGATTTTATATGAATTTAATAATAGATCTTTAAAATATTTAATATTAATAAATAATATAGAATTTTTCACAATTGTTTAAATTCTTATTTCTATCAGCATTGAACACTTCTAGTTATCTCCACTGGATTTTAGGATTATATGGCAGGAAATTGAAATATAGGTAGATTCTCAGTGTCATCCAGATTCCAATTTTGATGACAGATTTATCCAGATTTATGGAGATTCCATTAAGGGACAAAAAATTGAACCTATTTTTCTATTTAAGATTTAATTCGCATTGTATGTAAAATATAAATATTTTTCATGTATCATTTAGATCTTTAGATGTGATGATCGATGTGAAGAGGGATTTTTCGGTTTACAGTGTAATTCAAAGTGTAATTGTCATAATGGAATATGTAATTACAAATCTGGTTTTTGCGACTGTAAACCAGGTTCGCTGGTTTTGAAAAATTTAAAGAATAAAAAATAATATGGTAAACAAAGGTGTAAATTTATATTTACAAGAAAAAATTTTAAAAATTCGATGCAGTGCATTAGTGGATACTATTAGATGAATCGATATTTGCATCAAGATTTTTCGAATTCAGGGTTAAATTTACTGGCTAATGGCTTACATTTCGATCATTTCCTATAATATAGTGGTTTCCCTTTCAGGATACGCTGAATATTTGATGCATAGGAATTTCCAGGTTGGCGAGGTCCCTCTTGTAGCTTACCTTGTTGGGGAGGTTACTTCGGAGTTGGATGTAAGCCGTGTAAATGCAAAAATGGTGCTGGTTGTGATGCACAAACCGGTCGTTGCATATGTAAAGCTGGATGGCATGGAGCGTCCTGTGAATTGCCATGTGACCAAGTTTGTCTTAATTTCCTTGCAAAACCAGAATTTCTAAATTTTTTTACAAATAAACGTTTGTGCATTTCACATTTTTCAAGGAACTTTTTTAGGGAAAGTTCGGTATTAATTGCTCGCAAAAATGTGACTGTAATAATGGAAACGAATGTGATCCAATCACCGGAGAATGTCGATCTAACGATTTATGGTCAGGTAAATCAGGTAAATAAAATATCATTTAAGAGGAATCCAAATCCATCGTTATCGGTTCGTTCTTACCAGTTTTATGGAATCTATGGACTTTTGCTGAATTTATTTACAAATTGTTGAATCCTCAGATCTTCATCCTTACTCCTTTTATTATTTCAGATAATAAGTGCAAAAAGAGGTGTGACTCGAATAAATGGGGAAAAAATTGTCAATATTTCTGTGACTGTGGTGAACATGGATGTTGCAATGATACAACGGGTCTATGTCGTTGTCATCCAGGCTATTTGGGAAAAGCATGCGATAAGCGTTCGTTTTATTTTTCAGTTTTATTACAAAGTGAATAATAATAGTAAGAATCCAGATGGTGCTAATAATTTATCTTTTATCTCCAAGTTATTCTTTCGCGAAAGAATTTCACCAACCACTGGAATCAAACAAATCAAGAATGTTATAAAAAAGAATTTGTGGAGCAGTTAGGTATCCATGGCTATTCGTGGATATAAGATTTATTATTTGAAGTGTTTTCTTCTTTTAGCAAATATTTATTTGGCATGAAAATTTATGAAATTATCAAATTCAATGTAAACTCGTTAAAATATCAAATTTTATTTCAGCATGCCCTACTGGAACATTTGGTATGAATTGCAGTCAGAATTGTTTTTGTAATACGGAAATAAATGAATGTGATGGCCAAACTGGCGCATGTCTTATTTGTCCAATTGGACGAAGCGGTAGCCAGTGTGAACAAACATGTCCCGACGGTACTTGGGGCATTAATTGCTCTCAGCAGTGCAAATGTGCTAAAAACCATGCTTGCAACAATGTCGATGGATCTTGTGAGTGTTTCAGTGGATTCATTGGTGAATACTGTGAACTTGGTAATTTTTTTAATTGATTGATGAAATAAATTTTGGTTGAAAATCCTTGCTATCTCATCCATTCGTTTTAATTCATATTTCTAGGATGCCCAGAAGGCAAGTGGGGAATAAATTGTTCTCAGAAATGTTCGAAATGCAAACATAATGGCAATTGTGATCCAGTTGATGGCGTATGTCGTTGTCCAGCTGGTTACAGAGGCGAATTTTGCGAAAATAGTAAGCTTTCTAAAATTTAATTTTATAGGGAATTCTCTAATTCGAACGCAATTTTTTGGCTAAATAATTCATTTCCAACACCAAATTTTAAGTTTTGTTTTCATTATATAAAAAATTTTTCGTAATTTGAGTAAATGTGATCAAATTTCAAAAAAAGCTCGAATTAAAAAAAATTTAGAAATATAAATTTTTCCAATTTTTATGGTGATTATAAATATAAATTTTTTAATTTAATATTTATTTTGGAAATTTTGAGTATTTAGCAATAAAAAATGCAAATTTCACTGTAATATTTTCGTGTTTCAAAACTCCTGGGCCTTTTTAGATAACATTTCAGATAAGATTTGATCTATAATGAAAATTTCTACGGCATTAAATTGTGGAGTATTTCTACGGCATTAAATTTTATCGACAAGAAGTACAAAAACATAACACAAGTGAAATTTTAATAACTTTATTATTTCCTCAGAAAATTTTGCAGTTTGTGGAAGTAATCAGTGGGGAAGCGAGTGTGCTAATGAATGTAAATGTAAGAATTATTGGCAACTGTGCAATCCTTTTGATGGTAGTTGCTCATGTCCATCAGGTTAGGCCATTTTAATTATTCTTTTCTGAGTTCCAGAAATATTTATCACCTCTGTCAATAGAGAGATTTATCGATGTTTAACTGTTTATAAAGTTGTTTTTATAATAGTATTAGGACCTATTACTTTGATTTTTTCTAAATTTTAGAATTCAGTTTTCAATTTTATTTTTTTCAAAATTTTTTTCGAATTTTTCGAATTTAAAAAGTTTTTTAAAAAATTTTATGCAACAATTGATTTTAGGTCTTAGAGGAGACAATTGCAGCGAATATTGTAACGATAACACTTGGGGTCCTGATTGCAAATTTAAATGCATTTGCGAGCCTAAAAATTCAAAGTGTCAAGTTACTACGGGCGTTTGCTTATGTAAACCCGGTTATTTTGGTCCGAACTGCGAGCAGAGTATTGTTAATCGTTTAAACATTTCGTTGTTTCATTAGACAAACCATTAATATAAAAACAAGATGTAATTCGGAACTTTTAGATCACAAGTTTTTTGAATTGATACTAAAAAAATTAGAACTTTAAAATTAGAACTGTATTCTTATTCTTTTATCATTTTCTTGTTCCAAAACTATAGATGGTTAAGAAATGATTACATATAATGGACGTATAATGCTTGTCTTCATAGGTCAACTTATAGGTAACAACTTTAGAGAGGGTTACATTGCTAGACTATCAGTTCAAGCATCAGTCACTAAACCTTTGTCAGTTATAAGACAAAAACGGATGTTCCTCAGTGCTGACGAAATGGTTTAATCATTATGCAGTAACCAGAAGTAGTGAATGATGCAAAAAAAAAAAAGAATCGACTTATAAAATCAGCTGCTAGACTAAATTACTCCGTCCATCGGTCTAAGTAAACTGAATTTTTTTTGTAGTATGGTTTATTTATGATTAGATTAAATGGCCTATTCTTTATTGTCAGAATGTTCTGATGGGTATTACGGTGAAGGATGTACGAGAATTTGTGATTGCCATGACGATGAGATTTGTGATCACAGAATCGGATGCTATGATAAATTCAGTCAATTATTTGACATAAGGAGCTCAAAAGCAATCAGTAATATAACAGAAAAATCGTCTTTTGTTGAGAAAATGGTCATATATTTGTTTTCTGGAATAATATTCCTGACTTTATTAGTGCTGCATTATCGAAGAAAATATATGAAAGAGCGTGATCCAGTTTTACCTTCGATCAAGTTAGTGAATTTCCACCGGTCTTATAATATTCGCAAGATAGCTGATTATCTAGCATTCACCTATCATCTTAGTTTCTCTCTGGAAAGATAGATTTTTTCATTTTCAGATATTTTGTAAGAAATTACAATGAACATACGACGCCAACAATTGAATTTGGAAATCCATTATATTCAAATATAATCACGAAAATAAATTTATCAGACAATGATCTGTGTGATACAACTTCAAGTGAGTGCCAAGTTGTTTAAAAATATAATTTTACCTTAAAGAGAAGAAGGAAAAAAGTAGATTACAGTGCTTCTTTAATGCATTAATACTATTTTATTTTTGATGGTTATAACCAAAGATTTTATAACAGTGTAACCTCTTTTTATGGATTTGATCAATCATCTCCCAATTACTGATTTTATGCATTTGATCAATCGTCCCCCAATTTGCTCGATTTTCCAATTTATAATTTCTACTCAAAATATTCAAATTCCAATCTGCAAAAATGGATTTTAGACATTTTTATTTTTCTTTAACTATTGTATTTATTAGCAAATTACAAGTTCATTTGAATGACAATTTACAGTAACTTTCATTTCTGATTTAACTGACTATTAGGATGATGATTTTTCATCAGATTTGTGAAAGATAGAATCCTTAATGCCACTTGCCAAAATACAATGTTATTGAACATTAGTTGAACCCATATCACTTTACCATCATATTCCTAACAAAGAATTGATCATAGCGATTTTACAGATGGATATGTCACTAGAGAAGAAAGAAATTCTGCTAAGGAAAGATGCCTTTCTTCATTATTTAATGAACATTCTTCAGGTTGAAATATTTTTCGATTCCCATTTGTTAATTAATTTTTCATCACTAATTAAAATTACAGAAAGATTACAAAATATTTCTTTACATCAGTTTATGCTAAAATCATCATAACAGCATTATTGCTGATTTGGCTCAGTGGCATTTAGGGTAAGGTGCTTCCAAGCCTTCCAATGTGAATTTTTGTTTTTAGGCTAAGTTTGAAATCATTCCTGGAAGTAATAGAATCATTTTTCCACTATTTATTTTTGCAAAATCTTTCATATCGATCTAGGCTTTGACGTTCTCGCTTTTGATGCCATTCATCAAATGGTTTAGCAAGTAGCGAAATAACGAGAGAGTCAACTTTTGTGGTAGACGAAGAAGGGCCAAACCAGCGCAGATGGCGCTTTATAACGATATTTTTAATACAGATGGTATTCGAGTGAAGGTGGTTACAATCATGTAAAGTCTTGTTCACTTGGCGAATGCATAGATGTCTTAGGTATACTTCAGATAAGAATAATCAAAGGCAGATAAACTTTAAACGTTGCCTAGTTTCATGTTTCCCAACCATATATAAGGGTTGGATATAGCCTGTTAGATGCGAACTTTTAAACTGATTTTGATTCTAGCGAGATTTCTCCAGAGCAAAAAATTATTAAAAAAGGTGTGACTGCAGCCATCCGAGCTGGAGTTTATCTGGTCATTAAGTATGAGAGTGGATCCAAGATATTTAAAGTTTTTCCGGGACTTTTTGGTGCGCTAATGAATTTATATAAATTATGACCTTATCAGCATATGGTATATATGACGAAAAAAATTTTGTCTTTGTCTTTTTACAATGGTAATTTGAAGGACAATTTTCGCTACCATTAACAACTGGTCTAATATCTGTTGTAATTCTGTAACTGTCAGCGAAAGGGACATAATTCTAGGACTGTTGTTGTGCTTTGGATTGATTTACATTTCTTGAGTGCCCGATCTATATTAATCCTATCGCACAGTTAAAACATAAAAGACAAAATGGGCTAGTATTTCTTGAGGTCTAGTCAATTTGCTACACAAATATATTCGTCTGCTCATTAGGTAAGCACGATAAAATACTTCTATAAGCGTGATTATCTCTCATTATCGTATTGGATGACCTTCTACCCACCCTGTCGATCAAATGTTTCTGCAAAGTCGATGAACCATGAAAATACTAGCCCTGTTTAATTTAATCATCTATATATTTGGCGCAAATCCATATTGGACGCATCCTGTTATCAGCCACAGCTATGAATCTGTTCAGACCCATCAAATAAACTGATTCCTCAATAGTTATTGCATTCTATCACCTTTTTTGGGAATTAGTAGAAAAATTTTCTTGTTTCAGTCATATTTGCGCTCTCCCGTACTAGAAGATATATTTTTTGCAAGTGTTTGAGAACGGTGAATAACAAAAAGTTCTTAGATCTTTTGCTAATCTTTTATTGGCTTTAAACTTAGAATTGTAGAGGTTACCTCGTGCTCCGTTGGCTTGCAGTTGCAATCTAAATGACCTTGTTATCTCCGGGATCCGGGATGGAGCTACTTAAATAGTTAATCTTAAATTCAAAGAACTGCAGTTTTTGCAAAGTGTGCGAAATAATTTTCGATAATCGCATACTCAAATTGTTTTCTCCACATTCAAAGCATTCACAATGGCAATTTGAAGACCAATTTTCGCTACCACTGACATCAGTTCTAATGTCGATTTTCATTTCCGCAGTGATCATTGCGAAGCGAATTTACGGAGTCTTCTGATAACTAATTTTATGATATGCGCTCTGGTAGTGTTTTCAGAAGCTCCGTTTCATCTGATATCCATTTGATGTCTAATCCTTAGAGTTATGTACTGGAAGAAGGGTTTCAGCTGGGACCAGTTTTCAGATGCTCCAGTGTTATCAAGATCTTTTAGATGTTTCTGCGCCTCAGCTTGAAATGTGCTACTATGTCTGAATCATGAGGTAGATAAAAGATTTAGGGATGTGTTTCTTGCCTTGTTGATTGCATTCGGATCTTGAATCATGATCAAGCCCGTAGATATTTCCAGTTTCAATTCTGTTATGTAGGTAGCTATCTTCTACGGAATTCTTCTATCGATAGTTAACTAAAAAAGCTAAATATAATCAATCTGATTCGAATGTTAATTGTCTAGTTCATGTAAATAAAATGTCTTTTGTAATGCTAAAAATATATTTTGTGCTTCTCACCAGAGCTTTTCATTAGTATACCAGATCATGCACCAAATCTACCACAAAAAATAATGGGACACCCTATACGCACATTCCAGTCTCTTGCTTTCCATTATCTTACTTTTTTTGAGAGACATCTCACTTTTATTAGCAAGTGAAAATAGTATAAAATCATTCGTGCTAAGCGTTGAGATATCCGAGATATTGCAAAATATAAAGTAGGCGTAAGCTAAATGATTATTAACAAAATTCCATACGATTAACATTGACCATGCTATTTTGGATTTAATAATCTCGACTCGACTCCATTTCTTTTAGAATTATCGCAAATACCATTGTGGTACAACTGGTCCCTATAAACTTATTTCAATTCTATTTAAGGGAACTACGAAATTCCATCTTATCGAAATTTGAATATGTGATCCTGCTCCACTCGGACCTGCAATGCATTGCAGTATTATTTATGCAATTTTAAGCAGTTAGACATTAGGTGTTTTCATTATGTTTTAATTAATACTGTTTTAATACTGCTTACTGCTCATATTTCCACATTTTGATATACCATATGAGATTTTTTTGTGCGACATTGTACAATTGAAAGTATGTATGTGGTATGCTCATTTATTATATTGTTTTGAAGTATTTTAGAATTGTTAAATTGTTAAATAGTTAATTGATGATGATTTATTTAACTAAGATGACTTTTATGCTGCTCAGTTGGTTTGTCTTAACGTTAAGACGCTGATTGCTATATTTGGTGCTTAAAATATATATTACATTATATCTGTTTATGTTATCGATGTATCATTTAATTTGAATAAATATAAACCATATACTCAATTTGTTATAATATCATTCTCTGGCACTTATATTTCCATAGCTACGGTCTAATTTTTAATATACATTCAAATATGTCGAAATAAAGAAGATTAAATCAGTTTCTAAAGATGTCTGGATAACATTTGTCTCGAATGACGCTGGCGATCAATTTGTTCAATCGCTAAGTGGCTTCTTGCAGAAATTCGTCTGCGATAAACCAGCGGAGTGAGCATAGCACAGCCAGAAATGGCGAACGCTATAAAAAAATAAAAAATTTTGGGACTTATCAGTACTGAGTGAAGGAATCATAGGTGGATCTTTCACTGACAGCACTTTCTTTGGTTAGCTCCATTGGGTATTATGATGGCGCCACTGAAGTAATCATTGCTTTAATGGAAGGAACATATATTGGGCCATTTTCTTCCTGTCCTCTTCGAATGATTTGAGATTATGGAATGCTGGAAGATTTTTGCTTATTATTACTTGTACTAAATTGCTACTTTTTTTATATTCTGCAACAATTCATCGAGGAGATGAAGATAACTTTCTTTTTCCTGTTATATTAAACATACTTCTTGTCTTATCCAGGGTGAATATTATATTATTTTTTAATATTATTGAGTATTTTTTTGTTGCAAGAAGAATTGCAAATTTTAATTTATCTTGTTTAACATTAGAACTGGCAAAAATCGTCCAAAATCAATCATAATCTAATAGGAATGGTATAACAGTGTTTGTCCCAATCTATAATAGCCATTCATCTATTTTCAATTTCCTTCCTCTCTCTTTTAAAGATTTTTTCAAAAAAAAGTTTTTATTTATGAGGAAATTTGAAAAGTTTTATTCCTCGATCATTAATGATATTTCATCCACTTTAAAACCTGTTTTTAAAATAGAATGACAATAAGTGATAATTTGTTGTCCGATAATCTAGTTACTTAAATTTGCTGAAAAAATTTCTGGTAAGGTAAATATTCTCTAAGCAAAGTATAATCTCTTCCCTTTCCCCCTGCCTTATATTTAGGATAATTTTTATGAGGAAAAATCGCATTGAATCGTAAATTTTTCAAAGTTTCAATTAAATTTTATTTCAATTCATGACGTTGCGCCCACAATCGTTTGTCATTACTATTTATCAAATGTGATATTATGGAATGATTATTTACCTTCATTTAATAAGTAATTAAGTGCTGAGGAATTATTTTTGCCTGTTGGTATGATGAGAAATTTTAGCCAACCGATAGAACTATA